ATCTAAAGAGACTTACTGTTGAAAGATACTTCTGATTATAGATACTTACTGTTGAGAGTTAATTACTGATCAGAGTTACTCACTGGTCATAGTTACTTGCTGGTCATAGATACTTACTGTTCAGAGTAACTTAATGTTCTTAGAAACTTTCTGATCATAGTTCTATAAATCGTCCGATTTTTCCTATGGCAGCTATATATATGTATATATATAGTCCACCGATTCGGCATGCTCCGATTTATTTACCAGTAAAATTATATAGAAGAAAAACTCCATAGTTTCGTTCAAATAGCTTGCTCTTAAATGTGCTCCAAAACAAATGCCGCACATCTGTGCATATGATTCCCAACTCGTTCTAACATCCCCGGAACGAAGTGACTGCTGCCGACCAAGTCTTAGATACGTGTTGTGTTACAAAAGTTGCAAGTCATTGTTTATTAGTGTCCAAAGTAACCTGCTGATCAAAGTTAATTACAGATCATAGTTATTAAGTGTTCAGAGTTACTTAATTTGCATTGATACTTCCTGGTCAAAGGTACTATCTAAAGAGACTTACTGTTGAAAGATACTTCTGATTATAGATACTTACTGTTGAGAGTTAATTACTGATCAGAGTTACTCACTGGTCATAGTTACTTGCTGGTCATAGATACTTACTGTTCAGAGTAACTTAATGTTCTTATAAACTTACTGATCATAGTTAATAACTGATCATAGTTCTATAAATCGTCCGATTGTTCCTATGGCAGCTATATATATGTATATATATAGTCCACCGATTCGGCATGCTCCGATTTATTTACCAGTAAAATTATATAGAAGTAAAGTTCCATAGTTTCGTTCAAATAGCTTGCTCTTAAATGTGTTTCAAAACAAATGGCGCACATCTGTGCATATGATTCCCAACTCGTTCTAACATCCCCGGAACGAAGTGACTGCTGCCGACCAAGTCTTAGATATGTGTTGTTTACAAAAGTTGCAAGTCATTGTTTATTAGTGTTCAAAGTTAGTCTCCAAAGTAACCTACTGATCAAAGTTAATTACAGATCATAGTTAATAAGTGTTCAGAGTTACTTAATTTGCATTGATACTTCCTGGTCAAAGGTACTATCTAAAGAGACTTACTGTTGAAAGATACTTCTGATTATAGATACTTACTGTTGAGAGTTAATTACTGATCAGAGTTACTCACTGGTCATAGTTACTTGCTGGTCATAGATACTTACTGTTCAGAGTAACTTAATGTTCTTAGAAACTTTCTGATCATAGTTCTATAAATCGTCCGATTGTTCCTATGGCAGTTATATATATGTATATATATAGTCCACCGATTCGGCATGCTCCGATTTATTTACCAGTAAAATTATATAGAAGAAAAACTCCATAGTTTCGTTCAAATAGCTTGCTCTTAAATGTGCTCCAAAACAAATGCCGCACATCTGTGCATATGATTCCCAACTCGTTCTAACATCCCCGGAACGAAGTGACTGCTGCCGACCAAGTCTTAGATACGTGTTGTGTTACAAAAGTTGCAAGTCATTGTTTATTAGTGTCCAAAGTAACCTGCTGATCAAAGTTAATTACAGATCATAGTTATTAAGTGTTCAGAGTTACTTAATTTGCATTGATACTTCCTGGTCAAAGGTACTATCTAAAGAGACTTACTGTTGAAAGATACTTCTGATTATAGATACTTACTGTTGAGAGTTAATTACTGATCAGAGTTACTCACTGGTCATAGTTACTTGCTGGTCATAGATACTTACTGTTCAGAGTAACTTAATGTTCTTATAAACTTACTGATCATAGTTAATAACTGATCATAGTTCTATAAATCGTCCGATTGTTCCTATGGCAGCTATATATATGTATATATATAGTCCACCGATTCGGCATGCTCCGATTTATTTACCAGTAAAATTATATAGAAGAAAAACTCCATAGTGTCGTTCAAATAGCTTGCTCTTAAATGTGCTCCAAAACAAATGCCGCACATCTGTGCATATGATTCCCAACTCGTTCTAACATCCCCGGAACGAAGTGACTGCTGCCGACCAAGTCTTAGATACGTGTTGTGTTACAAAAGTTGCAAGTCATTGTTTATTAGTGTCCAAAGTAACCTGCTGATCAAAGTTAATTACAGATCATAGTTATTAAGTGTTCAGAGTTACTTAATTTGCATTGATACTTTCTGGTCAAAGTTACTTTATATAGAGACTTACTGTTGAAAGATACTTCTGATTATAGATACTTACTGTTCAGAGTTAATTACTGATCAGAGTTACTCACTGGTCATAGTTACTTGCTGGTCATAGATACTTACTGTTCAGAGTAACGTTTTGTTCTTAGAAACTTACTGAGCGTAGTTAATTACTGGTCATAGTTAATTACTGATCATAGTTCTATAAATCGTCCGATTGTTCCTATGGCAGTTATATATATGTATATATATAGTCCACCGATTCGGCATGCTCCGATTTATTTACCAGTAAAATTATATAGAAGAAAAACTCCATAGTGTCGTTCAAATAGCTTGCTCTTAAATGTGCTCCAAAACAAATGCCGCACATCTGTGCATATGATTCCCAACTCGTTCTAACATCCCCGGAACGAAGTGACTGCTGCCGACCAAGTCTTAGATACGTGTTGTTTTACAAAAGTTGCAAGTCATTGTTTATTAGTGTTCAAAGTTAGTCTCCAAAGTAACCTACTGATCAAAGTTAATTACAGATCATAGTTAATAAGTGTTCAGAGTTACTTAATTTGCATTGATACTTCCTGGTCAAAGGTACTATCTAAAGAGACTTACTGTTGAAAGATACTTCTGATTATAGATACTTACTGTTGAGAGTTAATTACTGATCAGAGTTACTCACTGGTCATAGTTACTTGCTGGTCATAGATACTTACTGTTCAGAGTAACTTAATGTTCTTAGAAACTTTCTGATCATAGTTCTATAAATCGTCCGATTGTTCCTATGGCAGTTATATATATGTATATATATAGTCCACCGATTCGGCATGCTCCGATTTATTTACCAGTAAAATTATATAGAAGAAAAACTCCATAGTTTCGTTCAAATAGCTTGCTCTTAAATGTGCTCCAAAACAAATGCCGCACATCTGTGCATATGATTCCCAACTCGTTCTAACATCCCCGGAACGAAGTGACTGCTGCCGACCAAGTCTTAGATACGTGTTGTGTTACAAAAGTTGCAAGTCATTGTTTATTAGTGTCCAAAGTAACCTGCTGATCAAAGTTAATTACAGATCATAGTTATTAAGTGTTCAGAGTTACTTAATTTGCATTGATACTTCCTGGTCAAAGGTACTATCTAAAGAGACTTACTGTTGAAAGATACTTCTGATTATAGATGCTTACTGTTGAGAGTTAATTACTGATCAGAGTTACTCACTGGTCATAGTTACTTGCTGGTCATAGATACTTACTGTTCAGAGTAACTTAATGTTCTTAGAAACTTTCTGATCATAGTTCTATAAATCGTCCGATTTTTCCTATGGCAGCTATATATATGTATATATATAGTCCACCGATTCGGCATGCTCCGATTTATTTACCAGTAAAATTATATAGAAGAAAAACTCCATAGTTTCGTTCAAATAGCTTGCTCTTAAATGTGCTCCAAAACAAATGCCGCACATCTGTGCATATGATTCCCAACTCGTTCTAACATCCCCGGAACGAAGTGACTGCTGCCGACCAAGTCTTAGATACGTGTTGTTTTACAAAAGTTGCAAGTCATTGTTTATTAGTGTTCAAAGTTAATTAGTGTCCAAAGTAACCTACTGATCAAAGTTAATTACAGATCATAGTTAATAAGTGTTCAGAGTTACTTAATTTGCATTGATACTTCCTGGTCAAAGGTACTATCTAAAGAGACTTACTGTTGAAAGATACTTCTGATTATAGATACTTACTGTTGAGAGTTAATTACTGATCAGAGTTACTCACTGGTCATAGTTACTTGCTGGTCATAGATACTTACTGTTCAGAGTAACTTAATGTTCTTAGAAACTTTCTGATCATAGTTCTATAAATCGTCCGATTTTTCCTATGGCAGCTATATATATGTATATATATAGTCCACCGATTCGGCATGCTCCGATTTATTTACCAGTAAAATTATATAGAAGAAAAACTCCATAGTTTCGTTCAAATAGCTTGCTCTTAAATGTGCTCCAAAACAAATGCCGCACATCTGTGCATATGATTCCCAACTCGTTCTAACATCCCCGGAACGAAGTGACTGCTGCCGACCAAGTCTTAGATACGTGTTGTGTTACAAAAGTTGCAAGTCATTGTTTATTAGTGTTCAAAGTTGATTAGTGTCCAAAGTAACCTGCTGATCAAAGTTAATTACAGATCATAGTTAATAAGTGTTCAGAGTTACTTAATTTGCATTGATACTTTCTGGTCAAAGTTACTTTATATAGAGACTTACTGTTGAAAGATACTTCTGATTATAGATACTTACTGTTCAGAGTTAATTACTGATCAGAGTTACTCACTGGTCATAGTTACTTGCTGGTCATAGATACTTACTGTTCAGAGTAACTTAATGTTCTTAGAAACTTACTGATCATAGTTAATAACTGATCATAGTTCTATAAATCGTCCGATTGTTCCTATGGCAGTTATATATATGTATATATATAGTCTACCGATTCGGCATGCTCCGATTTATTTACCAGTAAAATTATATAGAAGAAAAACTCCATAGTGTCGTTCAAATAGCTTGCTCTTAAATGTGCTCCAAAACAAATGCCGCACATCTGTGCATATGATTCCCAACTCGTTCTAACATCCCCGGAACGAAGTGACTGCTGCCGACCAAGTCTTAGATACGTGTTGTGTTACAAAAGTTGCAAGTCATTGTTTATTTGTGTTCAAATTTAGTGGGTGATCATACATTCTTATTGGTCATAGAAACATACTTTAATATAAATCTTTATATAATTATTTATCGTTCCGCTTACAGTGATGTCAACTATTTGACGAATTCTGCACCGCCGGCGGCTGCCGAGTGGACGTCGTTGCTGAGACCGCTGAGGGGACGCGAACCGGAGGGCATGTGGAACCTGCTATCGATCGTGCGAGAGATGTACAGGCGCTGCGACCGGAATGCAGTCCGATTGCTGGAGATAATCACGGAGGAGTGCATGTCCTGCGACCAGATCCTAATCTGGTGGTTCCAGACCAAGCTGGCGCTAATGATGGGCTCCCACGGACACTCTGGCGGTAAGCACTCGAACACGCACTCCAACTCCACAGCACTGCAGCATGCCTGCAGTTCGCTGTGCGACGAGATCGTGGCCCTGTGGCGTCTAGCGGCCCTGAATCCCGGCCTGGCGCCGGATGAACGCGACATGTTGCACGCCCAGTTCACGGCCTGGCATCTGAAGATCCTCGATCGAGTGGTCAAGAGCCGGATGATGCCGTCGTCGTACACCAATAAGCACCAGCAGAACTCACGCTCCGACACGGAACTCTTCATCGGCTTCAAGCCGGCCATTGAGGCGTGCTACCTGGACTGGGAGGACTATCCCATTGCGGGCGTGACGCACACCCACGACACGAATCCCATCTACTACTCACCCTTCACCTGCTTCAAGCACACGGACCCCAAGTCCGGCGAGTCGGTTAATCCCGGCCAGCTGAACGCAACCCAAGCGGTGATGACAAACAACAAGCACTACAACTACTTCAGCTCCTCCAGCGACCATGGCCTGCATCCGGGCGCCTTTAAGCAGCGTTTGGAGCGACCATTCCGGGAGTCACGGTTCTACAACAATCTCGGCGACCTCGAGGGACCGGGTATGTTGTCCGGAGCAGGAGCATACAGCAGCAGACAGCTTCCTTCGGGGCTGGGCAGCAGCGGCGGAGGCTCTGTGGGTGGAGGCCACGCCACTTCCGGAACTGGAGGCATCGGCCAAATGACCGGCGGAGTTGGAGTAGCTGTCGGAGCGGCATCTGGATCCGGCGACGTGAATCATTCCGCACAGCAGCAGCTGCTGCCCAGTATCTTGTCCGGAGTCAGCGCGTCAGTGGCCAATTCCAAGGGAGGAGGCGGTGGAGGAGGAGGAGGTGGTGCTGGAGTAGTCACTGGCGGCGGCGTCGGCGGAGCCGGAGCTGATGGCAATCGGTCGAGTGCCAGCAGCGAGGGATTTTGTGAGAACGACGATTTCGGCGGAGATACCAGCAGCAGCCACAACTACTGTCCGCCCGGACAGGCGGCGACATCGTCTGTGCCTGGCCAGAAATCCTCCGCGCTCACCGAATCGGACTCGCAGAGCAGCTTCGATGCCGTCTCGCAGCAGAGCAAGGACGACCAGCCAGTGGGAGTCGGCGCAGCAGTTGGCGTAGAGCAGGCATGCTCCACCTCCGACACTTCGTCCGCCTCCTCAGCATCCTCGTCCGCTTCGACGGCATCCGGGAGCTCCAACAGTTCCACGTCATCGATGCTGATGGCCGGACAAGAACTAGCCGCTAGTGCAAGTGTCGGTGGCTGTGTCGGTTCCGTGCAGCAAACGCCGCGTCGCCTGAGCAAGGATGAATCCTTCAGCAGTAGCAGCGATGAGTTCAACCAAGGATCTGGCAGCGGAGCGAGAGGAGAAAGCGCAGCTGACGGCGCAGGAATAGACGGAATGGCTGGCGCAGGAGGAGGAGGAGCAGGCTCATCGGCTGGCGGAGACCTCACGCCAGTGCCCAGCACATCTGCGGCAGCACGAGCTGCCCTGGCGGCCGGATCCTCTACTGCGATGCCGGCAATGATGCCTGGTACACCTCACCACCATCACCATCATCACCACATGTCGTCAGCCGGCGCCGCTGGAGCATTATCGGTGCTGGGACTGGCTGCTGCTCCATCGCTGGATCAGCCCGGCGGTAGCGCCTCGTCGTCATCGTTGGCAGCAGCCCGGGCAGCCGCTGTGGCCGCTTGCAGCGACAAGCCACACGTCTTCTCCAATGTCCGACCGACGGAGGATGCCTGGGACATACTGCTGGCCCGAGCCGAGGGCCTGCATGCCCATGGCCATGGAAGCGAGGCCTGCATCCTGGCCGTGCGCCTGGCCGAGCAAATGCTGGCCAATCCGCCCAATCTGCTCCTGGAACTGCCGCCCGCACCGAAGCGCAAGGGCAAGAAACAGAACGTGAATCCCATCTCGCACCAGTTGACCGTGGTGGCCTCCGCTACGCTGTCAAAATGCGCCTTCCTCTGCACGGTGCTGTCGGAGAACTCGGAGCATTATCACATCGGCTTCCGGATATGCCTGTTCGCCCTAGAGATGCCACGGCCGCCGGCCAGCACCAAGCCGCTGGAGGTGAAGCTGGCAAACCAGGAGGCGGATATACTGGCGCTGCTCAAGCGCCTGCCCCTCGGCTCGGCGGAACTGCAGGTGATTCGCGAACGTGCCGAGCAGCTGCGCAGTGGAACCTTCAAGACGCGCGGAGAAGCCCTGCTGCCGATTAACCTGGCCACATTCATATTCGACGCCCTCGTTCTCCTCAGTCCCGTGGGTGGAGGAGGAGGATCTGCTGCAGCCATGCCGGGTTCAGGAGGACTAGGAGCTGCATCAGGAGCCGGTTCTGGAGCGTCTGGCAAATCCCTGGTCACATCCGGCGGCCGGCTGCTCTTCTACAAACCGCACAGCGATGAGAATCTAGGATTTGATGCTGCTGTGGCCGCCTTGGGACTCAAGGCGAATGTCTCGGAGGCAGAGCATCCATTGCTCTGCGAAGGCACACGGCGGCAGCGCGGAGATCTCGCGCTAACCCTGCTCTCCCACTACAAGGACGAGCCACGCAAGATAGCCAAGATCATGGAGAAGCTGCTGGACAGGGATATACACACGCTGCTCAAGGCACCGCTCCTGCCCGCCTACTACTCGAGCAACCCGCCGGTGAGGACGCCGAGCAACCAGCCTACGCGCAGGGAGGAGCATCACGAGTACGGTGGCAGCGGTAGCTCCGCCGGATGTCCCTCATCCAACTGCAATCCCGTGGCCAATCTGTGCGAGCTCCTGCCGGCGGACTATGGCAGTGTCGGTGGCAACAGTCGACCCCACAGCTCTACGAGCGCCGAACTGGAGCTGAGCATGTGCGCCCTGAGCATGGCCAGCAGTGGCAGCCAGTCGGGACAGGGCATGGTGCCCACACCGAATGCGGCCGGAGGCGGAACCACTGGGACACCCAACTCTGGCAGCACCACGGCCAGTGGAGGCCAGAATCCGAGCGGTAATAATCCGAGTGGCAATGGCGCAGGAGGAGGAGGCAGCGGCGGCGGCGGAAACGGTGGAAATGGAGGCGGTGCCAATGGCGGCAGCTCCAGCAGCAGTCGCAGCAAGGAGAGCCGGTACAAGGGCAAGAGGGCATACCCCTCGATACCCAACCAGCCGTCGGAGGCCAGTGCCCACTTCATGTTCGAGCTGGCGAAGACCGTGCTGAACAAGGCCGGTGGCAACAGCTCCACGTCGCTATTCACGCAGGCGAGCACCAGCCAGAATCACCACGGACCGCACCGAGCCCTCCACATGTGCGCCTTCCAGCTGGGCCTATATGCCCTCGGCCTGCACAACTGCGTCAGTCCCAACTGGCTGTCGCGGACGTACTCATCGCATGTCTCCTGGATCCTGGGCCAGGCGATGGAGATTGGAGCGCCGGCTATTAGTTTCCTGATCGACACCTGGGAGGCGCATCTGACGCCACCGGAAGCAGCTGGCATGGCGGATCGTGCGTCTCGCGGCTGGGACAGCAACATGGTATACCCGGCGGCGGAACTAGCCCTCTCCGTTCTGCCCCATGCCGCCGCCCTGAATCCGAACGAAATCCAGCGCGCAATCCTGCAGTGCAAGGAGCAGAGCGATCTAATGCTGGAACGGGCCTGTCTCACGGTGGAAACGGCCGCCAAGGGCGGCGGCGTCTATCCAGAGGTGCTGTTCCAGGTGGCCCGCTACTGGTACGAGCTGTACATGCGGAATACGCCGAACAACAGTGAGCACGAGCCCCACGACGACGCCATGGATCACTCCGCGGTGAGTCTAAGCGCGTTGATCGAGTCGCAGCAACAGCACGAACTCCAGCAGCAGCAACAGCAGCAGCAGCAGGCGGTGCAGCAGCAGGTGCAGCAACAGCAGCAGCAGATGGGTATGCCGAATCCGGGTGTGCCTGGCGGAGGCGGTGGTCCCGGCGGACCCGGACTTCCAGTGGCCGTGCCACCGCCCGTTGGCGTTGGCTCCGCCCTGCCCAATCCGCAGGGCCAGTTCCAGCCCGTGGGCGTAGCCGCACTGGCTCCTCTCGGCCTGGCCCCGTATCCGCCATACAGCTTCTGCCAGGGCCTGTATGCCCACGCCCACCACAACCTGAGCTATCCGCCCGGACAGATGCAGATGTACATCTCGGCTGGACCGCCGCCGCCGCCACAGGCCTACGGTGGCTACCAGCAGGCGCCGCCACAGCAGCCGCCCAATCCGCAGCAGCAGCAGCAGCAGCAGCAGCAGGTTGTGCAGCAGCAGGTCGTGCAGCAGCAGGTTCAGCAGGTGCAGCAACAGCAGGTCGTGCAGCAGCAGGTCCAGATGGCGGGACAGCCGCCGCCGGGGCACCCCGGTCAGCCGGGGCATCCGGGACAGCCGCCATCCGCCTTCCAGCCACAGCCGCCGCCGGGAGCCTTCCAGCCGATGCCACCGCAGGCCTACCAAGCGCTCCAAGCAGGTCCTCCTGGACCGCCGATGGGTCCGCCTCAAGGATACTACGGTCCACCGCCTCCACCACCGCCAAACGGACCACCCGGAGTGGGCGTCGGTGTTGGTGTAGGTGTGGGCGTGGGCGTCGGCGTGATGCCCATGCGGCAGCACCAGCACCAACATCCCGTGTATCCGTTCATGCAGCAGGCGCCGCCGCCTCCAGTGCAGCAACAGCAGCAGCAGGCGCCGCCCTCGCAGCCACCAGTTCGACAGCGACAGCCACACCAGTTCACGTGAGTAAATCCAGAATTAGTGATCCTTTCGTCAGCTTTCCTTGGTTAATAACTCGTTTCCTATAGACCAACCCAGCTGAGGTATCTGCTGGCGGCCTATAATGTAGGCATGCTGGCCATGGAGACGCTGGCTCGCCGCGTCCACGACGACCGGCCGCAGGCCAAGTATGCCCGGAATCCGCCGTACGGCGAGGACGTCAAATGGCTGCTCCGGATCAGCAAGAAGCTGGGCACTCAGTATCTGCATCAGTTCTGCATTTGCGCGGTCAACTCGATCGTGAGTCCGTTCGTCCTCCACGACGTGGCCATCGAGTCTGCCCACTATCTGGGCAGGAACAACCACCAGCTGGTGATGCAGCATCTCCGCTCCGCCCTGACGCCTCTCGTCCAGAAGTGCCAGCAAATGTGAGTATTCCCAGAAGGAGGCGAGATCGAGTTCCCAACGAGACTAATGAGATGGCATTCCATGAAACAGGTACATCCAGTGCATCCACCAGAAGCTGTATCATCTGACGCAGGGCGATTACGAGGAATTCGCCAGCATTGTGGTGGCCGCCCGCGCCGCCTTCCAGATTACGCCCGAGGGCAGTGCCCAGTTTAAGGACTGGCTGCAGTCCATCAAGCGGTAAGTGTCGTTAGAAGGTATTGTATTGTATCCAGCTTACAAGCATCCTTGTCTTGATCTGTAGGTCGAAATCCTGCAAGAAAGAGCTGTGGACACAGATTAATGCGGCTCTGCAGAGCAACTCCAAATGACAAAGACTTGACTCCTGCAATCTGATGACGGCAGTGGCAGCAGCAGCAGCAGCAGCAACGACGAGTGACGCAGCGACGGCGGCGGCTGAGTGCAAATCCACGACAGCGTCGGTGAACGGCAGCGGCGGCATCAGCAACAGCAGCCTCATCATCCCGCTGAATGGCAACAACCACAACAGCATTGCCAGCAGCAATACCAAGAACGTCAGCATCGGCATGAGCAGCTTGGGGGACAACCATCATCATCACCATCATCACCACAGGCATCATCATCTGCTGGAAACGCCAGTAGGTAGCACGGGGGCATCTGTAGCAGCAGCAGCAGCAGCAGCAGCAGCAGCAGCTTGTCAGCCAGCAACAGGAGGTGGAGGCGGAGGAGCATCATCATCAGCTGCAATAGCATCAGTTGCTGCAACAGCTACTAGCTACGATCGAACGGAGCGTGGAGAGCGACGTCCACCGCTGCTGGGGGCACCGCCGCTTTTTGCTATAAGTAACATCACCAACAACAACAGCAGCAGCAGCACTAGCGGCAACAGCAATGGCAGCAACGACAACAGCAACGTCAACAATCGATCGGCAGGAGCAACAACAGCAGCGATTGCTTTTCATCACTCGCTTATGCCGAACTACTATCCCAGCACGACGCGTCAGTTGCATATGCACAGCCATGCCCGGACACATGCCTCACATCCTCACCAGCATCAGCCACATCCTCAGTCACAACTACATCCTCAGCCACATCCACACGCACACCCGCATCCGCACCCGCATCCGCACCCGCATCCACATCCACATCAGTACCAGCTGCAGGCCCTGAGCCATTACCATCAGCAACTTTAACAACGTGTCGGGCCCAGCCCAGCAGCGACTGGTGCGTTTATTGCTGCAGCTCCTGCAACGTCGTCGTCGCTGTCGTCTGAGGAGATTGCCTGGCGGCGACGACGACGCTGTCCCAGCTGCGAGTAATAATCGGCCAGCTGGTCCTGGCACTGGCTTCTGGCTTTGGCTCTGGTTGATGGTGTTGCTGATGCTGTTGCTGGTTCTGGGCCTGCCGCTGTTGCTGCTGATGCTCCTTTGAGCCACCCATACCCATTTTATGCCCCATTTACGAACCTCTATGGATGAGAACCACCGCCACCGCACTTAGTTCATGTTAAATTTACAAATTTCGAGTTTCATTTGGAAAACTTTTGATTATTTCTAAGATTTTTTTTTAATTAAGATAATTTTAATTTTATTTTTAATCCTCTTTGTGTATGTGTGTGTGAGTGAATGGGAGTGTGCGTGTGTACTTCTTTAGACTGATATATCTGCCAACAACAGCTGCAACAACAACAACTGATCCACACACACACACACACTCTCATCCGCACTAGATCTTGGTTAATCGATAAATTTCGATAGTTTTCCAGCTAGCCCACACACACATGCATACATACATACACTCTCATACCCAGACAGCATATATATATATATATATATATATATAGAGCACAGAGGGAGAAGGAGGAGGCTCTGGTGACTCTGTTTGATCATTTTTTCAGAAATATAATGTGTTCAGTTAAATTAACGTATTTATATAGGCGATCTATCAAATAGTTATCTTCAGCTACATCTCTATGCATAAATATCAACTTTGACCCACTAAATATTTGCTTAAAACTAATACCCTTACCCTTACCCTACCCTAACCTTACTTACATTATTGTAAAATTTTTTTTTACTTCAACCTTTTATAGTTTTAAGTTTTAAACTAACTGCTTTTGATTATATTCATTGTTTCTATGCATATTTATATTATTTAGTCTAAGCGAAAACCGATTTATACATAAAATTTTACTTATTTAGTAATTCTTACGGGTTAAGTGAATTTTTTAGGATTTTCAAATTTAAACAAACACAAAAAATTATAAAAATGTAATCGACAATCGAGAGACGAAGAAGTTCTCACCGTAAGGTAGAGCAGTTTGTTTCAAATATTTTAAGCTAGCAAAAGATCTCAAAAACAATTCGTAATCGAAAATTGTTAATCAATATTTCAATTGCATTGGCGAAAAAGCGACTGGAACTGTTTCTTCTTCCAGAGAAATTCCAAAAAAAGAAATTTCTTGTGGAAAGCCTAAACGGTTTCCTTCCAAGTGTTATCCCCTCGTGGAAATGATCCATTCCCGGCTGGAAAGAACTTCCTGGCCTGGTTAGTATGGATCATTCCCCGGGGGATTCCAGCCTGGAAGGGACTGAGCGGGAAATGTCTGAACAAGCTTAATATCATCTCTTGACTGACTTAAGAAATTGATTCAGCAAGAAATAGTAACTTTTTCGTAAATATTCCAATTGGAGAATAATTTCGAAATGGTTTTCTTCGATGGAAACCTGAGGGATATGTGTGCGTGGATCCAGGAAGCTGACTAAGCTTCAACGGATACTCACCCACATGGATAGCAAAAATATTTCGGACAAACTGTTGGAATTTCTTCGGCTTCGACTTCTACTTTGTAATGTTGACACACCCAAACACTTTTTATTATTATGTAAAGAGCTATGAAAAATAGTTTTTCAAAACAGAGTTTCTATTTTTACAATGAAATATAAAAAACAATTGCAAAAAATATTTTATTTCTAAATTGTATTCTTATTTTGAATACTTTTTTCGAATTAATTTTTTTTGTTTGTATCTACTTTTATGAAACATAAACATATTTTAAAAAACCATAAATTCTTTATATTTATACACACAACAAAAAAAAAGAAAAGATGAAAATGAAAAAAAGATGAACAAAATAATTTTTTTTATATACACACAGAAAAAATGATGCTGTTTTGAATAAATATGGTTTTTTGGATTTATATCAAAACGCAAATGAAAAGAACAAAAAAAGACAAAAAAATGAGAAAAAACTAAACAAAAACACTCAAAATAATTAATGCTTGTTTTAATTTTCTTCTGTTGGTTTTCTTTTCCAGAATATTTGTGTCAACATTATTTCCGTTTTGCATAATTTAAGATGTATATTTGTGAACCCTTCAACCGATTCCTCCCACAACACTCACGCCCAATTGAAACTAAAAAAGGAAACTGCCACTTTCTTGAGGATTCATTAAATACGTTACATATTATAATATAAATATGATATAATTGAATAGTTTTTACACGATCGCGGATCCCGGAAGCACCTCAGTCTCAGTCTTAGTCCCCGCTTGGAGGTTGTAAATATACGCATTGGATTGACGATAATGTCTTATATATATAAATATTGTAACTATTTGTGTTTTTGTACTATCACCGACGTATGTACATCGAGTCCAGAGATCGGATTCGAGTTCTGTAAGCAATCGCGTAATTTGTAAACTTTTAGTAGCCAGTTTTATACAAAAGAGAAATCCCAAACAAAAAAAAACCGAAAACTAAATCTATATATATTTATAAATATACATAGTTAACGAAACGCAATCTGTAAATTACACTTAACGAGAGAAATGTTTTTAAATTACATTATAGTTGACTTTTTCCATGAAAAACAAAAAACTTAGCAAAGATTTCACGCTTTGTTCACGAAAACAATTTTTGTAAAATATGAAATACCGTATAAAATAATAACCCATTTAGTAGCAACCATTTACCCATTGACTTGAGCCACACTCAACAATAAAAACAATAACTGAAGAGCAAAACGAATCGAAACGAAAGCGGGAATGCAAGAAACAAGAAAATTATACAATTAAAAAAATAATAATAAATGCAAACATAATGTTAACGTAGCCGATTTAGCCTTTAGATCACATTTAGCGCATATTTTACACAAGCGTAGTGAACCAATTCCAAAAACTAAACTTAGAGAAGAACGCCGCACAAGCCAACCCAAGACCCAAGAGTCCAATCCACACAGCTAACAATATAGCAAAAGGTAAAATTTTTAATAAATTTCAACACATATATGTATATTTCAATCGGAGCGAGATCAACAGTGTGTTTTATAAAACTCTTGAACTTTTCCCAACCGGAAGTCATGTTTGTAATCGAAACAAGTTTAAACACGGAGCGAGCTCCTTGATATCGATGACAAAAGATATCCTGTCAGAGTTCCAGAGGTTAATCGACTGGATCCTCTGGAGTTAAAACTACAATTTCAAGTTATTTACGATTCTTGATCTCTAAACCAAACATGTTCCATGATCTTTAAGGAAATACAACCCTATATCATTTAACTGCCACTGATATTCTTTCGAAACTCCAAGCCTAGAGTTATTTTTCCAACCGAATCAGAATCAGTATCAAGATATAGAACACACCCACTATAGAGACGTGTATATAGTCATACGCACGGCGGAGAGGCGAGATCTGGTTGCTTGCCGTATATATTTACAGATTTACAGATAGAATTAGACTATTGACGCGGACATAATATAATGTTAATTGTAAGTCGGAAATAAAGCATTACCTCATACTTTAAATACTTATGATGACAACAGTTACCAGTAGAACGACAAAAACTCTGAATATATAAATATATATATATATATATACAATATATACACACACACGATATATGTATATTCAAATATTTATATACATATATAGGACATTTTTTTGTAGCAATCGAACTTAGGCTTTATGAAATTCTATCATTTACGAAACGAATTCCCAGTGCTGCAAAGCGATATCCTCGCTGTGCCAGAAGAGATCCTCCTCTCCACGCGGTGGCCTGGCAACCCTGGAATCTATGAGTTGTTCGCTCTTTGTACATTTTTGCACTGTATAAAAATAAAACCAAAAACTATAAACTAAACTAATAAATATATATTAATTATATATATATATATATATACATATAAAAATTGCTTGCTAAAAAAACAAAAAAAAAAAACCGTTTAAACGAACGAAACGGAAAACGCGCAAAAAAGTTTATCATAAAAAATATAGTCATACATATACATAAATATATGTATATAATATATATATATATATATATACAATGGAGCGTTATTTATATATATGCCTACAGAAAAAAACCAAAACAAGCGAAAAACAAAAACTATTATATACAAAAAAAATATATATACATACATATATATATATATATATATATATATAATATAATTTATTTATATATATATTTATAAATATATATATCTATATATATATATATATATATTATATATATATACAATACTTATTTACATTGCGTATTTTAGCGTTTTATTCGACATCGGAAAATAAAAACAACAGAAAATAAAAACCAATTGTAGAAACGCTACAAAGTGTTCTTTTTAACGAAAAAATGAGAAAAATAAAACAAAAAAAAAAATATATATATATATAAAAACATAAATAAATTCGGAGAGCGAAAAAATAGTAAAAAAAATGAAAGTAAGAGGGCGACAGAAAAAATATTTATACACTGAGAAGATGCAACGTGGCATGTTGAAAGCTTAAATATAAATCAGAGATAAATCGACAGGAAAAAAGAACGATATAAATATTTAATTCAATAATTATTGAATAATAAAAATGTTTTTTTTTTACCAATCGCTGTAAATAAAAAGCAAAGAATAAAAAAAAACCCAGACACACTTCTCACGCGTTTCCTTTCCGTTTTCAATGATTTGTGATTTTTCTCGGTCGCAAAAATCCCCAAAAAACAATGCAAAGCTTTAATTCATTGCCACACACACCACACACACTCACACACAGCGATGCTAAAGTGCTTTAAACACGTAAATAAATACATTTCTCTTAAGTAAAAAGTGCTAACAACTTTTTAAAAAACAAAAACATAAACAGATGACGATGAAGAACAGAAACTCTGCCAAAAACAAGCTACTCTTAATAACTAACAACATATAAATGAAAACCAAGAATAATAATATTAATAAAATAAAAAAATAAAACAGAAGAAAAGCGAGAATATTCTTTACAAAAATAGCAACAAATTGTAAACAACAAATAATACGGCAAACTAAATAAATAATTATAATTATACAGGCATAAACTCAAAGCAAAGCAGAATGAATTAAGAGACAAAACGGAAATTAAATAAAAAAGCTTATTTTATATATTCGAACATACAACAATAATATAACAGAAAACAATGACCATTAAATGAATTAAATTATATATGAACAGAACTATGCATACACACATATGTATATAGTATATATATATATATGAATATGAATGATTTTTAACCATGAGATGTAAAGAGAAATTGAAGAAATCATTTTCGAATTTTAATAGTTTTCACGAAGCGGAAAAGCGGAAACGGAAAAGCAGCAGGCAGGCTTGAGTTGTGGTGGTTGCGAGGAGAGAGAGAGAAAGCTAGAGACGCGCATTATTATTAACTAATTTAATATGCAATATATCTACTATATTAAAAGGAAACAAAAAAAAAAAACAAGAAAAACCAACAACTTCAATACGAATAAAATGAGAAAGAGAAAAATTAAAGTATACACAGCAAAAAGAAGAATATAAAAATGAACACATTTTAAAACAATGAAAATAAAACGGGGAAAAAATACAACAACAAAAAACACAAATAAAAACCAACAAAAAAAAAAAACAAAAGAAAACAGAAAAAACATAAAAGCCAACGATTTTCCTTAATATCGGGGAGTACTAGTATATATTTTTCTCACCGCTAATCGATTAATCACGATGCCGATGCGATAGCCCACCACCGAAACATCGATAGGCGAGCGAGCTATTTCGATACGAAACATCGATAGGCGAGCGAGCATATTCGATACTGTGTGTTTATAAGCGAGAAGGAAACTTGCTTCGGCGACAATTTCAAAGCGCCCAAAAGACGAGCAAGGCGTCCGTGCCTGCCAGCGTCCAGCGTCCAGCAAATCCTTGCCGGAAATCCAGTTACAGCAACAGCCACAGATCCCTATTCTGAGCAGCAGGACACGCAACCAGTTTCAAAAGTTGAAAAGTGCGCGCCGCCTTAAACGCCGTTTGTTTCCAGTTTAAAACCAAGTTTTGTTCAAGTTCAAGTTCAAGTTGAGTCGAAATGCCTTTCGCCCACGAATCGCAACTGAAGTCGGTGGCCAGCGAACAGCTGACCAAGACGGAGACCATCAAGCTGCGCAACCAACACATCGGGTGAGCATAATCCTTTCCTTTCCTTTCCTTCCTTACTTTCTTGATTGATTAAAAATATTTCAAAAAATATATAAAACTTTCTAAATGTAAATGCACTGCCATATTAAGTATACGTCACATTACGTATACGTATCCCAAGCCTCCAACAATCCGCCCAACTGGGTCGAGTGAGCCTGCGACCTTGCCTTGAATTCGCTTTGGCTGTCAAGGTCAAGTGCGGCGGCGGCATCCCCAAAACACAGCCCACTCATCGCCTGCCGCCCTGCCCCTCTGCCTCCTCTTTATTCTTGGCACTGTTGCCACCTGCAGTCGCTGCCTCCCAAAAAGAATGATGAAAGAGCGACAAAGAGAGAGAGAACAAGAGAGAGAAAGTGCGAGCACCAAAAATTGGCTATTTATTTTTGTTTTTTTATTGATTATTCAGTTTTGAAGCGGAAATGTAACTTACATTAGCCTGGTTTCAAATATCTAAATGTCTCTCTCGTCCTAGTTACTTTACTTTGAAAATCATTTGAATACTATATATATTCTCTATAGGCTTTCTGTTGAATTATAATTAAATTATATAGATAATATATATCTATATTCTAAATTCATATATCAATAGCAATAGAACACATGACATATATTCCCAATTTTTGGGTTGTTTTAAAAATAGCTGCCACGGGTTTGTTCTAATTTCTAAATAGTTAAATTAGTCAGCTTGCTTTTGTTGATTGTTTTATGTATTATATATTTTATTTTAATTGGAATAATTTAAACACTTTCTCATCTAGTTCAAATCAATCTTTGTCCCCTTTCATTAAAATTAAAGAAGAAAACAAGAGTTTTCTTGAAAAATGTTCCCCTAAACATCAATTTCAAAGGTTAAAATTCATGATAAATTGCTTTACTTAAAGAAAACCCCATTGCTTCTTATTTAAATCATATTTCTTGTTTCGAAAGTATGCCTTAAATATATTTAAAAACGTATTTCTTTGTTGACACACCTTCCTAATCATCAAGAATATATATATATATATTTAGAAAATATATACATAAACGATCAAAGTGCATTAATTTGTGCACTCTCCCGCTCCTCCTCCTCCTCCCATTTAATGTTTATCAAACATTCGCCGCCTTGTTTTTGTCTGGCAAACAACAAATGCAATAACCATTAGATTGGGCGTGTGGAGTGGGTTGGATGGATCGGACGTAATCGGAGCGGTTAGGCCCCGGTTTATAGAGTCCCTCCCCGGAGTACGTCATTGCCGTCGCCTGGCCTTACCTTACATTGTAACCCAACTATCTAGCTTTATGGGCGGTGTGCTTTCTTTTATTATATGTTATTTTCACTAATTATTTAATGCTCTCTTACAGGCAAGCCTGTCAGCTGTTCTACCGCTCTGATCCCCTGAAAATCGTACGGGGCCAAGGTCAGTACATGTTCGACGAGGAGGGAACCCGGTACTTGGACTGCATCAACAATGTGGCCCACGGTAAGTCCATCTAACATATTTTATAATGCTAGAATCTTAGTCAGAAGCTTGTAAAGCAGTGAAGAAGTCATTTCCGACCCTATATTTCATATATATTCTTGATCAGCATTAACAGGGGAATCTTTCTGGCAGAAAAACAAATTTTCAAAAATTTGAAATTTTTTGAAGAAAAAGGAAAGGGGTTACATCGTTAAAATTGTTAAAATTTGGCAAAAATTTACTTTTTTTAATGAGTATGCAGATTTGTTAACAAATTGAAAACTAGCACAGAACAGCTTGCCGAATTGAAATTAAGGGATTTTTAACAAAGTTGTGAGTTTTTAAAGTTTGATTAGTTGAACAAATTTTCATATAATGCCCTGTAACCAATTATATGAGTTGTTTTTCACTTTTTACATCATCTATTGCGACTTTTTATTTAAATTAATAATTAGGTAAATACGCAAAAAGGAATGGTATAGTCTTTAATTAAAAAATATACCTAAAAAGCGACTAGAAATGCTATAATGTGAAAATATATAGATTTCTAGAAGAGGTGTGGATGTAGAATAGATAGCATAACAAAGAAACTTTTCTAAAATCTCTTAAGAACTATATAAATATTTGAATATATTTAAGAATATATTTTATGAGAGTTGTAGGATTTGAAATTTGTTTAGAAATAATAAAATTAATGTGAGTATAATGATAGGAAACCTGCAATTGTCATAATGATTTGCATTTCACTAGGAAACATATTAAAAATTGAATAGAACTAATTAAAAACTAACTAAAAATTCGATAAAGCGACCTCAGTTAACGATGGAGAGTCAATTTTTCAATATTTGTTGGTTAGTTAATGAAATATATGTATATATTTATATATAAAGCCAAGGCCAGTTGTCAAGTTCAATTCGCTAAGGCGGCAATTCTGGAACCGGGGCCTGATGACGACAAACGCTGGACCCCCGTCCGGCCAGTCGGACGTCGACACCTCTCCCAGATCCTATATTTCTATTTCTATTTCGGTTACTGTTACTGTTTCTGTTTCTGTTTCTGATTATGCTGATTAGCAAAGGCAAATGGCACACGCCGGATGCAAAGTGCACCCTGGCCGAGAAAAGGGAGGGGTGCGGGGAGAGGGGGCCCGACAGTTTGGCAACAAGTTCAAGGCCCATATAGATACAAGTGGCAACCAGCGGGGAGCAGTTAGCAGTCAGCAGCCAACAGACGGCGGCGGCGGCATGTTCAGGCCCCGATTGGGGAACCAGCTGCGCCGGCTGGCGACTGAGTCAGCCTTATCACACATCGCCCACCGACGGACCGACCTGTGGGTAATTTTTTTTTTTAGATGCTGCCTAACGGAATCGGATGACGGGGCGGCGGGCCCGGGCCCGGGTCCGGGTCCGGGAGTGGCCAGTTGGATCTGATTTCAGGTTTCAGATTTCGGATTTCGGGCCCCGACTCGACACAGACGCCCAGAGCAATAACTGACGATTAAAACAACAGTCGTCCCATCAAGACAATCACTCATAATAACAATAACAATAACAATAACAGCATTTGCGTATAAAATGTACACCGAGTACACACACCGGGTATTACGTGCATAACAAAACATATATCACCGCCGGACATCGAGGGGGGTCGCCTAAAACCATATCAACTTATCAGCTGAATAACATCAACAACATCAACAACAGGGAGGAGGAACTGACGTTGTCTGGGTTCCAATTTGCCAATTTGCTGGGATTTATATTCCTAAATGCTTCCTACAACGGAATTTTCCATTTACAATAATCTGTGTAAGGAAAATATATTCAATTTTATGATTCTGATGGGTTCAGAGTTACATTTTGGGTAGCTCTAAAAAGATATGATATAGGTCTAAGGATCCCACAGTTCAGTGAAAGATAAGGAGTATGCCTTATAGTTGCCTTGATTAGTTAATTAATTAAGTACTACTATATTAAGGCATATTTATAGATCCAAATTCTATATTAAACTAACTTCTTGATTTGTTTACTTTTTGCAAATTCCAATCATTAACAAATTAGTTGGGCATTTAAAGTTGACCTTTCTAAATTTAATTTCAAATTCTAGTGATTTATATGTTGTTTTTAATGTTGTTCTTGCTCCGGTTTTATGCTGATAAGCTGAGGCCATTGGCATTGCGAATCTAATGAGAAATCATAGAATAGAAATGGAAATCCAATGGGGACGGACGGATGAGTGATAACGTTGTGCTCTATTAATTTGTTCGTATTTATTTATAAATAAGTTTTAGTGCCTAAAACAAGGGGGGGCCAATCCTAGAAACACGTTCTAAAGGGGCCTGATAGTCATTTCCACGGGGACAAGTGGTGAAATTGTTGTCGGGGCCCGACTATTAATAGTTTGCAAATCACTCTTTGTAGGGGCTATCAGGGAAGGTACCCTTTTAGGTACACCCTTTTTTCAGTGCGATCTATAATCGAGATTATTATGTATTAATTTGAAATAATTCCAGCTTATTTAAGTGCACTAGAAGCTACATAATATATTAAATAATATATAGATCCTAAGATCAATTCAAATGGGGTTCCTGAAAAGCTTCTTTAAGCTATCATAAGTAACTCTTCCGCCTTCTGTCCTTGCTTCCTTGGGATTAATTCTAAATAAATCATAAAAAGATCTTAAATTACAGATCATAAGCATTACCAATGATCAAATTAAGATGCCGTCTTTAGCCTCTCTCAGAAAATGTTATAGAAATGAGATCGTTTTCTATGGTGACCTATATAGGCATTTGCAACGCTCCATTTTCGATCACGCCATCGATTGATACTACCCAGAGACCTTTATGTAATGCCCTCTGACCATATATATTGACACTATATAATCAATAACAATGTAGGAATTAATAACAAAAAACTACCCCATTGCAAACGTGATAAGGCAGTGCACGTGTTGAACGATCGTTGGAACTGAACAACATGTTATTTCTATTGCTGCGACGCTTTATTATTATGAAATGGAAATGGAAATGGAACCACGTTCCGTGTAATCTCGTGCTACTTTTTCCACTCCACTCCAGGGCAGTCCACAAACCTTATCGGTGCTCTGGAGGAGAGGGGGTACAACATGTGAACGTCTCGTGCCGAATGGAAATGTACTCGAGATAGCTCCTAAGCATGATCCCGTCCAGCGTACAGTCTAGCGTCCGATCTAGTTCCAATAGAGGAAGAGGAGGAGGAGGTCCAGGGTTCTGAGGGATCTGAGCAATCAGCTGTGCCACACATTGCGAGTGGAAAATTCTGTTCAGATAAGGGGAAAAACAAACGGGCGGTTGGACAAAACAGAGGGAAAACCATGGGGTGCGGCAGTGGAAGTGAGAAAAATCATGTCAACTTGCCAAGATGTTGCGAAAAATAGGAAACTCAATTCACATGTTTTGTTTCAAGGGAAACTCTACCTCTTTGTTTTCTTTCATGGGTGATTCCCCCTTGCCGTTGAGCAACTGTTTACAACTCAACTGTACTTTTGTGGCACTTGAATCAAATTACAAATATAATAAATACTACTGAATAGACGGAGACTACCCCATGGTCATGCCCCAGTGCAAAGTGCCTAATCAGTGGCCACCACCACCACTACTCATTACCCACTGGACTCGACTCGAGACTCTCTGCCATATCAGAAACTACAAACGTGAAGGCATCGCGTGTACTTCACGTGATCCCATGGCAGACGCTTATCAAGGGGCGTGAATCCGAAACCAAATACGAATCCGTGACAGAATTAGAGGCACAATCGGAACGAGTAGTTGACCCCCAAAGCGACGCAATCTTGCCTCGGAACGGGACGGTACGGGAGCGGAGTGCTCTAAAGCCGGGTGCCGCCAGCCCCGTTTTGCTTATCGCCCATCCGCCGGGGCCTACTGCTCTGGATGGGCTGATGATGAGTGCTTGGAGCACTTGGACCCGGGCCTGTCTGGACACACAGCAAATAAATGGATGAGTGGAATGGGTGTGTGTGTGTGTGCAAGCCCTGTGATAACGCCCCCAAAGGTGGGATTTTTGGAGGAGCTGAACCGAGGCTAAGCCGAGAGGAGGGAGAGATCACGTGCGGGTTCCAATTTATTTTTGGGGGTAAAGTTTTCCCCCGGTTCTAATCGGAACTTTGCTTGATCTATAAATAAGAATTAGAAGCTAATCTTTCACCGATATGGTCAAGTGTGGGGGCTGCGAACAAAGGTTCTATTTTTGGGGTCAGTGAGTCTTAATAATCTACCCAGATCTACTTTTTTTTCCCCTAATCTTTAATCAAAATTCAATTAATAATGATCTTAGCCTCATTCGTTCTCATTGCTACAAATCTCAGTATTTTGAATCGAAAACTAACAAGTGGACTTTTACTTTCCAGTTGGCCACTGCCATCCGGAGGTGGTGCGAGCTGGTGCCCTGCAAATGGCCACCATATCCACAAACAATCGCTTCCTACACGATGAACTGGTGCAGTGCGCCCGGACACTGACCAGCAAGATGCCGGAGCCGCTGTCCGTGTGCTTCTTCGTCAACTCCGGTTCGGAGGCCAACGATTTGGCTTTGCGACTGGCCCGGAACTTTACCAAGCGCCAGGATGTGATCACCCTGGACCAGTGAGTGCCACCTAAAACTCTCTACCTAAATCCCATCTCTAATCCCTGTCCCCCTCTCTGCTTGCAGCGCCTACCATGGCCATTTGCAGTCCGTGATGGAAGTGTCGCCCTACAAGTTCAACCAGCCGGGCGGAGAGACAAAACCCGACTATGTCCATGTGGCCCCCTGTCCGGATATCTATGGTGGTCAGTTCACGGACAAAATGTATCCCGATGCCGACATGGGCGCCCTGTATGCCCGGCCCATTGAGGAGATATGCCAACGTCAGTTGGCCAAGGGTCATGGCCATGGTGTGGCCGCCTTTATAGCCGAGAGCCTGCAGAGCTGCGGTGGCCAGATCCTGCCGCCGGCTGGTTACTTCCAGGCCGTGTACGAGGCAGTGCGTTCCGCCGGTGGCGTTTGCATTGCCGACGAGGTTCAGGTGGGATTCGGACGCGTTGGTAGCCATTACTGGGCCTTCGAGACCCAGAATGTCGTACCCGATATTGTGTGCGTGGCCAAGCCCATGGGCAATGGACATCCTGTGGGTGCGGTGGTCACCACACCGGAGATTGCCCAGGCCTTCCATGCCACCGGAGTGGCCTACTTCAATACGTACGGAGGCAATCCGGTTTCGTGTGCGATTGCCAATGCCGTGATGCGGGTTATCGAGCAGGAGGGCCTGCAGCAGAATGCCCTCGTCCTGGGTGACTATCTGCTCCGCGAGTGCAATCGTCTCAAGCAGGACTTTGAGTGCATCGGCGATGTGCGTGGCGCCGGACTCTTTGTGGGCATCGAGCTGGTCCGGGACCGGGCGGAGCGTAGTCCGGACAAGAAGGCCGCCCATTGGGTGGTCAACCGGATGAAGCAGCTGCACCGCGTCCTCGTCTCCTCCGACGGACCCAACGACAACGTGATCAAGCTAAAGCCGCCGATGTGCTTCAGCCGGGAGAATGCCGATGAGTTCCTGCTCGCCTTCCGCGAGTGCCTCACCACCCTGATGCAGGATCGTTTGACCAGTGCCACCAGCAGCGCCGCCGCTGTGGCTGCCACCAGTGGCGTCATTGCCACCGCCGCCGAGACGCTGGCCAACAAGACGAAGCTCTTCGAGCGGCAGGATCGCCTCATCAAGTCCGTCTGAGGCAGTGCCTGCTGGTTGGCCAGCAGCAGCTCCACCAATGCCTCTCCGCCCGGGCACAAAATAGCTTTAGCCTTAGCCGCCAAGGATATTTAAATTATTCCATGATCCCCATGTCCCCATGTCCCCCTACCCACCCCCTCTCCAAAAATATATATTTTTTGATTAGTTCTTAGTGTCATTTGTAGCACATGCATATGTAACCATTGTAACCATTATTCTGTTCGTCAGATATCTTCTAGTATCTAGAAAAATGTAGGGCGCCCAACGCGAATTTCTTCCATTGTTATGTGTACCTTTTCCCCATTATTACAAATATTATTATTCCTTTTTTTTTATGTATTTTAAGCACAAAATTAAAAAAAAAAATGTTATTAAAATGTTAAATACATATATTTTTTTAACCGCAAAAGCGCGTAACGTTTTATTTTTGGATTTCCATTTCGGAAATAACTCATTCTAGGGCTCTTAAATCAACAAAAAATGTACAAATTCGGTACAAATTCGTCGATTTCTCGATTTTAAAAATTCAACATTTTAAATTTAAAATTTTGAAAAAAATTTTATTTTCTGCCGAAGTAGGGTAGAAAGATTCGCCTTTTGATACTGATCAAAAATATAAAAGATATAAAGGGTCGGAAATCCCTCCTTCTAATTGAAATTAATGCATTTTAAACTTTGACTGTCCCAAAAAATATTTTAAAAATTATCAATTATAAATTTAGATTTCAGGAATCATTCAGAGGAAAATGTAATTTTAATCAGTGAAGCAGCCATTTCCGACCCTATAAATCATATATATTATTGATCAGCATAAACAGGCGAATCTTTCTAGCCATCCCAGGTACCAAAACAAACTTTTCCAATTTTTCAAAAAAAATGAAAGGGGTTACATCGTTAAAATTTTAAAAAATCTAACAAAAAATCGAATTTCCTAAAAAATTAAATTTGGTATGCAGATTTGTTAAGCGCCAAACATCTAACACAGGAACGCTTTCCGAATTGAAATTTATGCATTTTTGACAAAGTTATGCGATTTGTTAACTTTGACTGTCCAAAACGAATGATATAAAAAATCGTTGGAAAAAATAATTATCAAATAAAAATTATTAACCTTCAAAAAACTAATAAACGAACAAATTAAACGTAAGAAGATATTTTTATATACAATTATTAATATATAAAGATCCCCAAATCCCCTAGCAAGAAAGGCAGCTGAATTTCTCACCCCGAAGGTGTTTATACCCTTCCAATTTTCACCTTAAATCGTTGAGAATTGATTCCCTTTCCTCAAGTAAAAACAAAAACTAACTAAAAGCTCTTAATGTAACGGCTTGGATAAAATGTAAACATTCGAACATTCTCGATTGAGGACAGTTATCAGAAACGCAAAACGAAGAAGGGAATAAGAAAAAATAAGATGAAATGATCTTCACTCACTCTGTTCGTAGTTGTAACTCTGTTCGTAATTGTAAAAAGTTCCCACGCTGGTAACGTTTGCCTCTTCTCTTCACCGTTAAAATCCACGCAATACACCGGGCGAAAAATTGTTAGTCAGGCAAAATATGTGTGCTAGAACCAAAAAAATATTATAGAAAATACAGAAAATAAAATAAATAACTTTGTAATAAACTATAATTAAATAATAAATAAAAAATAAATCAGAAGAATAAAATAAATATAATAATAATATATAATAACACAAAAATAATATACATTAAAAATCAAAAATAAAAATACACAGAAAATACATAAAACAGCACACATAAATTCTCAGTGTACACTACCTAGTCGTAAATGTTCCAATTTCAATACACAAATATTCACACTTTTACCTGTTTCCGAAAACTTCGATGTGCTGATTTTTCAACACAGAGCACAAAATCCGCGAATATGTACATTTTCCTGCCGTTTTCCGAACTTTCCTAACTTTCCAAACTTTTCTGATTGAGCTGCAACCAACCTTCGACCGATCTTTTCAACCGAACAATGCGAAATGAAAAATGCAAAGAGGAGAGGGAAGAACTTGAGAGGGGAGAGCTTGAGAGGGGAGAGCTTGAGAGGGGAGAACTTGAGGGGGAAGAACTTGAGAGGGGAGAGGGGCAGTTCAAAGAGCGACACCTTCTCTCACCTGATATTAGAAGCTGATAACGAAAAAATAGCTCTCTCTCAATTTTCGAGGGCTCGTCTGGAACCACGATCTATTTTATTTCTTTGGTTTTGTCTTATAAAGTAAGGTAAAGTAAACAGTATATACTCTATAAGGTTGGAAATTAAACTATGCAACATTTTTGACAAAGTGATGCAATTTTTAAATTTTGACTGTCCCAAAAAAATGATATAAAAAATCGTTGTAAAAAATAATAATCAAACAAAAACGTTAGAAGATATTTTTATATACAATTGTTCATATATAAAGATCCCCAAAACCCCTAACAAGAAAGGCAGCTGAATTTCTCGCCCCGAAGGTGTTTATACCCTTCCAGTTTTCACCTTAAATCGTTGAGAATTGATTCCCTTTCCTCAAGTGAAAACAAAAACTAACTAAAAGCTCTTAATATAACGGCTTGGATAAAATGTAAACATTCGAACATTCTCGATTGAGGACAGTTATCAGAAATGCAAAACGAAGAAGGGAATAAGAAAAAATAAGATGAAATGATCTTCACTCACTCTGTTCGTAGTTGTAACTCTGTTCGTAATTGTAAAAAGTTCCCACGCTGGTAACGTTTGCCTCTTCTCTTCACCGTTAAAATCCACGCAATACACCGGGCGAAAAATTGTTAGTCAGGCAAAATATGTGTGCTAGAACCAAAAAAATATTATAGAAAATACAGAAAATAAAATAAATGAGAAGCCAAAAATAAATAACTTTGTAATGAAATATAATTAAATAATAAATAAATAAAAAATAAATAGAAGAATAAAATAAATATAAGAAAACACCCAAAAATAATAGACATTAAAATCAGAAATAAAATTACACAGAAAACACACAAAACAGCACACATAAATTCTCAGTGTACATTACCTAGTCGTAAATGTTCCTATTTCAATCCGAATTTTTACACTTTCATCTGTTTCCGAACACTCCGATGTGCTGATTTTTCACAACAGAGCACAATGTCCGCGAATATGTAAATTTTCCTGCCGTTTTCCGAACTTTCCTAACTTTCCAAACTTTTCTGATTGAGCTGCAACCAACCTTCGACCGATCTTTTCAACCGAACAATGCGAAATGAAAAATGCAAAGAGGAGAGGGAAGAACTTGAGAGGGGAGAGCTTGAGAGGGGAGAACTTGAGGGGGAAGAACTTGAGAGGGGAGAGGGGCAGTTCAAAGAGCGACACCTTCTCTCACCTGATATTAGAAGCTGAACGAAAAAATAGCTCTCTCTCAATTTTCGAGGGCTCGTCTGGAACCACGATCTATTTTATTTCTTTGGCTTTATCTTATAAAGTAAGGTAAAGTAAACAGTATATACTCTATAAGGTTGGAAATTAAACCATGCAACTTCTGACTTGGATTATAATACCCTGAAAAGGTATAACAACTTGTAAAATTACTAAATTACTAATTGGAAAATACTTTCTTTCTCTCCCTTTATTAACAATGAATTTAATTAAATATATATAGGTAAAACCTGTTTATTTCAATTTCAAGCAATTATTAGTAGTTCAAGGCAATGGAAATCTATGCAAATTTTGTGACCAGCAAAAGACTAAAAACTATAAAGAAATATATATAAATATAGAGATTTTTAACTTCCCTTTAAAAAAAAAATTAACATTTTTGAAACATTTTTTCTGCCAGATATGGTTGCATAGATTCAAGAATATATATGATTTACGGAAATGATTAGTTCACAGCGTAACAAGCTTTGATGCCTCCAAGGGTATCGATGTTTTGAAAAAAAAGGGATACGCCGATAGTATCGTTATCGCTAGTATGTTTTTGCATCACTAGTTCTTACCTGTTTTGTGAATTTCCTTTGTTTTGTAACCAGTTGGCGCTTCATTTGTGTGTTTCCCAAAGTTTAGATGAAAGTTTCCCCTGGCAAAGCGTAAATCTGAAGCACCTCTCAGTATGTTGCATATGCCGCCTAGACAACAAAAGAGCCTGGTTGGGCCTACCTACGCAGTGACCATCGGTATGCTGGTCATTGGACAGATCCAGGTCTCGGCGGTCATGGAGATGTGAGTAGCGCAGACATTGTCGCACACGCTGGGATCTTTAATGAATTGAATCCCTCTGGCCGGCAGCAAGTCCATGAAGGATTACCTTGCGAAGCGCTACTTTGTCAGCCTGATCCAGTTCTTCATCAGCTTCCTGTCCATCCAGCTGTACGGTTTCTTCTATCGCATGATTGTGGAGAAGTCAATATGGGTGCGCATTCTGGCTGGCCTGTGGACGGTAAGAACTGGGATTGTGAGCCACGAGTAATTACTTGCATTATCAATTACAGTACCAAGTGAATACGTTGTCCATCATGAAGCCCGCCCAACAAGCGCCGTACTTCTGCCTCGCCATATCCTTGGGCGTCACCTATATAATGATGGGGCTCGGTGCGATTTATGGCCACGCAGCGAGGCGTCACGAGCGAGGTCTCTTTGTATGTACATAACAGTGCTCTCCTCTCCTAATTGGGCCTCCTCCTTGTTACCCATTGATCCACAGATTTCGCGGCACAAGGTGATCCTTTGGAGCGAAAGGCTATTTGTGGTGACATGCTTCGGGATCATTGTCAGTGCCGAATTGAACAACGTTTACATCGAGTTTCCCACCTTGGTCGTGTACACGCTCATGTCTAATGTGGTAAAAAAAGATATATGTACGTATCTATCTGATAAATGTGTCTCATAATACTCGCATTCTTCAGTTCGTCATCATGTTTGGCGCCTCCCTGCGAAGACCGAACTTTTATCACCGCAACGGCCCCGGCGACTATATATTAATCGGTCAGCTCTACTATTTGAATTTTTTCGCTTTGTATATGAGTATTGTGTGGACGACAGCGTCGTTCTTGGAAATCATGGATTTTGACATTGACATCAAGAGATACATTAAGGATTCTAACAAAAATGCCACCGTAAAGGTGATTATCTTGTAAGATCCATGTGAATTGCTGCTGTTATATTTTATTTGCATATGTTTAAAGTAAATAAAAAATTATGTTCATGACTTCTGGTAGGCCAATTAATAGTACCTGAAATGGGAGATAAATTCAAATCAAAGCAGATTTTATTGTATATTTCAATTGATATTGTAAATAATAATTTGATAATTTGAACTCAATGGAAGAGAATACCGTCAAGCTTGAAGATCAGGAAATGTTATTATTTTTGATGTCGCTATTCATTCAACCAGGCCAGGAGACGGGCGGTACGGTAGGTCTCCCTGTGTTCCGGCGACAGCATGCTCACATATCCATTAGGTTCGCACAGATCCACATGTGTTCCATGGAATGAGTTATAGCCCTTGTGCAGCAAATAGAGCTCAGGATAGTTCAGTTTCGGATAGTTTCGATAATGATGGCTTCGATCATGGTTGCGCAGGTAGCGCATTATTCTGGATCCCCTCATCGCGGAGAACTCGCAGTAGAAGATATAAATGAGACGCTGAGCAGCCTTCTCCTGATTCTCCTCTATTATGCTAGGAAAAGTCTTCCGGATTTGGTCGAATGAATAGATATTCCAGGCACCACGAATGTGACCGGCATCAAATTCGAATGGATACCGGCAGTCGATGATCTGGTAACCACCGCCAGGACCCAACTCCTTGGCGAATTCGCCCTGCATGAGGCGGGCCAGGGTATCGCTCGAAATGGTCTTCAAATCACGATGACGAGTGCCTTCCAGCAGGAAGGGCAGAGCATAGGGCTTGCTCAGATCCCCGATCAGGTGGGATTCCAGTATATTCAGCTTGCTATACATCTGCAAAAGGTTACGAGGGGTATTATTTGTGGTATATACTTGGTTCAACTCTAATTGGTTACTTTTTCTAATTTATTTTTGGTAAAGAAACTTACTGTGGCTTTTTTTATTTCTTAACGATTCGTTTCGGTCAGAAGAAAAATCTGTAGTCAACGTTGGACAATCAATGACCCAAAAGTCAAGGCAACAGGATGGGACAATGGTTTGACGTGGCAAAAAATTGTAAAGCACACTTGAAAAACAACACTTTCCAACACAGACAAGTTCTGAGCAATTGTGTGTGCCTAGGGAAATCCCCATTACTCGTATTGGAATGGAAAATCCTAGTTGGCGAGGTTCTAATTGACCTAGAAGGTGTCTCCTCATAATTTTGCCAATTTTAACGATGTAAAGGGGTTAAATAATTTTTTTTAAATAGATGGACGATTTTTCAATTTTTTGTGTACCCCGGAGTCGGCTAGAAAATTCGCCTGTTCATGCTGATCAAGATTATATGACTCCTTTACTGTGTTTTAAGTTTTTGACTGAAATTATAACATAAAAGGGTATAAAATTAATAAGTATTAATTAATAAAATTATAGTATGGGGAAAATTCCATTTAAAATGCATGTAACTGGGGTGTTTAGTGTTGGGGTTTATTAATTTTTGGTGTTTTTGAACTGTTTATCAACGATGAACAAAATATATATGAGTACCTTGGAAGTGTAAGCATGTGAGAAGCACAGGAACATTAGGAGCATCTCTCATAATAAAAAATATAGTGATGAAGATCAAATTTAGTTGGGGGAGTAGCCTTCGCCGGGAGTCTTGTCCATGTAGAAGGTACCCTGGTAGGTCGGCATGTCCTCGGTGGTTCCCGACATTCTGCGCTCCCGTCCTGCCCTCTGCCTGGCCTCCTGGGCGGCGCTGGCCGCCTTCTCTACGGCGGTTTTGGTGCTCTTGTAGTCCGCACGGGCCACCTCTGCCTGACGAATGAGTAGCTGCAGGCGCCCTTTGGCCTCGGCCACCGCCTGCTTCTGTTCGGCCACCGCCTTTTGGGACCCAGCAATCACGCTCTCCGCACGGGTGACACCCTCCTGGGCCTTCTTTATCACCTCCGTGAGAGACTTGATCTCCTCCACCACCTGGTTGACTCCCTGGCGGGCGTCGGCAGCAGTGGCCTTGGTGAACTGCAGGCGGGCTCGCTCCTTCTGCACCACCAGCCTGCCCTCGCGCAGTTCCGACTCGATCTGCTCCACCAGCTGCTGCTTGCCCACGCAGGCCGCCTCCGCCGCCTTGGCAGCACAGGCAGCCTTCTCGGCCAGCAGCCTCTGCACCTGGCGGGCAGCTGCTGCGCCGGCCTCTACCTGGGCATCGGAGGCCTCCTTGGCAGCCTTGGCCGCCTTTTGGGCAAAGCTATTTGGCTTGGGTCGCACCATTGTGGGGCATCTATCGTCTTGGCAGTTACCACCCGATGGTCCCTGATTGTCCGACACTAGGCCGTTGTAATCATCGGCATCGGCAATCGGCATCTGCCAAGTAATGTATTTTAAGTTATAGGATATTAGTTAAAAAGAACTTTTTAATTTTATTACCGTTTGCCAGCCATCACCAAAAACGAGAGTTATGGAAATAATAAAGAGCACCAAGCGTAGGATCTCCATGACGAACGATACTATACTGAATTGAACTAGGGGGTTTCAGGGGCTCGTAACTGTGATGTGAAAGTTAAGGCCTACTTGGGGTTCCGTTCGGACAAACTCTCTTACATTCTTTGTTTATTATTTTAGGTAATTCGGTTTACAAAGACAAACACCGGAGGACACTCAAAAGGAGCATGGATAAGATGGTTAATAAATACAATTAGCTATATAAATATTTTGATTAATAACAATAATACTTGCGCCCTATTTACGACACAAGTCGTGCATGCGCATCATCGCTGCCGTTACATCCGCCGAATTGTCCTCGCGCGGCATCATCGTCAATGTCTGCCACCAGGATGCGCGGCACCTGCCGTCCGTCTCCGCCTCCGTTTCTGCCGTCCATTGAGTGTAGGTCGGTGCTTGCCTGTGGACAAAAGTTTATTTAAAAGTGTTTCCTGAAGAAATATCGTGCATTCCATTCTTACTCTGGGGCTTTCGAGCAGCATCTGGGTAGCCATCGGGTCGTTGGACGACTGACGTGTACGGAGTAGTCTTTGGAGAACAGTCGGCACACCAAACTGCGTCGATGAGGCGCTGGCTGTTTCTTGGCTGGACGATATCGATTCCGTGGTGAATGCCACTCCGGATTCGTCCCGTTCGTGCTCCAGAAAGGCTTTGGTCGATGAGGCGCCGTCACCACCGAGCGTCGCCAGTGGATTCTGGAAATGCAGGTTTATGTTGAGATCCGTGTGACCCCGCTGGCGGTACTTGTAGTACTTGTAGCCCATTCCGGCGACCAGCAATACGGTGGCCAAAACAACAAGTGCCATTAGCCAGTGATTGCCCGACCGTTGCTGTTCGAGCTCTAGGCTGTTGGATGATCCCAAAGCCACCTCGTTGCCGGATCCATGGGGACACGGTTCGCCTTCGGACACCAGCCGATGGCCGCACATGCACTCGTATCCAAAGTCGGCCTGCAGGCATAGTCCCTGGCAATGGGCATGGACGCAGGCGTGGGCCGCCGGCTGGGGCTGACGCGATGCGGCTTCCACCACAATGTCCTCGGCATTCATCACGTTCAGATTGATGTTCCTACAGATCCGGGATCCGTACAGGGCGCACTGATGCGCCTCCTTGGCGCCCAGGTTAACGATGTACGCATTATTCTCGAACACACTTAGCCCGGAGGGTTGAATGAGGGCATTGGACTTTTGCAGCATTATCTCTAGACGCCGTTGGGGTCCCGACGACGACTTGGGTTTATAGGCCATCCGCTCAAGCGTGCGCCGGTGCAGGTCGACATAGTAAAGCTGCTGCTGGTGAGGATCAGTGGTCAGGGCCGTTAGGTAACTGTCGCTTCGCTGCAAGAGTATTTCCCGACGACTGCCGTCCAGCCGGGCCATGTGCAACTCCGACGTGGAATGGCCAAAGCCCTCCGTGCGTATGGCTATGTAGAAGATCCTGGCGTGATAACCATCCACTGCCACGTGCTTGAGACGCTTGTGGTTCTTCGCCAGCACAATCCGGCCGCACATGCGCGCCTCGAAGCTGCATGCCTGGATTTCCTGCTGGGCAGACACCACGTACACATTGCCGGTGGCCCAGTCCACCGAGAGCTTTGTGGGTCGGGGTAGGGTTAGTGCCCGGGTTACCTGCTTCTTTTGCAAATCAATCTGGTAGATAACGTCCTCTTCCTCCACGGAGAAGTAACCCATTTGCCGGTGAACATCCACATCGAAGCCCGATATCCGTGAGTCGTTTGCCGACCAGGCCACCGTTAGCATTACAGGATGTTCGCTCAGATTCCTCACCTGGTTAAAGCTGCTGAAGAGAATGGCGGCTCCGGACTCGAGGCTCTTGCAGCTGACCCGATCCTGGCGGAGCATAAAGTCTGCGTGGCACTGGCACTGATAGCCGCCCAGCGTATTCTCGCAGAGCTGGGCGCATGGCTGCTGCTCCTGTTGGCACTCGTCCACGTCCACACAGCTCGATTGGTCAGTATCCAGGCGGTAGCCATCTCGGCAGGAGCACACGGCGCCGGCGGGTGTGGCCCGGCACTTGTGCTGGCACAGCTTACGACCATCCGCCGGTCGGCAGGCTGTCGCGCATTGCGGACCCTCATCCTGCCCGTTGGCACAGTCCGGGAAGTTATTGCAGACGCGCGACATGTCCACGCACTCTCCATCATGGCAGTCGAAGAGATGGGGGCGACATGCCCTCCTCGCAGTACTCCACAACTGAGGGTGCATACCGGTCTGCGTTTGGTTGCGATTTTTCTCCTCCTCACAGCTCAACTCGTCACTGCCATCCAGGCAATCTCTTTCGCCATCGCAGCGGAACTCCTGGCGGATGCACTGTCGGCCCGAGCGGCACTGGAACTCGGAAATGCTGCACATGTCTCCACAGTCTGCCTCGTCCTCACCGCGGGAACATTCGGCGGTGCCGTTGCACCTGGCTGACGCTGGAATGCACTTTCGTCCGGGACTTGTGCACTTAAACTCGTCATGGGCACAGGATATGTTCACCTTGGCCAAATCCTGATCGCAGTTCAGCTCGTCTGACCTATCACCACAGTCGTTGTGTCCGTCACAGACCAGACTACGGTCCAGACACTGACCCAGAAGGCAACGGTGCATGTCAGGTGGACAGGTGCGCTGTCCGCACTTGTCGTGCTCGTCGGAGGCATCGCTGCAATCAATCCGGCCGTCGCACTCCCAGCTTCCCGCAATGCATGATCCGGTGCTGCACTGGAACATACCCTTGTCGCAACCGGCAAGCTTCTTGCACTCCACCTCGTCCGAGTTGTCGCCGCAATCGTTGGTTCCGTCGCAGAGCAGGCTTGAGTCCACACACTTGCCGTTGTCGCACGCATGCTGGTGGGCATGGCACATCTTGGTCTTGTCTATGGGTATGGAAAGAGTTGGATTAATATTGCTGGTTTTACAAGTGACTTGTGTTGCCTTCTCTTACCAAACTTCTCGCAGTGCTGCTCATCGGTATGATCCAGACAGTCCTTGATGCCGTCGCAGCGTCGTTCGATATCCACGCACTGGTCTCCGCTGTGGCAGGCGAATTTCTTGTGCGAGCACATAACCTTCGGCTTCCGGCGGTGCTCCTCATCACAGCCCGTCTCGTCCGAGTTGTCAACGCAATCACGGTGTCCGTTGCAACGGTGTGCCATCGTCAGACACTCACCGCTGCCGCAACGGAATTCGCAGTCCAGGGCCTCCATGCAGGTTCGATTGCCCGCATCGCGGTACACGAATCCGGCTGGGCACAGGCAGATGGCATGGATGGGTCCCTCGCCCACACAGATGTGCGAGCAGCCGCCGTTCTGCTGCTGGCAGGGATGCGAGTCGAGACTGGCGGGCGAGCTGCCCGCCAACGGAATTCTTCGGGGCGGAGCGATGGGCACAAAGGGCATAATGGCATCAGGATCACCTCTGGCCTCGATGTCGATTCGTTTACGGGGTCCCATGTTGCTCTTGTGCGTCCAGTATATGGCCGACGAGCCCAATTCGCTCCAGAACAAATCCTGCTGCACCAGGGCCAGGCTATAGGGTCGCCGCAACTTGCCGCGGAAAGTCTGGGCCAACGGTTGCCGGTAGTCCGAGTAGCTGATCCTGCCCAGGTCGCTGTCTGACCAGAATATATTGTGTGTCTCTTGATCGGCAGCCAGTTTGATGTCGTCATCCCCTAGATCATCTTCGAAGACATGCACTTGATCACCTTTGCCGCTCAGCGGAATTCGGTCGATATGCGTATGCCTCCTGGCCTTAAGCACCACGTACAGGTAGCCCTCGGTGGGCATCACACTGAGTCCAATCGGCCACTCCTGGCCCGGGAAGAAGCGAATCAAGGCCCGGTGCTGGGTCTGCAGGGAGATCAGTTCCACTACGCCCCGCTCGGCGTCGGCCCAATAAAGATTCCGGCTAAGATGGTCGAAGGCCAGGGCACTAACGTTGCCCAAATTCGCTCGAACCAGGATGCTTGTTTCGCGCGTATCCGGCTGGTATTCTAGAATCAGTCGCTGGTCGTTGTCCGCTATGATTAGGCTGCCATTTATCCGGTTGTAGACCATCTCGTCGATGGAGCATGGCAGCGTGTACGACTTGCTCACCACGTGGCGTCCGAATGCGGTGTGCTCGATCTCCAGGAGCACCTGCCGCAATCCAACGAACAGCCGCTGACGCTTCTCCGTCAGCATGCAGCGTTGCTGATCCGGTGCCAGTCGCATCCCGTCGGGACAGGCGCAGCTATGGCCGCCAGACTCTGGTTCAGCGAGGAGGCACAGGTGCGAGCACCTGGCGGTTCGGCAGCCGTGGTTAGGGTCGTCTGGCTGCTTGGCCGGATGGTAGATGTGAACGGCATATATAGTGCGATCACGGGCCAAAACGCGGTGATCCTTGCCCGAGAACTTGTGACACGCATGGATACTCTTAGTGGCCCAGTCCGACCAATACAGCTGATCCTCAAATATGGCCAGGCCGTACGGATGCTTCAGCATCCCATCCAGCACAGTTCGCCGGTCACTGCCATCGGGTTTGACGGTCTGCACACTTCCCAGCTTGGCGTCCACCCAGTAGATCCTCTGCTGATGCATGTCCAGGGCAATGCCGTTTGGCCAGTGGATATTATCGCTCACAATGGATCGGGATCGACTGCCGTCCATTGAGGCACGTCCGATCATGGGCTTGGCTCCCCAATCCGTCCAGAACATGAGGCCACGCTGCGGCCACAGGGCCAGGGATCGGGGCTGGTGCACATCCTGGGTGACCAGCACCGCACAGTTCAAGCCGTCGTTGGAGCACACTGCTATGTGGCGCATTATGTTGTCCGAGAAGTAAATGTTCTGCGTCAGCCAGTCCACGGCCAGATCCTCGGGCGCATCCAGCCCGGAGGTCAGCAGAATTTCGGAATGCGAACCATCGTTCTTGGCTTTGACAATGCTTTCCGCTTCATTCTGGATGTTTGTCCAATAGATGTGGCTGCCATCGTAGGCCACGCCTATGACCTTGCTCAGATTCCCTGCCACTTGGTAGACGTGATTCCGTATATTGTCCTCCTGCAGGTGCATTCCCATCACCGTCACCTGTGTGGTGTACAAGAGCAGAGGCTGGTCATCAGCGGAGCCGTGGCCTGTCTTGGAGGCGCGACAGGTGCGGTTGTCATTGGCCAGCAGGTGATAACCCTGATCACAGACGCATCGGTAGCTGCCCGAGGTGTTCTCACATCCCTGGCTACACAGATCCTTCCGCTCTTGACACTCGTCAATGTCCTCGCACTTGTCCGCAAACTTGGCCAGCCTAAATCCAGCGCGGCAGTGGCATTCGGCTCCGCCGAAGGGCATCATGTGACAGGTGGCGTTGGGTGCACATTTCTTGGTTTCACAGTCCGGTTTGAAGTGACAGCTGTCTGACTCATCGCTGCCATCGATACAGTCGTTGTGGCCATTGCAGACTTCGCTTAGCAGGATGCAGTTCTCATGATTGTGGCACAGGAACTTGCCCATCTCTGGTTGGCAGAAATTCGCTGAAAGTGGGAGTGAAGGAGGAACTTTAATTAATGAAAAGCCTTTTTAAATTCATGGAAAAGGTGTACAAAAGTAGGCAATGATTAATTTTAACATATTCTGAAGCATACTTATGGTCCAACATGTCTTACGGATTTCTTATTGGTCTTATCGAGCTTAAATTTAACAAATTGGGCAATTAGGAGGCTTGGTTTAACTGCCACAAGCCAGTCTTTGACAAGATCTTGAAGGGTTTTTAAAAATTCGATACCTTTCCTAAGATTACAATGTGTTTTGGGAAGGAGTATTGACTCACCGCATCCTTTCTCATCGCTTCCATCTCCGCAATCATCAACGCCGTCGCATACCCATTGCTTTCGCCGCAAGCAGCGTCCATTCGCGCACAGATGACCCTCGCTGGACGAGCAGGTGGCCTCCGCTTGCTTGCATCCGTCCAGCTCGTCCGATCGGTCCGGACAGTCGGCCCGTCCGTTGCACATGAAATCCATGGGAATGCATGAGCGGTCCACCTGGCACATGTACTCCTGATCAGTGCAGTTCCGTCGCTTCTGTCCAAATTCGCCAAATCGGAAGCCAGAGAGGCCTGGGCAGTTGCGCTCATCTTCGCCGCCGGGACAGTTATCAATGCCGTTGCACATTAGTTCAGCTGCCAGGCAGGCACCGTGTGGCTGGGCACACGGGAACCAATGTGGCGGCCGGCACAGTCGGTAGTCTGGTAGATGGAAGATGGCTTAGTAATCTTAACCCATAAAAGGGATCTATTGCCTCTTACCGCAGTGTAATTCATCCGAGCCGTCCTTGCAGTCTCCGCGTCCGTCGCACATCTTCGCCTGTAAGATGCAGCCGCCGTCTCCGCACTGGAATTGTCCTGCATCGCACCGCGTGTCCTCTGATCCCGACGTGGCGGCGCAAATCGGACCGCAAAGGCCCAGGAGCAGCAGCAGCAGCAGCAGCGCTGCCACATGCCACAGCCCAGGTCGGCATCCATTTTGAGGTCCCACCTTTCGCTGAAGGGAAGCGCGTGTCTGGGAGGTTAGGTTGAATTCCTGCCGGCCGACGATCATCATCGTCGTCTCCTTTTGACGGCTATTTCGGCTCTCACGCACACTGGTGGGCTGAAGCGAATGCTCCGCCTCGCACATTCAACACAAATCAGTTATTAATTAGACGACAATTAACATATATGGTACGGTTCAAGTACAGAGAACAAAAATTGCAACTTGCAACTTGAAAAGCTGAAGACGAATTGATCGAGAAACGTGGCGGCAAAAGCGCCGTTACTTCGCTTTGGTGTGACCGAGTGCAGGAGCTGAGGGCATGCTGCCTAACGCGTTAAGTTTTTTTATAGCTTATTTTTTATTTTACATTCTATTTACTTTATAATTCATATAATGTTCATATGTATGTATGTTTGCATGTAACATGTAATGTTTGGATAGCATTGAATAGCTACTATGGAAGCTCATTGAGAGGCTGCAGAGTTCTGAAAGCCCGTGAGCTTGTAGGCTTATCTCTGGCCGGAATCAAGGGATTCTTCTTGACCACCTCGTCCGCAAACTTTTGGAAGAAGACCGTGCCGCTGGCAGGGTCCATAGCCATGAGCTTGTCCAGCATCTCCCAGGTGATGTTCTTCTCCAGTATCTGGCGCTTGAAAATGTACGCCGGCAGGTGGATCATGAACTTGGTCAGCTTCCAGTGCGGACGCAGGCGCGGTATTCCCAATTTATGCGGCACCACCTGGTGGTCCGGCAGAGTATCGATATCTACGTAATTAAATTTGACCACCGCAGGATTGTTCCGCTTCCGTGGAGCCCACTTGCGTGGCTTCTGGGCTGGCGGCGGTGTTAGCGGACGTGGATTTGGTTCCGGACGATGGGCCTCCGCGTTGAACTTCGTCGACCACAGGCTCTCAAGGCGAACGAGTGACTTGCGGTCCTTACGGGTCAGATTGTCGGTGTCCGAATACAGATGCTGCAGTATGTCATCCATTACGGACGTGGAAAATAGGCGAGACTCCGGAATCCATGTTGGCAGATGCGACAGCTGGGGCTTATTGAGTTTCGACTTCGGCTTGGGGTGCGACTTTGGCGGCACAATCTTGGTTTTTGGACACATTGCCATTGTTTCGGAGAAGTTGTGCTGCTACTAAAACTAAACTGTGCGACCGCCAAAGAGAAGCTTTTTAAGGTGGCCATATTTTGAGTTCAAGTCGATGGTGGGGACACACTGTTTTATGCGCCCGGGTGGCAACGCTGTGTGGATTACGTTAGGAACTTGAAAGTTTTTTTATATTTAATTTGAACAAAGCTTTTAATGTTTAGAATTTATGTTCGTTATTTTTCGTTTGCTTTAAAAAGAATGAGGTATTATAGGAGGTTTTAAATTATAAGATGTATCCCAACTATTAAAGGACTTTAAATACTTATTAATTTCTAGAAGTGTATGCTGATCAACTAAACAGAAAAGGCTAATCGAAAAAAAGTCCACCACAAAAAACATCGAAATTCAAATCTCTGAACGCATATCGCAAAAGGACTGCACCAAATACAGAGTGATTAATTGGCGGACCATCATGATGTCAGCACACTAGAAATTCCAATATTAAACCAAAACAGTGCAGTGTGAAACAGAAACTGAAAGCCGAAAGCTGAAGCGCAAACATCTAAGCCGCCAGTTTTGAGTGAGCCATTGCAACAATTAATAACGGTTGTGCCGCGAGATTTATGAGCGACGACATATAAACAAGACCAAAGCGCTGTAGCCGTCGACCGCGAAATGTCATAAAACAGTCTCGTCTCTCGGACTGGGCGTCCGGTTAGAGCCAAAACCCGACGAATTGCTTAGAAACCAGAAGAGGGCACTCACAAATTGGATAATTAGGGGAAGGAGCGCGAGAGGGCGACTTCACACGCCGTAGGGGGCGTGCCGCAATCGTAAAAATAAAACTAAACTGACTAAACTAAATTCAAACACCTGGGAATGCACTGGGAGATAAGAAGCATGATTCAATTAGCAATTATTCAAGCGAGAACCATAGATTAGAAGGATATTATAGCTGCAAATAAAGCTAATCTTTTACTTGTTTTTGTTCTAAACCCTATCCATTCCCAATATTTAAAATTAATAACCTGTACATACGCTTGCAGTCTGCAATTGACTGATAGGATCGAATGGCAAACCGATCTAATAAGCCTAAAATATTCTCATTCTTTGAATCAATATTTATAGACAATTTTATAAAAATGACATTTTTGTCGAAGTTTAAAAATCTCATAACTAAGCCAAAAAGACTTAAATTTTAAATCGGAAAGCTGTTCTGTGCTAGTTTTTGATCCATTAATAAATCTGCATACTCAGTTTAAAATTAAAAAAAAAAAATTTTAGCGAATTTTTGACAATTTTAACGATGTAACCCCTTTCCTAATTTTCAAAAAATTGAACATTTTTAAAAAAAATAATTTTTCTGCCGGGGATGTCTAGAAAGATTCACCTGTTGATGCTGATCAAGAATATATATGAAATATAGGGTCGGGAATGCCTCCTTCACTGTGTAGCATGCTCCTGACTAAAATGAAATTACCCTAAAAGGTATACAAATAGGTATAAATTTAGCAATTATTTTTATATGCCTATAGAAATTTAAAAATCTTATTGCTAAGCCAAAAATGCATTAATTTTAAATCGGAAAGCTGTTCTGTGCTAGTTTTTAATTCGTTAACAAAACTGCGTACTCAGTTTGAAATGTAAAAAAATTGAGTTTTTCGCAAATTTTAATGATGTAACCCCTTTGATTTTTTTCAGAAAATTGCAAATTTTCAAACATTTTATTTTTCTGCCGGAGATGGCTAGAAAGATTCACCTGTTGATGCTGATCAAGAATATATATGATTTTTAGGGTAGGAAATGACTGCTTCACAGCGTAACAAGCTCCTGACTGAAATTATGATACCAGTTATTACTCCAACTAAAATCTTCAGATTTTCTTCGAGTGTATATGTCATATATATACAATATATCGGCGAACGTGGTTTTTCCACGGCCATACAATTTCGGGGTTCCTCTGCCAGATGAGTCGTGGGATATCGAACGACTCTGCTGCCGCCGTGACAACCAAACACAAGTCTTCTTCTCCGCACTGTCCGGTTCCCTGCCCCGTTCCGTTGAGTAATGGGCCCTGTCCGGCGACATGTCCGCGCCAAGGCGTTAACTTGGCTTGTAGTTGTAAAGTAGCTCGGGTGCGCTAAGAAGCGTATAAAACCTAGAGTCGGCAGCTTAATCCGCAACAGTTGATCGTCAGCGTCCAGTCGGTGCATATACCAGCCAAAAAACGAATCCTTAATCCTGCCTAGGACCACACAGAACTTGATAAAAAATATACTAAAAATGGTGAGTTGAAAGATCTATGCAATGTATCGCATAAAATATTATTTTTTAAGTGTATGTATGTAGAATGGTTTTCTGTTTTATGTATTATTTTTCAAATGCGATGTTCTATAAGTTTTTAACGTACAGTTTGATCCTTTTGCAGTAGTGTGGCAACGCCAAAGTCGTGTACAGTTTACACAAAATATTGAAATCTATGTATAAGATACTTGTTTTAAATACTTGAATATAATAAAAACAAATGATTAAGTTAAGTTAATGATTAAATTAATAAATTATATGTTAATTAATATTAATTTTTTCTAGAACTCAATCACTGTGCTCGCTATCTTCGCTGCCTCCCTGGCCTTCTGCGCCGCCGATGTTTCTCACCTATCGCGCACTTACCTGCCTCCTGTGAGCGGCGGATATGGCGGCTACTCCTCCGGATATTCATCGTATCCATCGTACTCGAGTGGAGCCGGTTATTATTCTGGTGGCCTTGCCGGCAGCTATGCATCGCCAGTTATCTCGTCCAGCTATCGAAGCTATGCGGTGCCACAATACACATCCTATGCCACACCCTCGAGCACCTACTTGCCGGCGAATACGGGTTACTCTGGTTACTCCGGATACTCGGGCTACTCCGGCCTGGACACCAAGTATGGCAGCAATGGAGGCTATGTCTATTAGGCGCGGGGCACACAACCTAGAAGCAATGGAGCAAGCAGACATCTTTATATATAACTATATATATCTATCTCTTTTTTGTTTTGCTTAAGAATTTTTTTTTGTTCATCTTACGGATACTAAAATATTGTCCTTCGAATGCTTTATTAAAATAATTAACAAAGTTGATTGTGACTTTTAAATGGGAAAGGGGAGTCAATATGGAGAAATACTTTATATATTATTATATAATACGCCTGAAAGTCAGCTACAAATAACAAAGGCATTATTGCCAGTTGGATGTGCGGTTTGCAGCATTAACAGATTTGTATAATTTATATGTAATCCATTTTTCCCAGTCTCAAACTTTTATATATAGAAAAGGAAGCTAATTTCGAGAAGCCTTGCCATTTGAATGTGCAATCGGATCATAACAAAGCCAAAAAGGCATTAATTTTAAATCGATAAGCTTTTCTGTGCTAGTTTTAAAGTAAAGGTTATAAAACTACCAAGTATTTATTAATGCAATTACAATTACAATTGCAGAAATTCGATTTAAAATAATGTTTGTTATTTTTGAACTATTCTTTCGCATCACTACATCCCGGCTTGGAGGCGGCCGAGAAGGTAGTCATGCTCGTAACCCGGGGAGAGCATTTTCACATATCCCTTGGGTTCGCACAGATCTAAATAGGAGCCATGGAAGGCGTTGTATCCCTTGTGCAACAAATATAGCTCCGGATAATCCTCATTGAGATCATGGTTGCGCAGGAAGCGCATTATCTTGGCTGCCCTCATGGCGGAGAACTCGCAGTAGAAGACATAAATGACACGTTGAGCCACCCTCTCCTGCTTCAACTCCTCTGTTAAGTCAGGAAAAGCCTTCCGGACATGGTACAACGAATAGACATTCCAGGCATAACGAATGTGACCTCCCTTATACTCGTAGGGGTACCTACAATCGATGATGTTATATCTACCACCAGGTCCCAGTTCCTTGGCGAATTCGCCCTGCATGAGACGGGCCAGTGTATCGCTCGAAATGGTCTTTAGATCACGATGACGAGTTCCTTCCAGAAGGAAGGGAAGAGCATAGGGCTTGCCCAGATCCCCGATCAGTTGGGATTCATTGATAAGAGGAGTCTTGATGTCGGAGGAGGAGGAAGATGTCTCCAGTTTGGAGATGGCCGACGATGGGTCGACGGAGGATGTTTCTTCCTGACTGTCCTCCTGCTCCACCTTGGCATTCAGTTCCTCTGGTGTGACTATATTCAGCTTGCTACACATCTGCAAAAGGTTTCGAGATGTATTGCGTATGGTTTATACTTGTTTCATTCTAGTTGGTTGTTTTTTCAATTTTTATTTATTTTTTGTAAAGAAACTTACTGTGGCTGTTTTTTCTCAACAATTCGTTTTTCACTTTGGTAGAGCTAATATCTGTAATGAACGTTGGGCAATGAATGACCCAAAAGTCAAGGCAACTAGATGGGACAATGGTTTGGACTGTTGGTTTTAATTATATATTTGATTCATAGCTCTCTTTTATTATTATAGAATTTCATTTTTATTTTTATGAAAATCGGAATACTATATAAAATAACTGCCTAAGAAACGGTTATTAAATGTAGAGGATCAGAAAGTATCTTTTAACGGTAAGTAATTAAGTATGAGCAGTAAGTCTCTTCGAACATTAATTAACTAGGATCAGTAATCAACTATGATCCCTAAGTATCAATTAACATTAAGTAACTCTGATTAGTAAGTAACTATGACCAGTAAGTATCTCTGACCAGTAAGCATGTATGATCAGTTACTAACTTTGGACACTAGTAAACAATGACTTGCAACTTTTGTAACACAACACGTATCTAAGACTTGGTCGGCAGCAGTCACTTCGTTCCGGGGATGTTAGAACGAGTTGGGAATCATATGCACAGATGTGCGGCATTTGTTTTGGAGCACATTTAAGAGCAAGCTATTTGAACGAAACTATGGAGTTTTTCTTCTATATAATTTTACTGGTATATAAATAGGGACATACCGAATCGGTGGACTATATATGTATATACATATATATAGCTGCCATAGGAACAATCGGACGATTTATAGAACTATGATCAGTTATTACCTATGATCAGTTAGTTTCTAAGAACATTAAGTTACTCTGAACAGTAAGTATCTATGACCAGCAAGTAACTATGACCAGTGAGTAACTCTGATCAGTAATTAACTCTGAACAGTAAGTATCTCTAATCAGAAGTATCTTTCAACAGTAAGTCTCTTTAGAAAGTAACTTTGACCAGGAAGTATCAATGCAAATTAAGTAACTCTGAACACTTATTAACTATGATCAGTAATTAATTATGATCAGTAGGTTACCTTCGACACTAATTAACTTGGAACACTAATAAACAATGACTTGCAACTTTTGTAACACAACACGTATCTAAGACTTGGTCGGCAGCAGTCACTTCGTTCCGGGGATGTTAGAACGAGTTGGGAATCATATGCACAGATGTGCGGCATTTGTTTTGGAGCACATTTAAGAGCAAGCTATTTGAACGAAACTATGGAGTTTTTCTTCTATATAATTTTACTGGTAAATAAATCGGAGCATGCCGAATCGGTGGACTATATATATACATATATATAGCTGCAATAGGAACAATCGGACGATTAATAGAACTATGATCAGAAAGTTTCTAAGAACATTAAGTTACTCTGAAGAGTAAGTATCTATGACCAGCAAGTAACTATGACCAGTGAGTAACTCTGATCAGTAATTAACTCTGAACAGTAAGTATCTATAATCAGAAGTATCTTTCAACAGTAAGTCTCTTTAGAAAGTAACTTTGACCAGGAAGTATCAATGCAAATTAAGTAACTCTGAACACTTATTAACTATGATCAGTAATTAATTATGATCAGTAGGTTACCTTCGACACTAATTAACTTGGAACACTAATAAACAATGACTTGCAACTTTTGTAACACAACACGTATCTAAGACTTGGTCGGCAGCAGTCACTTCGTTCCGGGGATGTTAGAACGAGTTGGGAATCATATGCACAGATGTGCGGCATTTGTTTTGGAGCACATTTAAGAGCAAGCTATTTGAACGAAACTATGGAGTTTTTCTTCTATATAATTTTACTGGTAAATAAATCGGAGCATGCCGAATCGGTGGACTATATATATACATATATATAGCTGCAATAGGAACAATCGGACGATTAATAGAACTATGATCAGAAAGTTTCTAAGAACATTAAGTTACTCTGAAGAGTAAGTATCTATGACCAGCAAGTAACTATGACCAGTGAGTAACTCTGATCAGTAATTAACTCTGAACAGTAAGTATCTATAATCAGAAGTATCTTTCAACAGTAAGTCTCTTTAGAAAGTAACTTTGACCAGGAAGTATCAATGCAAATTAAGTAACTCTGAACACTTATTAACTATGATCAGTAATTAATTATGATCAGTAGGTTACCTTCGACACTAATTAACTTGGAACACTAATAAACAATGACTTGCAACTTTTGTAACACAACACGTATCTAAGACTTGGTCGGCAGCAGGCACTTCGTTCCGGGGATGTTAGAACGAGTTGGGAATCATATGCACAGATGTGCGGCATTTGTTTTGGAGCACATTTAAGAGCAAGCTATTTGAACGAAACTATGGAGTTTTTCTTCTATATAATTTTACTGGTAAATAAATCGGAGCATGCCGAATCGGTGGACTATATATATACATATATAAAGCTGCCATAGGAACAATTGGACGATTTATAGAACTATGATCAGTAAGTTTCTAAGAACATTAAGTTACTCTGAACAGTAAGTATCTATGACCAGCAAGTAACTATGACCAGTGAGTAACTCTGATCAGAAATTAACTCTGAACAGGTATGTATCTCTAATCAGAAGTATCTTTCAACAGTAAGTCTCTTTAGAAAGTAACTTTGACCAGGAAGTATCAATGCAAATTAAGTAACTCTGAACACTTATTAACTATGATCAGTAATTAACTTTGATCAGTAGGTTACCTTCGACACTAATTAACTTTGAACTAATAAACAATGACTTGCAACTTTTGTAATACAACACGTATCTAAGACTTGGTCGGCAGCAGTCACTTCGTTCCGGGGATGCTAGAACGAGTTGGGAATCATATGCACAGAAGTGCGAGATTTGTTTTGGAACATTTAAGCTATTTGAATGCAACTATGAAGTTTTTCTTCTATATAATTTTACTAGTATATAAATCGCAGCATGTCAGATCGGTGGACTATATATACATATATATAGCTGCCAACAATCGGAAAATGATAGGCAAATATTATAACTTTTCCAGTTTCCAACAGATTAAATTTGATATATGGCCATTATATATTAAGCTAGAATTTTGTGTACATTTTATGAAAATCGGACTACTATATCACATAGCTGCCATACATACGATCGTTAAAAAGAGAAACTGAATAGAACATTTTTGCCAATTTTGACCATTTTAACGATTTAACCCCTTTCCTTTTTTCAAAAATGTTCAATTTTTGTGTTTTCTGTCGGAGATGATACTGATCAAGAATATATATGATTTTATAGAGTCGGAAATGACTCTTTCACTGCTTTAAAAGCTTCTGATTAAAATTATAACACCCTGCAAGGGTATAATAATTCCTTTCCAATCTGGCTTTACATTCTTAATTTTATTTCCATTGATTAAAAAAAAGTATTGTACAAAGTGTCGTTAATTCGTTGTTTTTTTTTGTGTTGCTTGTTTTTGTTTGCATTAGAGATCCTTTTTAGTGCTTCAGGCGGTACTCATAGCCGCCGTTGGAAGCATATCCACCGGACTTGTGTCCTGATCCGTAGCCAGATCGCAGGCCGGATCCTTGGAGAGAACCATGACCGGATGCAGATCCATAGCCATGGCTAGAGCCCTGGCTAGCAGCGTAGCCGGAGCCATGGTTGGAGCCGGAATAGCTCACATGAGAGACGGCTGCTGGAGAGGCATAGGTCTTCCTGGAGGCAGCTGGGGCAGAGTACGAGCTGTGGGAGACACTTGGGGCAGAGTAAGAGCCATGAGAGGCAGCTGGAGCGGAATAGGATGATCCTCCGACAGCACTGTAACTATTCTGGGAAGCAGCTGGAGCTAAATACTGCCTGGAAGGAGCGGCCACAGGTGCCGAGTAGCTGGTATGAGAGGCAGCTGGGGCAGAATACGATCCATGGGAGGCACCTCCAGCCGATGAGGAGTACGAGCCATGAGCTGGGGCAGCATAGCTCTTGTGGGAAGCAGCAGGAGCAGAGTAACTACCATGAGAAGCGGCAGCTGGGGCCAGATACTTCCTGGAAGGAGCAGCCACAGGAGCCGAGTAGCTGGTATGAGAAGCAGCAGGAGCAGCATAGCTGCTGCTAGAGGAAACACCAGAGGAGTACGATCCATGGGATGCAGCTGGAGCCGAGTAGGATCTGTGAGATGCAGCCGGAGCCGAGTAGGATCCATGAGATGCACCCGAGGAGTACGATCCATGAGATGCAGCCGGAGCCGAGTAGGATCCATGAGATGCTCCCGAGGAGTAAGATCCATGAGAAGCTCCCGAAGAGTAAGATCCATGAGATGCACCCGAGGAGTACGAGGAGCCACCCGATGAGGTATAAGTATTCTGAGAGGCAGCTGGGGCCAGATACTGCCTGGAAGGAGCTGGAGCTGCAGCTACCGAGTGACTTTTCCTGGCATAGGAAGCAGTCGCCGGAGCAGTTGCATACGAACCCGAGGAGCTAGAGGCTGCCGCATTGTAACTACTTGTGGCACCCACCTTGGGTGGCAAGTAGGAGTTGCTCAGCGGAGTGGCCACCGCCACAGAGGCCAAGGCCAGAATCACAACACCAAAGGAGCGCTGAATTAGGAAAAGTAAATTGATTAAAATGAAATCTACAAAGCAGTTGCCATTTGAGTTGAATGAATAAATAATAGATCAATTAAGGTAGCAAATAGAAAGGTAGCACTCGCAGATGCATTAATCAATGAAAGAGCATCTTAAATCAATTCGAAAATAAATCTTAATCAGGGATTAAACCTGAAACACTCACCATTTCAATAGATTTTTCGTTTCAAGCTGCTGTTTCGGTCTTTGGGGGTTCTTGGGAACTGATGCTCTAGCCGATGCTGGCCAAGACTTTTATAGGAGACTCCGGACAATGGCTCTGCCGGTGAGTCTTCCAATCTACCAATTCTCCCATCTACCAAATCCCCCCAAGACGCACACATAAAGCAAAAAATAAAAAAGAATTTAAGCAAAAAATAAAAATAAAGCCAAAACAACAATATTAGAAACGCATAGGAATGGGGGGAAGCAAAGAGTTTTGCTTAAAGCTGATCGTCATCATCGTACATAGTTTCAGCTTACACTGAGCTACACGATTGGGGTTTGGGGGAGATAAACGCTTTGGAATAATAAATTATAATTAAATAATAAAATATTATTGAGGGTTTTTAATAAAGTTGAAGTTCTATTCTATTCCTATAACTCTTGAGAACGTTCTTGGTTTCATTAGGAATATAACAAATATTGGTATGCTGGGTATTATAATTTCTGTATAAAACTCTTTAAAAGCTTCGTTTTCTATTGAAAACTAGGACTAGATCGAATGACTATATCACATAGCTTTCATAACAAAGATTGATAAAATAAAATGGAAAGTTAATAACATTTGCTGCCTCTCTCTATCCTTACACTCTCAAGCATCCTGTATCTCTGTATCTCTGTATCTCTGTATCTCTGTATCTCTGTATCTCTGTATCTCTGTATCTCTGTATCTCTGTATCTCTGTATCTTTGTATCTCTGTATCTCTGTATCTCTGTATTTCAGTATCTCAGTAACTCTGTAATGATATATTTATATCTTTATCATACATAGCTGAAACTTTGTTAATCAGTGTGCCTAGTGCCATGGCTAAGAATGGCGCGTTTGGTGTGGAATATGTCGTAGACTCTATTTATTTGGCCGTCTTTATTTTTAGCCCTGTCCATTTCGGAAGTCGCCGAGAGTCGAGAGTAATTAATGATGTGCCAGTGCCTTAGCCAGTGCCTTAGCCTGTTAAGAGGGTGCGAAGTTCGCGGATAATCCAACCTCACGCCGTTGCTAACGGTTCGAGAGCGACCCGGGATCGCTTTATTGGATTTGTATGGGATCAAGTCCGGACCGAAAGAGACCACCCTCGCCCGAGCCCGCATCTAAAAGCAACCATTACTCACCACACACATTAATTATAATCCACACAGCCACAGATATCGGGCTTAATGGTTGCGACCCCTCGAGTGTTTATATCGTTTTGCGTGCGTTTATATAATTAAAACGAAATGCTAAGGGAAGAGGAATTAACAACAAACAAAAAAATATATACATAAAAACTGCAAAAAACAATACACAAAAAAAGAGGGAATAAATGATTGTGGAAGTTAAAAATACCCTTGCAAAGACCATAGAGTTTAGCGATTTGCATAAAAATGATAAAAGTCATTGCGGGGAATTTACTAATGAGAAATATTTATGGTCATAACTGTTATAGAAGCCAAGTTAGTTATCATAACCTCTCGATAGCTTCTTTCTTTTCTAAAGAAAACAAGTATAATGGAATTTTTAAAACAGAAGAACATGGAGCCAATAAATACATCCATCTTTAAGTAATAATTCTATCACTTTCATTTGTTCAAAGATGTTATTATTTATATTCTATTATTAAGCTATAATGGATTGCCTTTTAAAGCTGATATACCCGCTCCTTCAAGAGTTAAAGACAAGATCAGAGAGAAGACAAAGCAATTTATTTTTCGAGGTGCGTAGTTTGGGATTGGTCTGGAATGAGTTTTTGGGAATGGATGAGTTAGCTTTACAACAATCAGTTTGAGTTTAGCTTTCAACAGCAAAGGAAGTAAGTCAGGATTTAAGAAAGATTCATTTAGAGTTCACTTAGGGTTCACTTAAGGTTCACTTGGGAGTGCTAGAACATTTTAAATATGTTATAGAAGAGGTTTTAAAGGTATAAAATATTAAACTAAATGGAAATAAATTCAAAAATTTGAAAAAGTTGAAACACCACTGAACACTTAATAACAAAAAACCAAAAGGAAATTCAATACCAAATTCTCAAATGAATAAATGATTCAATATTAATTTGGAAATTCAAAAGAATCAAAGAGAAAGGAAAGGTTATAAATGATATATTATTGTAATAATTTATATATATAAATTATATATTGAAATTACTATTTAAATCCTTTGCAGTATATCCTGGTCGCACCTATTTCCTTCGGAGTCGTGTCTTCTCGGCCATATCCTTGGCAATGGCCACAAAGAGAATATTGTGCTTGCTGACCACCGGCTTGGTCATGGGATTCTCCTCATCATGCCGCACTTGCAGGGTATCAGAATCCAGGGTAATGCTACCAACCACCTGACCGGGCTTTAAATAATAATTCTGGCCCAGTGAAGTGGGTCTATGTTCGGTGATGAAGTGATATCTCATCGGTTCCAGCTCCTCAATGATTAGCTTGGGACGGGTGGTGCTCGGTTGGGCGCCACATGAAGCTATCAACGCCACCATGATGATGATGAGTATCCACTGGTAGGGCATTCTTGAGTCTAAACCTGAATCTTATTCCTTCTGCTGGTGCATTCACAATGCCATCCGGATGCATCTTGGATCATTCTTTTATATCCTCAGCTGGGATTCTTGATTCTGGATGCTGGACATTTATGAGGAACACAAGGAGAGTGCGGAAGAGAGCTCTCTCCTCTCGAAATCCGCTCTTGATTGGTGGATTTTTTACCTGCCCCGTTTTGGGCATAACAAGATTTTTCTTTAATTTTTTTTGGACATTAACCCGATTTCGATTTCGCACTAAGCGATACAATTTATAAATGTATGCATGCTTGTGTGTACATATCGAAGATATATATATATTATGCATATATTGGAGTGTATATAATGGTCCATTCACAACACAACAGAAATGCAAATTTCAGTTGTGTTTTCTGTTTTGGATATATCATCCAAAAAACCGACCATATATGCACATTATATCCGTATGGAACTTGGACTTGCCTGACAACGGTGGCTAGATTTTGGGATTGGTTTGTTTTTAATGGCAAATAAATGTTTGCTCGGATTCGTTTATTTATCATTCTGCTCGATATATACTTATTTATGACTTTTTCAAGTATTTATGGGTAGATTTGGGGGTATAGCATTTTTCTAGCAACTTTTCAAGGGGTTTTTGTGGAAAGGCATATAGGAAAAGTGGTTAATTAGCTGTGATCTTGCTTTTTGTTTGAGAATATAGTATTAAATAAATTAAAATCTTTGTTTAAGGTGCCTTTAAAGTTAACTAACAAGTGTATTTTGTGGTAGATATATGACACCAAGTCATTATCTCTGCCAGATTGATACCTATCTGGGAAACAGACATAACAAAAGTCTCTCTGAGTATCTCAGGAACAATAGCTGGCAATCAGCCTTAATTTCAACAGAGTTTCGGATTGATTCGACAGTGATTAATGGTGTTCCAAAGGACAGAAACAAAGATGTGCAAAATATAGTGCTCCTGCAGGAAGCTCTTTCTAGAGATTACAAAGAACATATACTTAAGGCTACATATGTACCAAAGTCAGGGTCAGCTTTGAAAGTATCATAAGAATAAGAAATCAATATTTGTTGGTAATGTATAATTAAGTTAGGCTGTTAATGTATTGCTTTACATTAAAATTCAGTAATGGGATCCATGGAAATAAGGAAATAAATAAGAAAATATATGCATAGCTAGCAGCAGAGCTTAATTTTAAACATAGGCCTAATCACTTAATTAGTATCTATATTAATAATATGATATGTCATGGTAAAGACTTACCCCAGTGGAGGACACGTGGCTATCCGTCTACGTCATTGATTACTTCCTTCCAGTGTTGATTTCCATTTCCGGTGCCTTCAAGTTAAGCTTCTTGCTGATCATCCAGATGTTATCCATGGGCCACGTCATAAGTTTCGAGTCGAAGGGGAGGAACTTGCACTATCACTCTAGATGTTAACACTGGAGACGCCACCGACGGAATGAGGTGCGCAAGGCGGCAGAGCCCGCTATTTATAGGCTGCGAGGCAAGAGAATAGAGAATATGAGAGCGGGAGAGAAATAGAGAATCTAGAGTTAGGCAGAGCCACATAGAGTGTAAGGGGTGCCTCTAGAGATGCACAGAGAGGGAGAGGCACAGAGAGTGGGAGTCCGAGAAATAGAGGCATATTTATATTTTATTCAGGAAATTAGTTAATTTTAATTTAAATCATTTAATAGGCTTTTAATGTTTAAATTTTTATTGCTAAAGTATTGTTTTTACATCTTTTATTTGCAAAATACTTCAATTTTTATGTTTTTTTATTTTCATTTTTTATTTTATAATTAATTAAGCTACAGATAAGTTTCAAATGCAATTCCTACTCCCATTGCATTTCGGAAATGACTCTTTCACTGCCTTACAAGCTTCTGACTAAAATGAAAATACCCTAAAAGGTATAAAAATAGGTATAAATTTAGCAATTATTTTTATATGCCAATCGAAGTTTAAAAATCTCATAACTAAGCCAAAAATGCATTAATTTTAAATCGGAAAGCTGTTCTGTGCTAGTTTTTAATTCGTTAACAAAACTGCGTACTCAGTTTAAAATGTAAAAAAATTGAGTTTTTCGCAAATTTTAATGATGTAACCCCTTTGATTTTTTTCAGAAAATTGCAAATTTTCAAAAATTTTATTTTTCTGCCGGAGGTGGCTAGAAAGATTCGCCTGTTGATACTGATCAAGAATATATATGAAATATAGGGTCGGAAATGCCTCCTTCACTGTGTAGCATGCTCCTGACTAAAATGAAATTACCCTAAAAGGTATACAAATAGGTATAAATTTAGCAATTATTTTTATATGCCTATAGAAATTTAAAAATCTTATTGCTAAGCCAAAAATGCATTAATTTTAAATCGGAAAGCGCTCCTAATTTAGTTTGTATTAGATTAATAAATCTGCAGGGTCGGAAATAACCTATTCACTATTTGGAAAGCGTCTGACAACAATGAAAATACCCTTAAAGATATAAAAATAGGTATAAATTTGTGCAATTTTTTTATATGATTATCTCAATTTCAAATGGAAAAGAAATCGAATTTTTGATGAAATTGTTGATAATTTTAAGGATGTAACCCCTTGAAAAATTTTGTAAAAATTTTAAAATTTTATTTTTCTTCTTGAGATAGCTAGATCGACTCGGCTGTTGATGCTGATCAAGAATATATATGATTTATAGGGTCGGAAATGTCTCCTTCTATGAGTTTTAAGCTTCTGGCTGAAATTATAATACCTTGAAGGGTTATAATAATTTTGCAAAATATTTCGTCAATGTCTGGGTTAGTTTTAAAATTATATGTGTATAATTTATAGTTAAGTTATGCTGTTGATACATTACTTTAAATTAAAATTCAAGAATGGGATCCACGGAAATAAGGAAAATAATGGGAACATACTTGCATAGCTAGCAGCAGAGCTTAATTTTAAACTTAGGCTTAATCACTTAATTAGTATAATCGTTAATAATATTATATGTCATGGGAAAGACTTACCCCAGTGGAGGACACGTGGCTATCCGCTGATCCCAGAGTAGATTGATCCCAGAGTAAATTTACATTTCCGGTGCCTTCAAGTTAAGCTTCTTGCTGGTCATCCAGATGTTATCCATGGGCCACGTCATATTTTTCGGTTCGAAGGGAAGGCACTATCACTATCACTCTAGATGTTAACACTAGGTACCCCTAGGACAGACTGAGGCGCGCGGGCCGCTAGCGCCTCTATTTATAGTTCCCGAGTGAAGAGAGGAGCAGAGAAAGTGAGCGAGAGAGCGCTAGAGAGTAAGCGATGCTGTTAATACGTTACTTTAAAATAAGTAAGTACTTTGGAAATAAGTAAGTAATTTGGGAAAATAAATGCATAGCAAGAAGCAGAGTTGATTTTAACCCTAGGCCTAATCACTTAATTAGTATCTACATATATACATAATATGTATAATTATCATGGTCAAAACTTACCCCAGTGGAGGACACGTGGCTATCCGCTTTCGTCATTGCTCAATTGCTTCCAGTGTAGATTTCCATTTCCGGTGACTTCAATCTTCTTGCTGGTCATCCTGGGCCACGTCATATTTTTCGGCTCGAAGGGGAGGCACTATCACTATCACTCGAGATGTTAACACTGGAGACGCCACCGACGGAATGAGGTGCGCAAGGCGGCCGAGCCCGCTATTTATAGGCTGCGAGGCAAGAGAATAGTGAATATGAGAGCGGGAGAGAAATAGAGAATCTAGAGCTAGGCAGAGCCACATAGAGTGTAAGGCGTATCTCTAGAGATGCACAGAGAGGGAGAGGCACAGAGAGTGGGAGCGAGTGGGAGTCCGAGAAATGAGGCATATTCATATTTTTTTTTTAAGAAAATTAGTTAATTTTAATTTAAATCATTTAATACGCTTTTAATGTTTAAATTTGCATTGCTAAAGTATTATTTTTACATCTTTAATTTTAAAAATACTTCCGTTTTTTTGTTGTTATTTTTATTGTTGTTACAGATAAGTTTTAAATGCATTTCCTACTCCCATTGCTTTTCACCAAGGAAAAAAATAAATTCATGCATAAAAATTTAATTACATATTGTTAAATAAAATATATATTTATTAGAAATATTGCAAATATCGGCGTTTGCTATATCTAAATATATATCCTAAAAAATATCTTAAAGCAAAATAGTTTATACATTTAGAAATATCAAATAATGTTATGAATTTTTTACAATTTCCCCTTATGAAACATTATTAAATTCAGTTAAATATTTTGTTTAACTTTCTTCCCCAATATTTTACTTTTTATTGATTAGGATTTAATTGCAAATATAAATATATCTGACTTCTGACAGTCATAAATTATTTAATCTTTGTATACCTACCAAAAAACCTTAAATATGTGTTTTCTAAGTAAATTAAATATATATTTTTATATGCTCATTTTTTGGGTAAATCAAAGTTTTTCAAAATAGCATAACTCAGTCAAAAATGCCTAAATTTCAATTCGGATAGCTTTTCTGTGCTAGTTTTTAAAAAAACGGCATACTTTGTTTTAAAATTAAAAATATCACAATTTTTACCAAATTTGTAAAATTTTAATTTAAACAATTACGACAAAAAAATTTGAAAAAAAAAATTAAAAATAATGTATTTCCCCTGGACATGGCTAGATCAATTTGCCTGATTATGCCGATCAAGAATATATATGATTTATACGGTCGGAAATGACTCCTTCACTGAGTTTTAAGCTTCTGACTAAAATTATACATATATTCAACGAATATTAATCAATATTCTGTTTAATCTTTATTCATAGAGCTAATTGTATTTATTAACCACCTTATCCACGCTCCTTTTGAGTGTCCTCCGGTGTTTGTCTTTGTAAACCGAATTACCTAAAATAATAAACAAAGAATGTAAGAGAATTTGTCCGAACGGAACCCCAAGTAGGCCTTAACTTTCACATCACAGTTACGAGCCCCTGAAACCCCTAGTTCAATTCAGTATAGTATCGTTCGTCATGGAGATCCTACGCTTGGTGCTCTTTATTATTTCCATAACTCTCGTTTTTGGTGATGGCTGGCAAACGGTAATAAAATTCAAAAAATTCTTTTTAACTAATATCCAATAACCTTAAATACATTACTTGGCAGATGCCGATTGCCGATGCCGATGATTACAACGGCCTAGTGTCGGACAATCAGGGACCATCGGGTGGTAACTGCCAAGACGATAGATGCCCCACAATGGTGCGACCCAAGCCAAATAGCTTTGCCCAAAAGGCGGCCAAGGCTGCCAAGGAGGCCTCCGATGCCCAGGTAGAGGCCGGCGCAGCAGCTGCCCGCCAGGTGCAGAGGCTGCTGGCCGAGAAGGCTGCCTGTGCTGCCAAGGCGGCGGAGGCGGCCTGCGTGGGCAAGCAGCAGCTGGTGGAGCAGATCGAGTCGGAACTGCGCGAGGGCAGGCTGGTGGTGCAGAAGGAGCGAGCCCGCCTGCAGTTCACCAAGGCCACTGCTGCCGACGCCCGCCAGGGAGTCAACCAGGTGGTGGAGGAGATCAAGTCTCTCACGGAGGTGATAAAGAAGGCCCAGGAGGGTGTCACCCGTGCGGAGAGCGTGATTGCTGGGTCCCAAAAGGCGGTGGCCGAGCAGAAGCAGGCGGTGGCCGAGGCCAAAGGGCGCCTGCAGCTACTCATTCGTCAGGCAGAGGTGGCCCGTGCGGACTACAAGAGCACCAAAACCGCCGTAGAGAAGGCGGCCAGCGCCGCCCAGGAGGCCAGGCAGAGGGCAGGACGGGAGCGCAGAATGTCGGGAACCACCGAGGACATGCCGACCTACCAGGGTACCTTCTACATGGACAAGACTCCCGGCGAAGGCTACACCCCCAACTAAATTTGATCTTCACTATATTTTTATTATGAGAGATGCTCCTAATGTTCCTGTGCTTCTCACATGCTTACACTTTCAAGGTACTCTATATATATTTTGTTCATCGTTGATAAACAGTTCAAAAACACCAAAAATTAATAAACCCCAACACTAAACACCCCAGTTATATGCATTTTAAATGGAATTATCCCCATATTATAATTGTATTAAAAAATACTTATTAATTTTATACCCTTTTATGTTATAATTTCAGTCAAAAACTTAAAACACAGTAAAGGAGTCATATAATCTTGATCAGCATAAACAGGCGAATTTTCTAGCCGACTCCGGGGTACACAAAAAATTGAAAAATCGTCCATCTATTTAAAAAAAAATTATTTAACCCCTTCACATCGTTAAAATTGGCAAAATTATGAGGAGACACCTTCTAGGGCAATTAGAACCTCGCCAACTAAGATTTTCCATTCCAATACGAGTAATGGGGATTTCCCTAGGCACACACGATTGCTCAGAACTTGTCTGTGTTGGAAAGTGTTGTTTTTCAAGTGTGCTTTACAATTGTCCCATCCTGTTGCCTTGACTTTTGGGTCATTCATTGCCCAACGTTCATTACAGATATTAGCTCTACCAAAGTGAAAAACGAATTGTTGAGAAAAAACAGCCACAGTAAGTTTCTTTACAAAAAATAAATAAAAATTGAAAAAACAACCAACTAGAATGAAACAAGTATAAACCATACGCAATACATCTCGAAACCTTTTGCAGATGTGTAGCAAGCTGAATATAGTCACGCCAGAGGAACTGAATGCCAAGGTGGAGCAGGAGGACAGTCAGGTAGAAACATCCTCCGCCGACCCATCGTCGTCCGTCTCCAAACTGGAGACATCTTCCTCCTCCTCCGACATCAAGACTCCTCTTATCAATGAATCGCAACTGATCGGGGATCTGGGCAAGCCCTATGCTCTTCCCTTCCTTCTGGAAGGAACTCGTCATCGTGATCTAAAGACCATTTCGAGCGATACACTGGCCCGTCTCATGCAGGGCGAATTCGCCAAGGAACTGGGACCTGGTGGTAGATATAACATCATCGATTGTAGGTACCCCTACGAGTATAAGGGAGGTCACATTCGTTATGCCTGGAATGTCTATTCATTGTACCATGTCCGGAAGGCTTTTCCTGACTTAACAGAGGAGTTGAAGCAGGAGAGGGTGGCTCAACGTGTCATTTATGTCTTCTACTGCGAGTTCTCCGCCATGAGGGCAGCCAAGATAATGCGCTTCCTGCGCAACCATGATCTCAATGAGGATTATCCGGAGCTATATTTGTTGCACAAGGGATACAACGCCTTCCATGGCTCCTATTTAGATCTGTGCGAACCCAAGGGATATGTGAAAATGCTCTCCCCGGGTTACGAGCATGACTACCTTCTCGGCCGCCTCCAAGCCGGGATGTAGTGATGCGAAAGAATAGTTCAAAAATAACAAACATTATTTTAAATCGGATTCCCGCAATTGTAATTGTAATTGTATTAATACATACTTCTTGTTACTCTTCGCAGGGTATTATAATTTTAGTTAACTCTGAACAGTAAGTATCTATGAACATTAACTAATTATGATCAATAGATAACTATTATCAGTAATTCACTGTGATCAGTAAGTAACTCTGATCCATAAGATAACTCAGGAAAAACCAAAAACTTAATTTTCTTTAGCACATTATTATCGATTTATTTAAAAAAAAAAGGTTTCGTTCTATGATTAGCATCGATTTAGAATCCCAGTCTCTCTAGTAGACGTATCCACCATTGGAACCGTACACGGTGCCGGAGGAGGATCCAGAGTAGCTGGACACAGCCGGGGCCGAGTAGGTCTTGGCCACCACGGGAGCAGAGTAGCTGGACACAGCAGGAGCAGAGTAGCTGGACACAGCAGGAGCGGAGTAGTGGGACACAGCTGGAGCGGAGTAGTGGGACACAGCTGGAGCGGAGTAAGTCTTGACCACAGCGGGAGCAGTGTAGGTCTTGGTCACCACGGGAGCGGTGTAATGGGACACAGCTGGAGCGGTGTAGGTAGAGACAGCTGGGGCAGAGTAGGACTTGACCACAGCTGGGGCAGAGTAGGAGACGGCAGGAGCAGAGTAGGTCTTCACAACAGCCGGGGCAGTGTAGGTCTTGGCCACCACGGGAGCGGTATAGGTGGAGACAGCAGGAGCGGTATAGGTGGACACAGCAGGAGCGGTGTAGGTGGAGACAGCAGGAGCGGTGTAGTGGGACACAGCAGGAGCGGAGTAAGTCTTCACCACAGCGGGAGCAGAGTAGCTGGACACAGCTGGGGCGGAGTAGCTCTTGACCACAGCTGGGGCGGAGTAGCTCTTGACCACAGCGGGAGCAGTGTAGTGGGACACAGCCGGGGCAGTGTAGGTGGTCTTCACCACGGGAGCCACATAGGAAGCAGCAGGCTGGGCATAGGTCTCCTCGGCAGCGGTCTCGGCATACGAGGTGGTATCCACAGCAGCAGCAGCAGCTGGAGCGGCATAGGACTCGCTGGTGTAGGAGGCAGCTGGAGCAGAGTAGGACTCAGCCTCATAGGTGGATGCAGCGGGTGCCTCATAGGTCTCAGAGGCGGCGGCAACGGGGGCAGCCTGGTAGGATTCGTAGCTGCTGGAGGCGGCACCAGTGCGAGGAGGCAGATAGGTGTTGGCCAGGTGACTCACATCGGCGGAGGCCACAGCCAGAAGGGCGAGCGAAAGGACAGCGAAGAATTTCTAGGGAAAAGAAAGGGATTAAATGGGGTTGAGTGGAGTGGGATCTCTTTGGGGAATGTGTGGAAGGAATGCGGATCTCTTGTTCTGGAAGTTTGAAACTCTCTGAAGGAGAAATTGAACTCGGGAGGAGGAAGAACTCTCCAGAGTGAAGGAGGAACTGAACTTTATAAGAGGAGGCAATGTACTCCAAAGGAAGAGAAACTCAACTCTGAAGAAGTAGGAACTCTACTCTCAAAAAGCAAGAACTCTTCTCTGGAGAAGGAAGGAATTTAATAGGAAATTCCTCTCCTGAGAATTCCTAAGCGAGAGGGTGAATCTCCTCTCTGTCCCAAAAGGAACTCTCTTAATGTCTCAAATCTTACCATGTTGCTGGGTTCGAGGTTGGAAGAACACTAGTACCTTTTGGACGTCTGTCCAACCTATTTATAGCCGCCGAAAAATGTCTACCCAACTTGATACACGAATGTCAAAAGGCGCTAAAATAAATAAATAAAAAAAGAACAAAAACCAAAACAAGCTCACAATCTCTGAAAGCCACACGAACTATATTTCCATCGAGTATAAAAGCGACATAATAATAATGAAGCATCTCGTCCGCGAAACTCATTAAGTCGCCCATAATATTCCGACTTTTCTTCATTCTCTTCCCCCGATTCCCGGATTCTAAAAGTCTCTCTCAGTCTACATATATATCCAAATCTGATACCCATGGAGATCTCGTCGATAGGTTAGAAATGCTATCTACATGAAACTCGTTATTGGAGGAGAGATCCATTCATAAGTCGGTTGGTTCCGTCAGTTGTTCAGTTCATCCATCAAAGCTCTCGGACGACACAAAGAGGAGCTCCGTCTCTGATCGAATTCTAAGCGGTTACCTCATTAATCATTAAGACGAAGGGGTTTTACCCGGGAAAACAAAAGGCTTTACAAGGAGGGGAAAATTTGCTTACCGCACGGATATCCGTTAATTGGGAATCGCCGTTCGTATTGATGAACTTTTTACTTAAGTCAAGAAATCACTTTACAAAATAAAACGAACTCTTAAACTTTTTTAGGATTCGAATAGAATCATTTTGAAGACAGTAATTTTTATATTATGCTATAATATACTGACAATAGCGTACGGCTCTATATCATATCAAAACTATTAAATATATAAAATTCTATCGCATTACCTATTAATGTAAAGAAAATATCAATATTTGGGCAAATTAAAATTTTTCAAATCTCATAACTAAGCCAAAAATGCATTAATTTTAAAACGGAAAGCTGTTCTGTGCCAGTTTTTAATTCGTTTATAAATCTGCATACGCAGTTTAAAATGTAAAAAAAATTCACATTTTTGAAAATTTTCCACTTTCCACTTAAAAAAAAAAACGTACAATTTTTGAAAATTTTCTTTTCTTTCGGAGATGGCCAGAAAGTTTCTTCTGTTGATACTGATAAAGAATATATATATATATATATTTAATATAGTATCGGAAATGACTCCTTCACTGCATTTACACTTCTAACTGATATCATAATACCCTGGAAATTAAAATTAAAGTTAATCTAAGAAAATACAAAGAACAATTTCTAAATGCCAAGGAGGAGCATACCCTCTCCACAGATCAATGACTCTTGATTTGTGTTTCAACAAAATCTATAAATTTCCAAAAGCCAAGAAATGCAATTGTATCTTATTTATAATTTATTATAACGTGGTAGTAAAACCACTTTCAAATGACTTCAGAATGAATTTATTATTGTTATGCTGAGATGGGGAGATTGATGATGGTTTTAATTTCAATTTATTGCATTTTAGTTTACTAATATATTTTCTAGTAGTAAAAGTGCACTTTGTAACTTTGTAATAATTGTTTCAACTTCCTTTTAAACCAATTAAATCGATAAATTCAAACAAATATAGATAGATTTATTGGCCTGTCAGTGGCGCGTGAGGAGATGCGCTTCTCAAAAATCAACTTTCCTTCCTCGTTAATTAAGTATTTAAATGAAGACACGTTTGCTTTATATGTATGTATATATTTTTTATGGGTTAACAAGAGCGTAACAAAAATTGTATAACAAAAAAAAATGGTGCTAAAAATTGGCTAAGTAACATTAAGTTCAAATGAACCGGGATTGGGTCCCCAACTCGATGCGAGTTCGAACCTCTGCCGGGGTTCGTTCACGGGCATCCTCCAGTTCCTAGTAGAGGTAACCACCATTGGCGGCATAGTTGGTTCCCACCTCAACGGGAGCGGGAGCGGGAGCGGGAATGGAGACGGGAATGGGAGCGGGAGCGGGAGCAGCCACCACCTCGGTCTGGTGGACAATGGGAGCGGGCTGGGTGTAGGTCACCTGCTGCTGCACCGCTGGCTGACTGTACTGGACAATGGGTTGGGGTTGGACCTGCTGGACTTGGTGGATCTGCTGGGTCTGCTGCTGCACCTGATGGACCTCCTGAACGTGCTGCACCTGCTGGACTTGCTGGACCTGGACAGGAGCAGGTGGAGCAGGCACAAAGGACTGCTGTTGCACTGCCGGCTGGGAGTACTGGACAATGGGTTGGGGCTGGACGTGCTGCACCTGCTGGACCTCTTGAATCTGCTGGACCTGCTGCACTTGATGGACCTCCTGAACCTGCTGGGTCTGCTGCTGCACTTGGTGAACCTCCTGCACCTGAACTGGAGCTGGTGGAGCGGGCACAAACGATTGCTGGAGCTGAATGGGAGCGGGAGCAGGAATGGAAACGGGCACAGGGGCAGGAGCTGAGATGATAATGGGAGCTGGGGCAGGAGCTGGTGCCTGAACTGGAGCTGGCTGCGGAGCAGGAACGGGAGCTTGAACTGGAGCTGGAGCTTGGTAGGCATAGCCACTGTACTGAGGCTGCTGGACGGTCTGCTGGACGGGCTCTGGAATGGAGATGGGCTGAGCCACTGGAGCTGGAACGGAGTAGGTCTGTTGGACAACTGGAGCTGGAGCGGAGTAAGTTTGCTGGACAACTGGAGCTGGAGCAGAGTAGGTCTGTTGGACAACTGGAGCTGGAGCGGAGTAGATTTGCTGAACCGCAGGGGCTTGATGGACCACTTCCTGGACAACAGGAGCTTGGTGAACGACTTCTTGGACCACAGGAGCCTGTTGCTGAACAACTTCCTGAACCACTGGAGCCTGATGGACCACAGGAGCAGGTGCTGTGTAAGTCTGTTGGACCACAGGGGCCTGATGAACCACTTCCTGGACTACGGGAGCCTGTTGGACAGCTTCCTGGACCACCGGAGCGGGTGCCGAGTAGGTCTGCTGAACCACTGGAGCCTGCTGGATCACTTCCTGAACCACTGGAGCTTGCTGGACGACAGGAGCAGGAGCTGGGTAGGAGTACGACTGCTGCACCTGAACAGGAGCAGGGGCGGAGTAAGTCTGTTGAACCACTGGGGCAGGAGCAGTGTAGGTCTGCTGTTCCTGGATCTGAACAGGAGCAGGAGCAGGAGCTGAGTAGGTCTGTTGGACCTGGACAGGAGCAGGAGCGGTGTAAGTCTGCTGTTCTTGAACCTGAACGGGAGCAGGAGCGGTGTAAGTCTGCTGAACCTGGACAGGAGCAGGAGCCGGAGCAGTGTAAGTCTGCTGAACCTGGACAGGAGCTGGGGCTGAGTAAGTCTGCTGCACCACCTGATGCTGCTCATGGACCACAGGCACAGGAACTGCCACTGGAGCAGGGGCAGGAACAGGAGCAGGAACAGGAGCAGAGTAAGTGGTGGTCACGGTTTGCGTCTCCTGCTGCGGGGCAATGGTCTCCACCACAGGCGCAGGAGCGGGCACGAATTGCTGGACAGGAGTGGGTGGCAGATAGGAATTCCTCACCGCCGTCTGAGTGGCAACAATGGGCTTGGGCGCTTCATAGATCACCTGGGGAGCTGGCTGGGAGATCTCCACGGATGCAGGAGCTGGTGCGGGAACGGGAGCAATAACAGGAGCTGGAGCAGAAATGGCAACAGGAGTAGAAACAGCAACTGGAGCAGGAGCGGGAGCAGAGATCACCACAGGTGCCGGAGCAGGGGCAGCTTGGTACTGCTGCTGCTGTTGCTGATGTCCACCGGATTGAATGGTGAAACTGGCCAGTGGAATCGAAGCCTGAATGGACTCCACATGAGCCTGGATCTGTGGCTGCAGCTGATGGAGCACCTGCTGCAATTGTGGCTGCAGCACCTGCTTGAAAGTAGGTGCCTGCGACACCTGCGACACCTGCGACACCTGCGACACCTGCGACACCTCCTTCACCGGCAACGGGGGCAGATACTGACCACCGGGACGAGCTTGGGCCACGGCCAGGCACACGGCCAGTACAACAAGGGAAAAGGGTTTCTGGAATGGCACAATCACTGGGTTTTAGACAAAAGGTCACTCGAAAAAAATAAGAGTAAGCTTCCCTGCGATGGTCACTTACCATCTTCACGAGGGGTCACAAAGCAAAACTGAAGGCAGTGGTGCACCCGGCGAACGTAAGCGATTAACTGATGACCAACTTGGCAGACGACTCTGCATTTATAGTTGGCCAAAAGCTTAAACCCCTTAATTGGTGCGATCCGCCAGATGTCCACGCCGGCCACGGAATGCTAATGCAGAGGGCCAACAATGAAATCATGCAAAACACATCTCATTTCGCTGCGGATTCGGATTTAGATTCGGTATCCGGACTATGTCTTCGGATTCGGATTTGCTTTATTAACCAGCAGCGGTTTACACATGGAAATTGTTTATGTGCATTTTTAATTTGCTTAGAGGACTTTATAAATATGCAATTTTGATGGAAATCCTATTAAATTTGTCATTCATAACTTCATTTGGGGTTTTTCTAAGAAGTATCTGTATTTATTTCTTAGAGAAAACTAAGTCCCACAGATCCTTGTTATATCTTTGAGGTTTCAAAACCTTGTAAGCTTCATTCAATAAATTAATATAAATATTTCTTATAACTTGATGCTTTCTTTCAGTGTTTGTCTCTGCTCGTGGCCAAAGTTAAACAAAACTCAAAGACAAATCACTGAGGGTTTGAAAACTGATTAAATATTTATCATTCGCTTGTTGCATGGTCTTGTGTTCACCTGACCAATTGACACCTTGGCCACTTGGCCACCGGAAATCCAAAATTGTAAAGAGCCTGAGAGTACATTGATCCCTTTGAGATCTTCATAAAGCATTATTTCAAATTGAACCATTTAATTAAGAGAACAATATAGACTGAAATTATAGAGGTATACGTGTTTTCTTCAGTAATTCTCTTCATTGTTAAAAATATTTCAAAAATACTTTAAACGTATACTTGATATTTTTTTACGTATACCTTATAATTTGTATAAATACGTATACGTAATATTTTTGTAACAATTGTTTAGCCCTTCTTTCAATGCGTTAAATACTAAAAAACACAAAGGGAAACTAACATCGGGATTCTAAAATACAACCATGCAATTATATGTATTAGTAAAAATATTAAAAAAAAGAACTTGAACGTATACTTAATATTTTGTGTATCAATACGTATTCGTAATAAATTACGTATTAAATTACGCATTCGTATTGATAAACGCATATCTTTCGGCTCTTTTTTAAATTTAAAAAACATTCAACAATTGCTAAATATTATGAAAAGCTGCTCTCACACTTCAACAAACAATATATAAATTAGGTATCAATAAATTACAAATAAGGTAATAAATTAATATTAAAAAAAAAACATATTAAAATATAATAAAACATAAGTTTAATTAGATGTTTAGGGAGTAGTTTCTTTTTTGAAATTCCTTCCATTTAAAAATATATATTGTTCTTTATATACTTGAACGTATACTTAATATTTGCACATCCATACTGGAACGTATACTTAATATTTTGATTTCAGTCCCTAATTTAATATATATAACACAAACATAGATAAAGAGAGCTTATAAAAGAAACAATTAGATTTTTATTTATTATATGCATTAGTACAAATATTTAAAAAATACTTGAACGCATACTTAATATTTTCAATACGTATACTTAATATTTTTTATACCAATACGTATACGTATTGATATAAAATTACGTATACGTATTGATATACCTAAAATTGTTTAAATAAATCTTTCAGTTCTTCTTTAATTAAAATAAAATACAACACTTAGCTAAATATTATGAAAAGCTGCTCTCACACCTCAACAAACAATGTATAAATTAGGTATCAATAAATTACAAATGAAGTAATAAATTAATATGAAATAAATCATATTAAATATACTATTAAACATAAGCTTAATCAAGTGTTTAGCCAAGAGCTTAATCTTGAAACTGATGTTGACTTTCGCCCATTGTTTTAGTTCGAAAATAAGAAAAACAAGAAATATGAAAGCAAGATATCATCGAGAAGTCGACGTTTTTATACCCTTTGCAGATATATTCTTCCTGGTCAGGTGATATTTTGGAGGGCACTTACTATCACTATCACTTTCACCATAGATGCAACCAGCGGGGATGCTGCAACCAGAATATATCATATATATATTATAAAATCGGAAAATGACTTCCTTTACAGCCTTACCAACTTTTAACTAAAATTATAATACCCTGTAAGGGTATAAAAAGTGGGAAATTTACAGACTGATGCTTATCGGTGCGACCAAGATGATTTCCCAACGAGGAGGAGCTCTTTAGAGATCACAGACGGTGGCAGACATGTGTCCAACCTTCATCCAAACTCAATGGGCCATAAGTTATGGTCAATCAAGGGCCAACGATTGTTTGCCGGGAGATCGTGATCTTAGATATTCATATTTTTCTTTTTGGTACAGAGAAAAGAAAATATCTGTCAATTATAACAAATAAAAATTACTTAATGGACAAGTTATATAAATTAAAGATCATCAAAATCTTATGAGTACAATATATATTTGTTTTAGTTACAAAATTATATAAAAAATATATAAAATTCATAATTTTCTCCAAGTGTATGACACATTTCGTAGGCGTGTGTCGCATGGCTTATGATAAGCGTGTTATAGGCTCAAGATTGGAGATAATACCAGCCCATTATGCCGGATAATACGAATCTTCGGAGGTCGAATGCAAACTTCACTCTGCACCTGACACACGCGCTCCCAAAACAAAGCAAAAAACAATAATAAAAATAAAAAATAAAATACAAGTGAAATAGTGTAAAAAAAAGAAGAGTGACAAATCGAAAAACGAGGCTCACAAAAGAAAATGTCAAGTTGAGGGCCTCTGACGACCGGCGGGCACAGTGTGGCTTAATTATGACTAATTGCTGTGCGAACACCACAATCGTCTGAATATTCAACTATATAGCTAAAATATATATAGCTTCCCTTGGAGTAAAAAATCACTCAAAAAATAAAATAAAGAAAACTGCAACAAGCTTGTGAATCGAGCAAAACGGGAGGCAGTCAGCCAACTTTGCTTCATTTGCATAAATGGCCAAAAAAGGTTAAAAGCGGTTAAAAAATGTGGAAAGGTGTCAGCGGTACAAGATTTACAGCTTAAAATATAGCTAGATCATTTTAATTAAAGCAAAGCATAGAGAAATATACATTTTATGTAACTAAAGAAGTCAGTCAGTCGCTCTATGAAATAATATTTAAGTAATCCCAAAAGATATACCAAAGAGTGAGTGGGTGAGCCCCAGATTGTTGCAAGATAATGGTGGATCTTCGCCCTTCTCAGACTACAAAAGAGCATAGTTTTTGTATCTTTCGTATATATTTTTTTAGTTTTTGCAGACATAAAAGACATGTCATAAAAGTTTGTAAACGCGTTAACTGATTTTTAGGCAACAAAACCAAAAGCAGACAATAAATAATTCAGTGAGGAGACATACAAAAAGATGAATAGAAATCAATTCCAAATCTCGTTTAAGCCCAAGACCGAAACATATTTATTTTGTTTTGTTACAATTCCCCACTAACTAACATATCTTTCTTAGTTTTTCTTTTTTTTAAATGAAACAAACGCCCAAAGATGGAACTTGAATAGGTCTGGAATTAATCGATGGAAAAATCCCCTCGTTAATACCGATTCCCATGCATAAGAAAAATATATGTCTATATGCTTAGAATTAGCATAAAAGTTCTTTAAAGGAAACTCTCTTTGACGTCAGCAGCGGGTTTTGTGAAAAAAAGAGAAAGAATAGAAACCAAAAACTAAAAATAACCAAGATTATTCTGTTGCTTTTATATGAAATTGATGTTTCTTTTGGTTTCGAATATTTAGTTAGAAGCTAAAAAGAAATTAAATTAAATATAACAAAAATGATAATATTATAAATATAATTCGATCGAAAGCAAAACTTATGCACAATCTTCGAATCGATATTTTTATATGTAAATTTAAAAAAAAACCAATGTTTTTTGAAACTCATAACAAAGCTAAAAAGGCATTGAATTTAAATCGGAAAACTGTACTATGCTAGTTTTTAATTCGTTAATAAATCTGCATACTTAGTTTAATTTTATAAAATTGAAAAATTTTTGACAATTTTTCCAATGTAACCCCTTTAATTTTTTATTTAAAAAAAAATATAGCATTTTTAAAAGAAATTTTGTTTTTTGCCGGAGATGGCTAAAAAGATTCGCCTGTTAATGCTGATTAAGAATATTTATGAAATATAGGGTCGGAAATGACTCCTTCATTGATTTTCAGGCTTTTGACTAAAATGAAAATACTGTAAAAGGTATAAAAATAGGTATACATTTATGCAATTATTTTTATATGCCAATCGAAGTTTAAAAATCTCATAACTAAGCCAAAAAAGCATTAATTTTAAATCGGAAAGCTGTTCTGTGCTAGGTTTTAATTCGTTAACAAAACTGCGTACTCAGTTTAAAATGTAAAAAAATTGAGTTTTTCGCAAATTTTAATGATGTAACCCCTTTGATTTTTTTCAGAAAATTGCAAATTTTCAAAAATTTTATTTTTCTGCCGGAGATGGTTAGAAAGATCCGCCTTTTTTTGCTGAGCAAGAATATATATGATTTATAGGGTCGGAAATGGCTCCTTCACATTGTTATAAGCTTCTGACTAAAATTATGATACACAACTAATTACAGTATTTATTGATTATATGTATTTACTTAATGAATCCCATCTTCTCCAATAAATCACAAGTAATTTAAAAAGTTGAATAAACTTTTAAGGATGCCCACCCATGCTATGATCTCATAAACAATATCTACTTTTGGTCCCAGTTTTATCGCCTTGTCACAGACAGGCAGACATCATAATTTATGAAACCGATTAGATATGTAGTATATACATATACACTCCTGTTCATAATTATACGACACCTATAAAATTTTTGTTTCAGCGGTCGTAGGAGAATGGAAACACACAGTAGATCAAAATAAAGTATGCCGAATAATAGCCCAAGGAGTTGTGCACAAAATGCGCCATTCTTATCCTTGATTGCATCACTCGTTTTCAAGTAACGGTAAAAAAAAGCACACACGCCTTGATTTAGGCTACCTTGAAATTGTTTCAAAATGATACGACACATTTCAATTATTGCGGCTAAAGAGGAAGGTTTAGTGTTTATTGGTTTTTTTATAATTTTGTTAAATATTTTATTCATTTTTTAATAAAATGCCGCATGGTAGCTTTTTAAGCGAAGAAGAGAAGGGAAAAATTAAGGCGTATAACGAGTCTGGCCTTAATGTTAGCCAAATATCCCGACTGATGGGTCGAACACGCTGTGTTATTACCAACTTTTTGAAAAATATGGATGGGTACGGTGTCAGGCGTAGCTCTGGAAGAAAGCCGGAGCTATCTGATCGCGACAAACGTCGAGTATTTAACAATGCAAGCAATTCTTTTTCATCGTGTGCCTCACTTTCTGCGTGTTGCAGTCGTCCTGTGTCCCGTAGGACTATCTGACCAACATTGCTAAGCTCCGAAAATATTGTAAGAGTAGTTTTTAAAAAAATTCCGATATTAAAACCGCAGCCCAAAAGAGCACGACTTCAGTTTGCCGAAAACAATTTGGAAACAAACTGGACCTCGATATGGAATTTTAACTCAATTTTGGTTATAAAGGTTTTTGTCAATATTTCACATTTTAGATAATTTTTTCTGATGAGAAAAAATTTAATCTTGATGGCCCAGATGGGTTTCGTCCTAATTTGCTTGATTTGGGTAAGGATCCCTTTATGTTCCTAACATGCAATTTTGAGGCGGATCAGTTATGGCTTGGGGAGCCTTTCATGCGTCTGGTACGCTTGAATTGTCCTTTACAAGCTCAGAAATTAAAAGTGCAGACTACAAAAATGTGTTACAAGATCGTCCTCTGTCATTTTCGGATCAAAATAAGGACCAAAATTATGTTTTTATGCAGGATAATGCGAATGCAAAGAGACGCAATGGTTCCTCAATGACAATAAAATAAATGTTTTGGATTGGTCGGCTTGCTCTCCTAACCTTAACCCGATTGAAAACATCTTGGGTATCTTAGCCAGGCGAGATTACGCCAAGAACAACAAATTTCAGACTGTTAAAAGTCTCAAAAATGAAATTTTAAGACAATGGTCTCTCTTGGACCAAAATATCTTAAAAAACCTTATAAATTTAATGCCTAAAAGAATTTTTGAAGTGGGAAAAGCACAAGGCGCCGTTATAAACTATTAATATTTAGTTATAAACAACTAAACCAATAAAATATTAGCTGTAAACAAAAATAATGAAATGTGTCGTATCATTTTGAAACCATTTCAAGGTAGCCTAAATCAAGGCGTGTGTGCTTTTTTTACCGTTACTTGAAAACGAGTGATGCAAGCAAGGATAAGAATGGCGCATTTTGTGCACAACTCCTTGGGCTATTATTCGGCATACTTTATTTTGATCTACTGTGTGTTTCCATTCTCCTACGACCGCTGAAACAAAAATTTTATAGGTGTCGTATAATTATGAACAGGAGTGTATATGCATAAAACATATATAGCCACCAAGATGTGTATCAATCTCGGCGATCGATTCTCTCGTTTATGGTTATCAGTCAGCTTGACGATGGCTTTATGCGATTTGCATAAAGACAATCGTGGTGTCTGTCCACGGTTTTATCACCGCTAACAAAACAAAATATAAATAAAATGCAAACATCAAAAAAAAAAAAAAAAAACACACACTTGGTTAATATTTATAAACAAAAAAATGAATGATAATTTATAATGAACTTGTTGATCGTCGATCTGCCAAATTGGGGCTATAAAACCATGGGTTCACTTGGCCCTCTGATAGACATAGCCACCATTTGATGCGTACACGGTATCCGCTCCGCTCTTGGCATCCTCAGCCACAGCCTCGGGCACTGGAGGTGGCTCAACCTTCTCCTGGTCACGCACCTGCTCCTGTTCCGGCTGTGGCTCTGGTTCATCGGAGTAACCAGGTGGCGCTGGTCCTCCGAATCCAGGTCCAAATTGCTGATACGGATTCTGGCCAGGCAGGGGTCCACCAAAGCCCACGGGCACATTGAAACCCGCTGGGTTGGGTCCCTGGAACGGACCCTGGGAGTTGGCCAGGGGTAGTCCTTGGTTGGTTAGGAAGTCTGGGAATTGACCACCTGGGAAATTAGCTCCTGGGAATGCATCTACGGGTCCTCCATGTGGGGGGAAGGGTCCTCCCTGAGGTGGAAAAGGTCCATTTTGGGGAGGGAAGGCACCTTGTGGAGGGAAACCAGCTCCCTGGGGAGGAAATCCTGCTCCCTGTGGAGGGAATCCTGCTCCCTGGGGAGGGAATCCTGGTCCCTGAGGAGGGAATCCTGCTCCCTGGGGAGGAAATCCTGCTCCCTGAGGTGGGAAACCTGCTCCCTGAGGGGGGAAACCAGCTCCCTGGGGAGGAAATCCTGTTCCTTGAGGAGGGAAACTAGGTCCTTGTTGCGGGAAACCAGCTCCCTGCTGTGGGAAGCCAGCTCCCTGAGGAGGGAATCCTGCTCCCTGAGGTGGGAAACCTGCTCCTCCTCCGCTAGGAAAAGCACCAGGTGGACCAGGAGGTTGCTGTATAGCTGCGCTGGGAGGACCCGCACCCGGAAAGGCTCCCCCACCATTGGGATAGGCTGAGGGCACAGGACCTATGCCTGGTCCCTGCTCGCCAGGACCTCCGCCAAAGCCAAAGAAGGGCGGATAGATGGGCAGCGGAAAGTTGGGCGGTTGGGCAGGTGGCGGCGGTACATTGCCTCCCGTGGGAATGGCATAACCCGGTGGCAGGGCCAAGCCAGGTCCCACAGATGGATAGAAGCCCGACGATGAAGGATCCTTCTGAATGTCCTGGGAGTCAGCCTCGGACTCGGTGTGAAGGTGACTGACATCGCCAGTGGCAAGTGGCAGAAGCAGGACTAGAATGACCCACGGCTGCATCTTAATCCGGATTTTGGCTAGTGAATATAGTGAATGGGACTGTAACTATGAGGCCACGGGCCTCGAAGCCGGCACTTATAAGTCACCTAAGTCCAAAGATTACATAAAAACCCGGCCGGCTCTCATTTCACTTTCCCGCTTTCGTCGAACGGAAATTGCTTTGCATCACACTCCACAAAAGGTTCCATAAATAGTCGCAAATTCGAATCTGAATCCGAATCCGCTATGAAGTGCCACCTGAGAGCGTTTGGGAAGTTGGAAGCTGCGAGGAGAAGTGCTAAAACTGAACTATAAAAATTAATTAGTCGGTCAGATTTAACATAAATAAACTCACGTCGAAATCGAAAGACCAATTTGGCAAAAAGATATGAGGGAAAGAGATATGAGGCTCTCAAGAGAGCAGAGTAGAGGCTCAAAAGTAGTCAGAAATATAACAATATTAAAATTCCAAAAGTTTTGGTAACTTATATTTAAATCTATATAATTAAAAATAAAATATGAGAAGTGCTATATTTTTAAAAAGTGAAACTCAGTCAAAACATTGTCTAAACATTGGTTAAAATGATACATTTAAATATAGTCCAGTGTTGCATAGTTTTCTTTGCAAGAAGAGCAGTGTTGGTCAGCGTAAAGAGGGCTAAAAAAATACAAACAATTGGAAAAAAACACAATTTAACCTGCATTTGTTTAATTAATCCAGAAAATTAAAAATGTTTGTAATAGAAATATCTTTTTAAGCCAAGATTCAGTCCAGGCAGTATTGGTTAGTTAATATCCACACAAAAGCCTTTTTGGAGCTACAAAATGAAACATAAACTTTATGTAAACTACATAAATACATAAACTTTTTTATATATAAAGCTGTTTGATAAAACACTGAACTTTCACTAAATAAAAGCTTATAAACCGCCACAGCTTCCAAGCTTAATCAAAAGGGGTTTATAAAAGCTTAAATGCTAAACAAAAGCCTTATGTTAATAGCGCCAAGCTTAAATATAAATATTTACACTCTTAGCTAAATTTTAAAACATAAATAATATGACAACAAGCAGGCAAACTAGCTTCGGGAAACCAAAGTCTGTATACTCTGACAACAAAAGTTGTACACAAGTTTATCAGACTCCCAACTTAATTATAATACCTTTTGGAAGGGTATGAAAAATGCCAGACAATGTTAAAGGCTTTAAAAGACATTAATGTGGACGAAAAATGTATGTTTTTGTTTGTTTTTTTGTTTGGTAATAGTTTAAATAGTGTCAGAACCAAGATATTATCAGACGTGATTAAAATTCTATGGATTGATTCAGTTATTAAGATTAAAAGTTTAATCCTAAATCATGCTATGAACATTTTGCAGAAAACTATATATCTCGGCTGCTACTTAATTTAATTTAACCTATCCCAAAGCATTTTCAAATAATATATCTATAATATTTTAATTATGATATTTATTTGCCTACATATATATGTATATACACCTAGATTTTTATATTAAAAAGTGTTAATTATGTTATCTTAAACTAGATAATTACTAATAGATCAAGTTTTTTTTTTAACCAAACCCAAATGTATTGATTAAATTAGGAAATTAGCATTAGGCGAGAATATCGCTTTATACGTTTTTCTTGTAAAATTTAGTGCTGATAGAGAAACAACCAGTTTAAAGTCAAATGAATAATATAATTTACATCCATTAACAATAACAATAACCATTCATTAGCATGTTTGCTTTGGTTTCATTATAGTTATTCGATTTATAGATTCGATTGAAAGGTTTTGCCCTTTTGATACAAATATTAGTTACCGGTTTTTCCATTAAAGCCAATAGGCTTCTGGTTAATGGTGTTTTTTATATAATTTTATTTATGATAAATCAATCAATTTCCTGATTTGTTTTAGGAATTTAATTAAAATTGTTGGAAATCAAAAGAAATATATATATCTATATAAAAAGATATATACCATGTAGGACCTTAATATATTTTTAAACTGATTATTTCTTTCTTAATTATAATGTATTAAATTAATATTTCTAGGAAGGATTTTAAGAGCAGATATTAAATAAATCTATCTTATATAATATTTAATAATATATAGATACCAAAATATAGATCTTATTAAAATAATCTATCTAAATTTTAGTCTAAATTTTTTTATAATTAAAAAATTAGAATAACAAACGTATTCCCTTTAGGTTGTTGGGGTTTCTTTAGCCCCTTAAATCCCCTTTAAAACCCAAATCCCATTAAAAATCCACATATCTTTGGGTTATTGTTTTCTTTTCGTTTACTTTTCGTTGTTTACAAAGTTTACAATACAAAAAAAAAATATATATGTATTACATATGGTAATTTAGGGCAGTTTGCTTGTTATTTACACTGGGATCAGTTGCTGAGACCCCATTTACTTCCTGTAGACATAGCCACCGTTGGAGGCATACTGAGTGCCCACATCCACGGCGGGGGCGGAGTACGTCTGCTGGACGGGAGCGGAGTAGCTCACCGAGGAAGCAGCATAGGTCTGCTGAATGGGAGCAGAGTAGCTCTGGACAGGAGCGGAGTAACTCACCGAGGGAGCCGAGTACGACTGCTGGACAGGAGCGGAGTAGCTGACCGAGGGAGCAGAGTAGCTGTGCTGGACAGGAGCGGAGTAGCTGACCGAGGGAGCAGAGTAAGTCCTCTGGGCCACAGGGGCGGAGTAGGTTTGCTGAACGGGGGGCAGGTACTCATTGCTGGGAGCAACATAGCTCTGCTGGACAGCGGGGGCGGAATAGCTCACCGAGGGAGCAGAGTAGCTCTGCACAGGGGCGGAGTAGCTCTGCACAGGGGCGGAGTAGCTCTGCACAGGGGCGGAGTAGCTCTGCACAGGGGCGGAATAGCTCACCGAAGGAGCAGAGTAGGTATTCTGGACAGGAGGCAGATACTCATTGTTGGGGGGCAGATACTTGGTCAGGTGGCTAACATCGGCGGCCGCGCAGGCTATCAGGGCGAACACAATGAGGAATTTCTGTAAGAAGGATACGAATCACGGCACATTAATAAAACAAAATCACTTGATAAAAAAAAATTAAGAAAAATTTAAAAATATAAAATAACTTCTTTGCACTGTACACTTCTTTCAAGCACTGTTTTGTAACTTTAATTGTTATATTTATATAGTTTTTGTAACTAGAATCCTTCACTGACCATTTTGACTTGGTTGTTGGGGGGCGGCTGTGACTGAGCTGGATGAGCTTGGGGCTGCGACTGATGCCGGTCCCTTGGAGCGGCTCTCAATTTATAGCCGGCCGGCCGGGTGAATCCGAAGATTCAAAGATTCGAAGATTCGAAGATTCGAAGATTCCGAAGATCCGAAGAAAAGCTTCAACTGCAGCGGCTTCAAAGCCGGCCAAAAGCCACAAGCCGTTGAACATAATAAATGCGAGGTAAACAGTAATGGACAACGGACTAGGGCTAGGGTTGGGTTAGTGGTGAGAAGATGGAGGTACTAAAATTAAAACTAAAATTATAAATTGTATTTTTAATATATAAATCAATATGTAGATCTATTTAATGTGAAGATCCATATGTAGAAGATATAATAAAGTAGTAAAAGTAATTGTAAGCAAACATATGTAGTTATAAGTAGAAAGTGATATATTTATAGCTCACTTTATAATCTATTGCCCTTTCCTGTATTTAAAAGGATATATTATTTTTAATTAAATACTTTTTAATATTTACATATATGTAATTGCCTTCAATCGCATATCGATCTAAATTGATCATAAGTAAGTTCAAATATTGGCATTTTTTGAACCTATATTTCCAATTTTTTGAAGGGTCAATTTTTTCAATTATTCAAAGTTAAAAAATCCCATAACTAAGACAAAATGGCATTAATTTTAAATCGGAAAGCTGTTCTGTGCTAGTTTTAAATTCGTTAATAAATCTGCATACTCAGTGTAAGATTTAAAAAAATTAAATTTTTTGCCAATTTTATCGATGTAACCCCTTTAATTTTTTTCAAAAAATTGAACATTTTTGAAAAAAAAATTTTCTCCAGGAGATGCCTAGAAAGATTTGCCTGTTGATGCTGATTATGAATATATATAATTTATAGGGTCGGAAATGACTCCTTCACTGCCTTACAAGCTTCTGACTGAAATGAAAATATCCTAAAAGGTATAAAAATAGGTATAAATTTATGCAATTATTTTTATATGACTATCTAAATTAAAAAATTTCATAGCGAAGCCAAAAGGCATTCATTTTAAATCGGAAAGCTGTTCTGTGCTAGTTTTCAATTCGTTAATAAATCTGCATACTCAGTTCAAAATGTAACAAAATTATAATTTTTGAACATTTTAACGATGTAACCCCTTATAAAATTTTGAAATTTAACAAAAAAATTAATTTTAGCTGGACATAGCTGGATCGATTCGGCTTTTCATGCTGATCAAAAAAATATATGATTTATTGGGTCGGAAACGACTTTTTCACTGATTTACAAGCTTCTGACTGAAATTATATTACCCTGAAAGGGTAAAAATAATATAAAATTTAACACAAACAAATATTGTTGTAGACTTCCAATAACCTTGCCAAATATTATTCATTAGTTTTCAAGTCAATGAAAATGATAGTTGTATTAATTTATACCTCTTTATGCACTCCCCACGTAACATAGCAACTTAAAACAATAAAAATCTAAATCTAAATACTATTTTAGATTAAAATTTAGTATCTTTACCACCTTCATCATTTTATTACATTTTTATTTCCTGTGTTCAGCAATTAAAAGGCTAAAAAGGCAACACTAACCTGGGCGGGGGGTGATAAATAAATATATAGCGAAACTACCAAATGGAAAATCACATAATAATTAAATTTAACATAAGCCGAACTAAACGGGTTTTCGCTCATTTACAATATTTCTTCTTTTTTTGTTTCTTGTATTAATTCCTCTTTTCTTTTTATTTTTTGTTGTTTTCTGGTTTCAGTTTCGGTTATCGAACTACTTTGGGACACCTTTGGTGGGGTCGTCAATCAAACTGCAAGGGGGTTCCACTAATTAACATTCAATTTAACACAATACACGCGGCCTTTTTTTCTCGTTTTAGCCGCATTTCGTTGGTTATCTTTCGGCCAGCTTAAGATTTATTTCCAGATCTGGCCTCGTTTCCCCTCTGGCTAGATTGATGGCCCCACCATAGAATGTCGGATATGTGAATATATATATATATATAGGTATACAGATGCATACTCGCACTTTCTAAAAAGCCATAAAACCATCAGAGGAGTCATCCGACGGCCTTGAGAATACGATGGCCCACAGAGTTACGACTTCCACAGCGGGTTTTACATAATAAGTAACAGCATGTGTGCAGGTCCCAGGCCAGATCAACTTTTACCCGTTGAAACCGCATCATGTCCCTGAACTTGAAATGCAGTAGACATTTCAAGGGATGCACAGAGAGAAAATTACCCTACATATATATATGAGTGAGTGCAGTCAGTAAGTGTCACAATAAGAACAAGCTAAGTAAGCAAAATAATTGGCTTTGAATCTATTTTTTATCATTGTTAAACCCTACTTAAAAGTATATAAAAATGGTAATAAAGTTTCATTTAAATACACATGTAATTCCCGCTCTTAAATACTCCCCTATTTCCCCCAGTGTAACTCTGAACACAGGTAGTAACAGGACAAGTTGCTGTAACCAGTGGAGGCTTAAGGGTTCAGGGACTCAAAACCATTCTAGGAATCACAATTGGGCAACAGTGAATGGGAAATGCTTAAGCCCATAACCGGTTTCTCTCCTCACACTCATGAGGAAATAAAATCAAAATTAAATATAATTATTAAGCACACACATATAATATTTAAATAAAAAAAAAAGGTAATTATATTTATTAGACTTTCGGGGGGGCTCTTAAAGACTATGCTTAGTAGACATAACCACCATTGGCGGCATACTGGGTTCCTTGACCACCGGTCCTCAGGTGGGCTGGTGTAATGGTGTCCGCTCCAATGACCACTGGCACATGGGTCTCCGGATTGAACTCCTCGATGCCATTCGAGGAGGGTTCCTCGTACACACGGCTGGCAACAGCAGCGATGGGAGCCTGCAATTGGTTGCTGATCGCAGCGTGTCCCTGGACATAGGAGTGAACCTGGTTGATTGTGGGCACAATGGCCTTTGCCTGGCTCTGAACGTAGGTGGTTTGCACCACAGTGGAGGTCTTCAGATTCTGGGGAGTGTATTCAGCGGGCTGATAAGAGCTGGAATCACCTCCAGGCACAACAGTTTGCTCCTGCTGAATATACCTATAGTGAGCTTCACGATCAGCTTGGGGAATAAACTGCTCTGGGGTGTAAGTGTCAGCACCAATAGGAGCGGGAACAGAAGTCTTCAGGTGAGCTGGGGTATATTCAGCGGGTTGGTAGGAGCTAGAATCACCACCAGGGATGACCTCAGTGGCCACAGCAGCAAAAGACGCCTTCTTCAGGTGAGCTGGGGTATATTCAGCAGGCTGGTAGGAACTAGAATCTCCACCAGGAACAACGGTTTGCTGCTGCTGCTCTTGGATGTACTTGTAGTGAGCCTCTCGGTCAGCCTGAGGAATGAACTTCTCAGGGGTGTAGGTATCAGCTCCGATGGCAGCAGGAACAGGAGCATGAGTATGGGCACCAATAGGCGCTGGAACAGAGGTCTTAAGGTGTGCAGGAGTATATTCAGCGGGCTGGTAGGAGCTGGAATCACCACCAGGAATCACTTCAGCAGTCTTGAGGTGTGCGGGAGTGTATTCAGCGGGCTGGTAAGAGCTGGAATCACCACCAGGAACCACCTCAGCAGTCCTTAGGTGTGCGGGAGTATATTCAGCGGGCTGATAAGAGCTGGAATCACCACCAGGAACCACCTCAGCTGTCTTAAGATGCTCAGGAGTATATTCAGCGGGCTGGTAGGAGCTGGAATCACCACCAGGAACCACCTCAGCAGTCTTCAAGTGCTCGGGAGTATATTCAGCTGGCTGGTAAGAGCTGGAATCACCACCAGGAACCACCTCAGCAGTCTTGAGGTGTGCGGGAGTGTATTCAGCGGGCTGGTAAGAGCTGGAATCACCACCAGGAACCACCTCAGCAGTCCTTAGGTGTGCGGGAGTATATTCAGCGGGCTGATAAGAGCTGGAATCACCGCCAGGAACCACCTCAGCAGTCTTTAGGTGTGCGGAAGTGTGTTCAGGGGGCAGATATGAGCTGGATAAGGATGAGGAGGAGGACGCTGAAAGTCCATAGCCTCCATCGACGGACTGGCCCAACTTCAGGTGACTGACATCGGCGGCAACAAGGCCGACAAAGGCCAGAGCAATGACGTAGAACTTCTAAAACCAGAGCAAAGACTTAGAAGGAGAGTCGATGGGAGTGGAATGGACCAAAGAAAGGTCCGCGGTGGTTCCCCTAGAACCGAAACTCACCATGTTTGGGCCGAATCTGTTGATGTGAGGAGGGGTCTTTCAGGTTTTTATACCCCCAAAAATATTATGGGCCTATGCTAATTGGAGTTTTGTTTTGATCTTCGATCGAGTTGGTTCCTACAACATTTCTGTTTGACTATTTTTTATTTTATTTTGTTTTGATGCCGAATTTGCATAGACAACATAACAAAAGCAAAGATCTTATCGAGTTGATTAGAACCTCTACGGGTTTCGACCGCCATAGACTTTTCGTCAATTAAACTGTCATTTGGGAATTTCACAGTGAGAAATAGCAATAAAGATTTGTGTTTGATTTGTTATAAAATTATTATGGTATAATTATATATATAGAAGTATGAAATCATTTATATTATGGTTTTTAACAGGTTTTTGCTTAAAAAGCATTTCAAAATATATAAATTTATGGGAATACTTATAATGAAATGTTTTCCTACTATTTAAAGGTTGTTATATGATTTTCTCTCTGTGTCTAAACCCATCCTTCCGATGGGTCGCTAAATAGAGTCACTGATTAGCGCCTGGCAAGTTCAGCCGGGTGTCATAATCGGCTTGCTTCGACAACCAGTTCCCTCGTCTTTGGCCAACAATCTTAGATCTGCCAATGTGTCCGCTAATTGGGCCCAAAGAAATCAATCGATGGATGTTTAAAGCCCACATCTATGCTGCTTACTACCCAAAATTATATATATATTTTATATATTTCTATATCGGGACAGAACGCCCTAGCTTTATACCCTGTCCAAGTAATAAAATAATTCAATATAAACCATTTAAGCTTAAGTGATTCAGTGTGCCAACTTATATGTTGTGCCAATATGGCCTGCTGCATCTATTATTAATCCAAACTTTACATAAAGATAAAATTTATACGCTTAACAAATAGTTTAAGCCATTTTGTTGAAATTAGCTTAAATTAATACATTTTTGCTGAATGTTCATAATGAACGATGAAGGCGTTCAGCATTTCATTTCATTATCAACATATATAGGGTATATATATTTAATGATTGCTGATTTATAATCAATCTTTCTGATAGAATCAACGATCATTGAACTGGGCAGGGAGAATTCCGAAACTGGAAATTTTCTTTATTGATTTGTTAAAGCTTTAATTGTTTGAAAAATGAGTAAATAAATGCGAGTATCTGTCGTATTATTAATGAGGATTTTATGATGCTGCCTTAGATGATCATAATTTGTGTTCTTTAAATGTTTTTTTTCTAAATATAGCAGCTTTTTTTTGAATTTCTTTTATTTAAATGTTATTCTTATTTATTTATTCATAGAAAATATTCCTCTTATGGCTCAAATTAAACCCAATTCCATTTTATATATTTTTCCAAATGCAAATTTATTCTCTGCTTTTTTTCTATCCCAATTCCCAGTGACGTCAATTCAATATATTTTTAGCCAATTCTCGCATCTGAAACTGGCCAAGATTTTGTCTGTCTGGGTCTCCTCATTTGGCTGAATCACTCTTGGCCACATCTTAAACTGGTTTCTGGCCCATAAACTCTAGGCCTGCAAAATTTTTGCTGTCTTGCTTTTTGTTTTGCTCTTTTGCGCTGATTAAATTATGAAAATTTATGCTTTGTGTTCTGTAATTAAAAAAAAAAAAAATCATATCTAAAAAAAAGAAAACACAATAAGAGACAAGCAAAATATTGGCCATTAAAATATTTATGGACTGGACTTTATGTAAAACAAATGTCCAAGTCTGGCTCAAAATTCAGGTTGGGCGACAAAGGCTTCTATAATTATGGTTAAAAGTGTTTCTATATATTTGTATATGTATATATATTGTATTTGTTTTCATTCTTTCTCTTTTGTGGTCAAACAATAGATCAAGCCTGGTACACAAGTGTCTATAGTATATAGATTTGTTGATATTGATTGTGCGTTTTGTATGGCAAACTTGTTGATGACTTAACAGAGGTGTGGACTACTCCCCAAATGCCATTTAAGTCCTCGATTTATTTTAGTTTCACAGAGAGAAAAAATCTGGTTATTGTTATTTGATTAAATCATTAATTGTTAATGTTTTCTAATAGGTTTTTAAGCTGTTTTAAATATTAAATTTCTAACGAAATATTTCATACACTTTACACATTTATTTAATCAAATATATATCTTGGATTATTATTATTGTTTCCCAATAGCTTTACAATTTTGTTAAGATTTTTTACACTTTGATATAGATGATATTTCTGGTAGCGGCGGTGGCTTCTTTCAATATTTAAACCGCCTCCAAGACGAGCTTGTGTGTTTGCGTTTGGCAAATGTTTGTCCGGGGTCTCGGCCCTCGGCAGCATTTGGCCATAAAACAATTGCGGAACAACGCCACAAACGCGACAAATTGTTTTGCCCAACAGCACAAGTTTCCCCCCTTTAAATGGCCGCCTTTTTGAGACCCCCTTTTTCGGCACGCCTTTGGCGATAGACGACGCATGCATGTTGGACACAGTTATTTTTTTTTTTTGGCCAAATGTACGTGTAACTTGGCCACGTTTTGAGGAATACAATGCTTAAATAAGACAAGACACGGCAATGGTGTCGGTGAGCTCTTAAATAACGTTTGCCAAATTGCATTTCTGTTTAACATTTTTGCAAAAAACAAAACCTACAAAACGTTGTTTGCATGTTGCAGATGCTCCTCGGTGCTCTTGGGCAACTCTTTCCATCTGGCGATCTTGAGATCTTGGGCTCTTTGTGGAAGTTTATGTTAGATATGTACTATATCCTTTTATTATCATATTGAAAATATTCAAAAATATGAAATTTAATTATAAAAAAATGAATATTATTCATAATATAAACATAAACTTTAGATATGTTATTTATTTCATATATAATTTAAATCGATTTTATTTATAAGATATTTAAAATGATGATATATAAAATAAAGTCTTAATTTTATTGATTTTATTAATAAGATCTTAATAATTAAATAATTGATCAGCTATTTATTTAGTTTTTTCCAACCGTAATAGTTATAAGAAAGTTTAGACTCTCTTTTAATACATTTCGATATATCAAATAGAAAGAAAAACTTATCGCAACCTAAAAATATCGTTTTAAGTATCGATATATCGAAATTTTGTGCCATCCCTAATGTTAGCCCGCATCTGAGCCAAGAATCCTCAACTGCGGTCAACGGATCATAAATTTGATGAGTGGAAAATCCCAAATTAATCTCATAACCCGTAAGGTTACTCGTTGACTCAACTTATTTATGACCACAAAAAAAGAGATGTTAATTGAATTATTAAGACTAGCTATATATATTTTTTTAGGATTCATTTGGTTAATTTTTATATTGCTAAACACACTTATTTTTTACTATTGTAAAAAAACATAGACCTCGTTGCAGTTCTTTTATTTGATGTTTACGGCCTTGTTTGATGTTTTCTTTGGGACTTAAATCAATTGCATAGACTTAAAGCTTTAAAAATCGATTTCTTAAAGGTTAATAAGCCATGAATATATGAAAAGAAGCTACTGCATTTGTTACCTCATATTTAACTAGATTCGGGCCGCAAATATATGCTCAGATCTTAATGCTAAATCGGCATGAATGCGAAAATGCATTGACTCGACCGCATATTTGTTCCGTAAATTCCCCCAGAGATGCTATGCCAAAAGGTAAACATTTTCACGGCCTAATCGGCAAGGTAAACTCGGAATTTCTGTAATATATTGCAACGATGAGAAAAGCCAAGAAAAAAAACTGGAAAAATCCATTACACATGCAAAGAGGGGGAAGCTCTCTTGAATATAAATATATATACATAGTGAAGAGCGGTACATTTCCCTGCTAATTTGTTAAAAACGAAATCAAATCAATCAATCTGGCATTTCACGTTTTCAGCAGAAAAATAAGAGTAAGTGAGCTAAATTCAGAGCAACGGCCTTGACCTTCTCCAAAAACCAAGTGCGAAAGACGAAATGTTATTAAATTTAATCATTGTTTTACGGCCATAATCCGGCAAAAAACAAAAATAAAAGTGAAGGGCAATCGAAGCTGAAGATGTGGTAGCTTAATGGCTTCATTAAAAAATGTTATTATTTAGCGAAATTAATTTGCTTTCGAGCCAAAGGAATAGACAGTAAAGGCCTCACCTGTGCTGTGACAACTTCCATAAATTCCAACAAAACTAGTTTCCAAAAGGTAACAACATCACGTAAGAGCGATCTTTTCCTCTCTGTCACTGTCTCGTTTATTACAAAATCAAGTTTGAAGTGCAATCAATATCGATATAGGTAGATCGAACGAGTCTCAATCCCCTCTGATTGGCATAATTAGCGCCATTTCAGCTGTCATCGCCAATTGTGCCGCAAAATGTCATCCCAATTTGTCAAATGATTTTACGATCGGCGCAATTGGGTGAAGCAAATCGGAAAGTGAATGACAGACTATATAGCAGACTATAGCCAAGACTCTGGCAGGTGTGGGAAACCGTAGCGAATCTGGTGGCAGCTTCTTCTCTAATGGTTTCAGATTCATTTTCAATAAGATTCATTTTCAATAGATGACAACAGAAGCTTATTATGGCTTTTCCATTTCAGTTAGTGCGGGGGGTTTTTTGTTCAAATTTATTTTTGGATTATTTTGAATTTTTAAAAAACCACAAAAGGCTTATTATGGCTTAAGACTCGTGCTGATAGTTTGGTCACAAAGGCAGGCAGTGATATAATATATATAAAAGAAGCCTATTAATATAAAAGTAGAGAAAAATAAACAATAGTAGAATCTTGGAACTACATTCTGAATTGTATATATTTTAAAAGAATAGAAAAGAATAGTTTTATAATTAAATATAACTCTATAATAATCATGGTAAATATTTTAAGAACATCTATGTATATATTACAAAAATTCAAGAAAACACACCATGTTTTGTACTTTTTCTAGGTATTCTAATTTTAGTCAAAGGCCTGAAAATCAGTGAAGGAGTCATTTCCGACCCTATATTTCATATATATTCTTAATCAGCATTAACAGGCGAATCTTTTTAGCCATCTCCGACATAAAAAAAAAATTTGAAATTTTTTGTTGAAAATTTTATAAAATTTTTTCATATATTCAAATTTTTAAAAATGGTAAAAAATTTTAAATTTCTTTTAGCTTAAACGGAGTATGCAGATTTATTAGTGACTTAAAAACTAGCACAGAACAGCTTTCCGATTGAAAATTAATGCCATTTTGGTTGAGTTATGGTATTTTTAAACTCTAATAATTTACAAAAAATGATCGATAAATATTGTTATGTTTTAAAGTGTTATAAATTTCGTCTGCTGGCCAAAAAGAAAAAGATTCTAACCTCATACTTATTTGGATTCAGCGTAAAATTTTTAATTATTTAAGATATAATGAAAAAAAAAAATTTGCACAACTTTTAATATGGGTAACATTCTTAAAATTGTACAACAAAATTTTATTTTTGAGAAAGTTTAAGTTTATTATGCAGATTTATTGATTCAATAAAACCTAACATAGAAAAGTTTTCCGTATTAAAAATTGTTATTTATTTCTTAATTAATTTTTAGCTTAATTATAAACGTTTTCGAATGTGAATCAATTTATTCAATTGCTAACCTGAAGGGTATACAAATTTCTGCTTTCCGACTTTAACTTTTCTTGTTTTGTTTAATTGTTGTACCTTTATTTTTTGTGGTTACTTGTGCTCACACTTGAGTTCTCTTTTTTCGCGTAGTTATAATGATTTATGATTTATTTATATTATGACTATGAGTTGGTCACTTGTTCGCTTTACGGTTGGGGAATCCCATTGACGTAACCTCTAAACCCGTGTTCTTGTACTCCCAACGATTAGCATAATTTGGCCATAATCGATGGGTTTTTAGTTAGTTAGTTCTTGGAAAATGATTTAAATAAATGACCTCAAATTTAAAAAAGATTAATGAATTTGTAAGTAGAGCGAGTATAGAAGAGTGTTAGCCCCGAATAATGCTTACAATTCTGTATAATTTGAAATGCGAGGTGATTAATTGATTTGGCATTATAATTTATTGATTTTTTGTCTGGGTTTTTATCAGTTTTTGGAGTTATAAATGATTAAAAATTGTTTATTGATAAGATTTGATTTTTATTGAAGTAAAACATATACAATATTTTTCAATTTTGTATATCTTTTGGCTGATAAAGCTAAATATATCAATAAAGTATATGTAATAAGGTTAAGGTATAGTTTGAGGAATATTTGTTCTGAAATGGATATAAAAATATTATAAAGTCTGGTAAAGGCAGCTGTTTTTTAACAGAGCTTCACGGTGCCATACATATTTCAATGAAAAATTGTAGTGAAGCACATAACCATTTTAATTTTGATGAATTATACTCCTACAACTAAAAGTAAAAAATTAGAAATGTGAAAACCCAAGTAGACCTGATCATAATCTATAAAATTTATATATTAAATCCCCAATATAGTATGCCATGACTTTAAATTCCCTCTCATCTGTCAATTACAACTAGTCCCAGCCAAATTCTCAATAGTCAGTTCATACCTACACCCGAAACGGTAAACATCTAAATATTTTGTATATTTTCCAAAGCCGATAAAAATTGTATTTTTCAAACATTAAGTGAAAACCAAATTTAAAGTGTACAACTTTTTGAACCCTATTTTCTTTTTTTTTTCTTTTTCTGATTTGATTTAATTTTGTACCTAAATCGCGATGTCGTTCAGAAGGGTTCCGCTGGGTTCCGCTCTTGGCCCGGATCAGAAGCTTTTACAACACAAATTGATCCACAATATGGACCGCTTTAAGCCCTCTGATGCCAATCCGATACAGTTTTATAATTGTGTCCGGGAGTTGTGCCTCACGACAAGCTGTAGCATCGATGATGGCTTGGAGGCGGCCCAATTCCATTGGCCGAGTATGGAAAATGGCCTGAAGGATTATTACAACTCGGTAAGGCTTTTGAATAGATTGCGAATGGTTTGTAGAAGATTTTCGTTGTGATTGTGATTGTCAATTCTAGCAACATCTTTCTGAGCTGTTGGATTCCTTTCCCATTCCGGTGACTGCGAGCAATTTACCAGAAGCCACCTTGCGCAAGGATGGTTCCAGCAATTTATCCTTGAACTTCTCTTCCGCCGTTGGCGGCAGGCAACTTCCCACCGCTGAGTCGCACAATTGGATGCCAAGTCCTGGGAGGCTTTCGGAGAATCACTCCAAGGATGACAATCATCAGGTGGTGTGGCCTTCCGCCACGGTGGCACAGCAACCACCTAGGCTGTGTGGCAGGCACATGCCCACATTTGAGTCTCACTATTCGATGCCAATACCAACGAAATATTTGGAGAACCTCTTCAAGGACGACAGTCGTCCGCTGGTTTGGCCTTCCCCGTTGGCACAGCTACCATCTAGGCTTGAACCCATTTCGAATCAGGATGTCATATCTCAAGGTATGCGTATGGCTCAATCTGTTAACGATAGCATTTCGGGGTCCAATGCTGGAATCCTTGGTGGTAGAGCAACCAATAATCGAGTAGCGGCCATGATCCTATTTTCCGATCAAGAGCGAAGTGCCGCCATGGCGCCAAAGGTGTCAAAGGTGTCCAAGGTGTCGAAGGTGGCAAAATTACCCAAGAAAGGAAAGCCACTGTTTAAGAGAAACAATCAAAGGGCTATCAGGAAAATTAAACTAGCTACAGGTGCCCCTTGTCGTCGTCCCGTTCGTCCTGTTCGTCCTGTTCGTAAACTCTAAAATCAAATGGAAAATTCAAAACACTGATTTACATATAATTCAATTCATTTCGCATCTTAAGATTATAAAATTTGTAGTTAGATACAAAATTATTGTACAAATTCCATATAGTACTGTCCTCAATGTATTTTTTTAAGACAACTAGCCATAATTTCTACATGAGGACATTTTTGTAATAAACTTTTGAAACGGAAGAAAAAGAGATTTGAAAACGTAATGTGTGGGGAAAATGTAATTGTAAAATTTTTCAGTTACAGTATTTAAATTTATATTTAGAAATATATCTTGGTAACTTAGGTTTGGTTAAAGGTAAATTGTAAATCAAATACGTTGAAGAAAAATATGGCATTAAAAAATATTTTCAGACTTATATTTATTAAAAAAATATAAAGTTCCTTTATTAAAAGGTTTTTAAATAATATAAATATATTCCCATTTACTATTTGATTTAAATATAAGAGTGAACTTACAGAGCCCCAAAAACTGTAAGCCTAGAAGTAGGCATCATTTTGAGACTTTTCATATTTTTGAGAGTCGCCCCTAAAAGCAGGCGAAATCCCTTCATCTTAACTTGGGCTTTCCACGTAAATTAGCAAAACTACAGAAAAAATAAAACAAAAAAAGAAATTACTTAGTGCCTTTTGGAGACGCCTTTCAATTAAGCCAAGTGGTGCCTCCCGGCCTGAGGTTTTATGCAGACCGTAAAAAAAACAGTATGGCTGCCCATTAAAAATGAAGCAGATATCGAAGGAGATGGCAGGAGCAGAAAGGATGCCTTAAAACTGATAGAGCATAAGTAAAAGGACACTAAAATATTACATGCACATGTGACAGCTCCGGAGACGAGACGATGGAAGCCAGGCTCTAAGATGACGATGACGATGAGCACAAATAAAAAATCAACTTGGCCAAAAGCCTCGAAGCCCAAAGCAATCAAGCAAAAATGAGGTGCACTTGCCACGCCCCCCTCCCCCGCCTGAAAGCTGGTTGTTTTTTTTGGGGAGGCCCAAAAAATAATCACAAGGCGACAGAATGTTGCATATAATGCGGCTGCTTAGGAAGGACCATAAATAAATGCCCCAAAGGCACAAGGATACAGGATAAGGATGAGGTCGTATAGTAGAGATGTTGCAAAATTAAAAGCGAAAATATATACAAATATTAAATATTAATTAAATATTAAAATACGAATAAAATATTAAAATTAAATTCTACAAATAATTAACCATAATCAAAAAAAGTAACTCTAATATCATTCGAAATATTCTTTTAAAAATACAAAAAAAAACATTTTTAAACCTAAATAGATGTAGCAACAAGCCTTTAAAATATTATAAATCTTATATAAGTATTCAATACCATTAATTTACTTAATTTATTTAGTCAGCAGAATTTAAAAAATAAATATTTTTCATTAAAAATAAATGCAAATGATTAATTTAGTCAAGAAAACTGGCCAGCACTGAGACCCAAAGTGTCCTGGAGTCCTGACCGAGGCCAGGATCAGCAGGCAGACTCCCAGAATGTCAGACTGACTGAATGTTGGACTGATGGATGGATGAATGGATGGATGGATGGATGGATGGTTCGTGTTAATTATTTTGCTAAAATAATGCAACAACAACGCCACCAAATTTGACAAAATTTAATGCGCTGCAATCCCCTCTCCTCTCTCTCTCCCACTCTCTGGAGCCTTCTCTGTGCTGGCTTTTTCCCGAAAATAAAAAGGAAAACACCGAAATGAAAAATCGCAATTTCCTGGGCCCCAGATAACCGCCGGCTACGAACATTTTCTATATAGAAATATATAAACAACAATAAAGAGCGGACGACAGCGACGGCTTAATGAGTGACGGGCGGTCATATTAGATGCGATGCTATGCGATGTGTGTGTGTGTGTGTTAGTGGGGGTGTGTGTGTTGGTGGGTGTGTGCTCCTGCATTAGAGTTATGGCGCATTAAGCCCAGCTGCGACTACACCAAGAGAAATTATGCAAAAAATAAAGATTTATTGAAAAAATATAGAAAGGTAAGGTAATGACGAAAGAAATTAGATAAGGAAATTTGAAAAAAATATTTAATTATTTATTACACTACATACAAAAATTAATATTTTCTTTATTTAATTATGTAGGAAAATAAGAATTTTTAATGCTTATTTATTTTATTATAATTTTATTGTTTTATTTGTAATGTATTTGATTTTAATAGGTTCTATATTTGAATGATTTATTTATTTAAATACATATTTATTGTTATATGTATTATTAAATATATTTATAATTATTATATCATATTTAATATTAGTAGATATAAATTTACTATATTTATTTTTGTGGAAAAAAGAGCAAGTAATTTATAGCTAAGATCAGAGAAATTCAGCAATCATATTATTATTAATTGTAAAGAGAAATTAATTAAAATATTTAATATTACTATATTTATAGTTTATATAGTTTTACCATATTTATTTATGTGGGAAAAAGAGCAGATATTTTATTGGAGAGATCCAAAAAAGCGATCAACAATCATATAATTATTATTTGTAAAGAGAAATTAAGTTCCTAAAGGTTTTTATTTTTTTTGAGAAAAGGTTATCAAATATATCGAAAAACGGATCATTTTCAAATAAAGCCTCATGATTATTATAATAATAATATGCTTTCTATTTATGATTATAATTTTTATAATAATTAGCTTCCTATTTATATAATTTTTTTCAAATCATACAGTTTATAAGAAAACTCCTGATACTCCTGATAAAATGATATCATTTCTTCATGAGAAATAATTATTTAAAATATATATAAGAACTATATTTCAAGCATTTACATATATCACAATATGTAAAAATAACTTTTAATATTTAATAAGAACAAACTGTGATTAATTTTCAGTGCATGTGTGCGAAGAGTACATATACATCTACCCATTTTTTGGGCGCCTCTCTGCACTCTTCTCGCCTTCTCCGGCCATTTGCATTATTCATGTGCGAGTGAGATGGATAAATGAAATGGGGGGGGGGGGGTGGCAAGAGAGAGGGGGCTAAGAGAAAGGGGGTGATGGGGAGGGAAGGTTATAGGAGAAAGTCGCGGTAGTTTTATTTTAAAGCCCAAACGTTCATCAAAACCAAGCCCCAGACAAGTGCAGTTCGCTGTCGCAGGAGGCTTTTATGGCGGGGGAGGCAAAGAGGCAAAAAGCGGAATATATATATTTATAGATATAGGAGAAGAATCTGAAAAAATAGTCGCTAAATAAATACACTATAAATTAAGACATCATAGAAACAGAAAGCCAAGCAAAGTCAACATAAAGGAATTATTTGAATTAAAATAATGTTTCATCGGTATCTCACATTATCTTATTATATTATTCTTATATTTTGTAATATATCTCTATAAGAAATGTATCTATTTTTCTTAGGGCATTTCCCGGAAGTGAAAGCCCCTTTTCTCTATAGGAAAACATCATTCCCATGAACCCATTCTTGTTGCATTTTACGTTCGTTGGCTGAACGCTTTTGATGGCTTTTTTCGGGGTCCATTCACGTCCTGCGTCCATGGATTGTCCTCCTTCTCATCCAGGTCCACATCCAATCGTGTGTTGATGCTGATGACAGCAGCTGAGGAGAGAGTCGAGAGTCGAGAACCGATGGAGAGACCACGTCCTCCTCATCGTCATCGTCATCATGATGAAGTTGTCGTCGTTCGTCGGGGGGCTGCTCGTTAACTTGCCTTCAAGTCAAGTTGTTTGACAATCTTCGCGGCAAGAGTATAGCCCTGGCCAGAGCTCTGGAGCTCTGGAGCCCAGAACCCAGGACACAAAAAATAAAAAAAGTGTTATAAATTGCATTTAGTGTCGGGCCACGTCACTGCTGATTTGTTACGGCTGCCAAGGGCCAACGGGATGGATGAGAATCGACGCAAATCACGGTATGGGTTCGGGCCAAAAGGTCAGGCCTTAGGCCACAACAATGGCTTCTGGATGGGATTTCTTCACACACACACCACACTACACCCATTCCCCGATCCATACCGAATCGAGAGATCCCAGTGGACAGCGTCCCATATGCAAATGGCGATGGCCTGGCAATGATGCGTTCTGGAATTCCGAATTGTTTACAAATTTCCAAACAAAATGCTAGCGGGAGGAGCCTAGATATGCTAAAATAAAACTCCAAGTCATAAACTAAAGACTTTGTTTACAAATTAAATGCAGCATGCAACAAGCGACATCTTCATCGGGGTCCACAAGGAACCCCCAACACCGCACAGAACCCGGACAGAGCCGAGGAGCCGAGGAAGCCAAGAAAACTAAAACCCAAATCCAAAACCCATGGCTAAATCCCGGCCAGATATGCGACTCCAGATACGGTCCGAGGACGAGGCTGAGGCTTCTTTTTGCTTATGAATTCGATTGGGAGAGGGAGGACGGACCCCTCCTCCTGCATTGGCCCCTTCTCTAGATCCCTTCTGGCGCTTGGGTGTGATGTGTCCATGGGTCTGTCCACATGTCCCAATGTCCATACACAGAAAGAAATTACCAGAGAGTTTTTAGGGTTATTTTATTTAGTCACAAGTCTAACATGCAGTAAAGAAATCATTTCCGACCCTATAAATCATATATATTCTTGATCAGCATCAACAAGCGAATCTTTCTAGCCATCTCCGGAGGAAAACATTTTTTGATCTAAAATTTTCAATTTTTTGAAAGGGGTTACATCGTTAAAATTTTCAAAAATCTAAATTTTTTTACATTTTAAACTGAGTATGCAGATTTATTAACGAATTAAAACCTAGCACAGAACAGCTTTCCGATTTAAAATTATTGTTTTTTTGGCTAAGATATGAGATTTTTAAACTTCGATTGTCATATAAAAATTATTGCATAAATTTATACCTATTTTTATACCTTTTAGGGTATTTTCATTATAGTCAGAAGCTTGTAAAGCATTGAAGGAGTTATTTCCGACCCTATATTTCATATATATTCTTGATCAGTATCAACAGGCAAACCAATTTAGCCATGTTTCGAAGAAAAAGAAAATTGAACATTTTTTTCGAAATTGCAATAAAAAAATGAAAAAAATTGATATTTTGAAATTTAAAAATTGAGTACGCAGATTTGTTAGTCCTTAAAAAATTAGCACAGACAAGCAAACCAATTTAAAATCAATGCATTTTTGGCTTAGTTATGATATTTGGAAAACTTAAATTTACCCAAAAAATTACCATATAAAATTATCTAATTAATACACCTAGAATATATAGACTTATAGGATTTCTTGGTGGTATCAAAGTTTGATTGCTAAAATTATATACATATATTAAAATTTGCAATCAAAATTTTAATCTATGAAGAATAAAAGATTAGAAATAACAATTAGACATAATATTTAACGAAATTTGTCAAAGTTTTGTAAGGGGCCACATCGTTAAAATTGTATTTTGTATTTTTTCGCTCAGTGCACGAGCAGTCTGCTTGGCCCGTTTTGTCCGCTGGCTCTTACTTTATGCCCACCGTATGCAAAGCAGTCCGCAGACCAGCTACATGTGTTTTACATGAATTTTAAATGATATGTTAAATAAAAATGCGCAGCTAAACAGCCCTAGGCACCGCACCGCACTGCACTGCCAGCAACAAAAATAAAAAATAAAAAAACCCAACAACAAAATAAATAAATAAAAACAAAAAGAGAGAAATAAGTTAGAGAACAAAAACAGGAACAACATACAGTGATGGCCAAGAGTGCGTGGACCAAGCAGCGCACGCAGTCGCATAAACAGTGGTTGCGAATGGGAACTAAATGCTTAATTTGCTTTCTTTAAAAATAAATTAAGTGCCATAAAATTGTGATGATGCAGCCAATTAAATAAGGCAAGAAAAATCACAAAGAGAAAGGCTATGAGAAAATATTTTAATTGGAACTTATATTACTTATAATATTAAAATGAATTAGAAGTAACAATTTCTCACGAAGGCGTCTTCTTCGTATTCGGCAATAAAAAATGTGTACATAACAGTGGTTTTATTTGCACTCATTATTATTTAAAACCCATAAAAAGTTACCTAAGAATAGAGGTACATATAATTTCATATGGGAATTAGAAATTAAAATAAATAAATATGTATATATCTATTTTCTTTATTAATTGTAAAGTTTAGTGGTGAGAACTTAATTTTATTTTAAGGAAATTAGATTAGCTATAATAGAGATAAAGTTAAAATTATCTAACTTATGACAAAATAATAATAAAAATTAAAGAATTATTTCTATACGTTCTGCTTTTATGATTTTTAAAAATGGTTTGAAAAACAATTTTAGAAGACATTCAAACATTTTAGACCCCAGAAAATGTATAGAAAAAAAAGACATTTCTTACAAGCTTACAATAAAATTATAAATATTTTTTAATATACCAATTAAATCCCCTTAAATTCCCTATACCCAACCCACCGTGCTGGTGAGAGAAGCTGAGCAAAAACTATGCAAAGTTTATGCGAATCTAAATATTTGCACTCGGCAAGCGCATGCGCAGCAAACTCAATTGTTCAAATACATTTATATATCTTAAATGCAGGCAAAAAAAATAAATAAAACAAAAAAAGAAAGAAAAGGTAGAATCCACGCAGGCAGGGAGCAAGACTTGGATGCTGCCTGATGCTATCAATTCAAAGTCAAATGGGGGGACAACAAAACAAATCGGCGCTGCATCTATAATGAGCTCGGGCATCCACCAACAGAACCAGGCTCTTACTCCAACTCCAACTCCAACTCTGACTTTGGCTAAGAAAATACAGGAAAAATTCTAAAAGGGGGAAAAAGGGATATAAAAAACAGGCCCCGCAGTCGGAATTGATGAGAGCGGGCCAAGAGCTCGCGACCAGGTCCAGTGCAGTCTCTGGCCTGATGTTTTGACTTGCATTTGCCTCATTGAGTTGTACTCAGAGGAGGATACCCTCTGCACCCGATCCTAGTCCCCTCCCATTGGAGGGGCACGATCGGCCCAAGGGACACCCACCCAACGCATAGATAAACACACATGAGGTCAAGGAAATATAAAAGGGGGTTTCCTAGTAAACTATAATATTTTATATAAATATATAAGATATGAAACATTGATTATCAAGGAGTATAAATATCAAATAATTGTATTTATATAAAAGTTAAATATACAATATTATCATATCAATATTATCATATTATATTTAAATATGTAGATAATATCGAACAACTATTAAGCTAAAGAGAACAAGGGATGTATTGCTACCTCAAAAAATAGTTCGTTTTTTTCATCTAAACTTAGCAGTAAAGTTATATTGTATATTAGTGTATAAATATACAATATTTTATATACATATAATTCCAGTAAAAAGCTTAAAACGCAGTGAAGGAGCCATTTCCGACCCTATAAATCATATATATTCATGATCAGTATCAACAGGCGAATCTTTTTAGCCATCGTTGGAAGAAAAAAATTATTTTCAAAAATTTTCAATTTTTTGAAAGGGGTTACATCGTTAAAATTAAAAAAAAATGTATTTTTTTACATTTTGAACTGAGTATGCAGATTTGTTGGCCTACTAAAAGCTAGCACAAAACAGCCTTCCGATTTAAAATTAATGCCTTTTTGGCTTAGTTATGAGTTTTTAAAAACTTGGATATTTCAAAAAAATGATCGTATTCCATGAAAACGAATATTTCAAGCTTAGTTATATAAAAATACTATTAAACCAAACAGAATCTTCGAAGTATTACTACTTTATCGATCTGTTTTGTAATCCCTATTAATAATTTATTGTTCATTTAATTTTGTTTTGATTTTAAATTGAATCTGTTTTTTTATTTGGTCCCTATTTAACCGAACTCTGGTGTATTGATGCCTTTGGGCCATCCGCATTATTCCCGTTTGTAGTCGGAATCGCATTGATTGCAAAAATCGTTGAAGGCCGCACAATTGAATCCGGTCGCGGGTCCATAAATGTCTTTATTATGATCTTGAGTAGTTTGGCCAATTTGCTGAGGACCAAATCAAGGTTTATTAAAGTGAGTTTTAGAGAGACTTTTTTGCTATTCTCACAGGAATAATACGTGGAAATTCGAACAGAATTGTTAAATAAATATATAAACCTATAAGGAAATCAGGCAATTGGGAATATTCTAGAATATTTCTATTTTATATTCCTTTTTAAAAATTGAAACTCAAAGAAAGTAGATGTATAAAATGAACATCATGTTCTGTGATATCTCTAGTTGAGTTCCCTAATTTATTTTTCCCACTTGGAAAATCAGAAAAACTGTGCCAACACCCTGAGATCGAGGAAACACCTACGTTAAGAGGGGGGAAAAACCACCGAAAAAACCTGGTCAGAAAACTGCAAAAGGCAAAAAAGGCAAATCAGGCATTAAATTGCTCATGAGGCCGACAATTTCTTTAAACATAGAGCCAACCCAACGTCTGAGTTGGTAATAGAAAAGGATTTGACTCGATTGAACACCCGAATTTGCAATTTTCGAGTTAGGCTTCGTTGCGCCCCCCAAAAAGAAAGAAAAAGAAAACACCTAGGATAACACTGCACAAAAATCGGTAAAGGGGGAGAGAAAAAAATAATTCAAATGGTGGGCGGTGAGTTGAAATTATAGCCCAGAACCAGGCTCAGGCAAGTGGAAGAAACCCAAGCAGACGGGCAGCCTTTTCTATTTTTTTTGCAATTGCAGTGGGGCATCTCTTCTGGCCAAAAGCACTTAACACGTCAACACGGTCGCCGGCACTGTTTTCCCAAGCAGTTTTCCGATTATGTAGGCTCCAAAAGCCGACTCTGTTCAAGGGAAATACCCTTTAAAAAGGGAGATTTATATTGTTTTTAGATAATATTTCTAAGGCAAAATTAGATTTTAGGTACCTAAACTAAGTTATATTTAATGATTCAACTTCAAAGTATCATTTTATAAGAATTAAACATACTTTAATTTATCCTAAACATTAAATCGACTTTATTTTACCTTAGTTTCATAAATTTCCTAGGACTTTTCCTAGTCTGCCTGCTCAAGGAACCTCTTTCCTTGCTCCTGGTGTACCCTAAGAACTCTTTTTTATCTCAATTTTTCACCAAAGTCTAGGCCATATCGATGGAAAACAATGTTGCCTGTATATTCTGCATTTTGCTGACATGATTACCTGGCTAAGCAGCTGCCGAGCTGAAGCTAAAACCAAAGACCAAAGACGATAGGATAATGGTAGGTGTCAGTTAAAGTGCACTGAACAAAAAGTTACAACCTTTTAAAGGAAAATAATCAAAGAAATTCAAGTACTACATATGCTAATAACTTGAAATATAATCACGTTATTTCTCAGTGTAAAAAAATATACCTAAAAACCCTAGGATTAATGGAATTTAAGTATTAAGAGAGCATAAAGGTTGCCAAAAAACCGTTCGTGATCGATTATAGACACTCCAAAAGTCTTAGTTGGAAATTATGAGGCCACAGTGGCAGCTGTTAATGTGGCAACAGGGTTTGGCCCAAGGGAAATGATTTAAGTGAAAGAAACGTAACAAGTTGGAAAGGCAAAAGTTGACCAACTTTTAACCCATACCCAAAAGGCAGCCAAATCAGTCTGAGAACTAAGTCATCTTGGCCTAGAGACTCCTGTCTATATATCACTTATTATCACAATCTCATTTGGTAACCCAGTAAGCCATAACTTTCTGTCGTTGCCTGTCGTTGTTCGTTTTGAGCCTTTTTCGATACACAAAACCATCCCGGCAGTAAAAAATAAATTCAAAAACCTAAAAATAATAATAAAATATAACTTAGAAGTAGCAGCAGCAGCAGCAGCAGCAGCAGCAGCAGCAGTTAGTAGCAGCAAAAGATAAAGCCAATCGCTAGGTGGTGGACAAGACGGACCTAGATATGGTGGACAAATCATCATCGTCACCACCGCCGGCGGTGGCTCCTGAGGATCGCCTGAAGGAGAATATTAATCGCTGTCTATCCAATGCCCTGGTTAAGGGATTTGGTGGCCTGGTTATTGGCTCTGTGGTGACCCTGCTCTTCTTCCGGCGACGCATTTGGCCAGTCTGGCTGGGCACCGGATTTGGCGTTGGCATGGCCTATCGTGGCTGCGAAAAGGAGCTCAATGAGATCAATTTCAACTCCCGGAAGTAGGGACAGACGGACAGAACTGGAACTGGATCTGGACCTTGGCATACTTTACTTAAAGCATTTGCATCATTTATGTTTCTTTGGAATGTGAAACGATTTAACAATGTGAACAATGAAGCACTAGGACAAAATTGCTGTAAGGTTTATTATTAATGAGGGGATTTTAAGATACTCAAGTAGACCAAGTTAGATCTTTAATTGGAAATTTATGAAGGCCTTCAAGGGCTGTTGTTGCCTGGTGCTAATACGACAAGTCCACCGGTATTCCCAAGGCTCTTTTCTCCTCTTTTGGCTAAGATTAAGATTAGCAATCTATTGGCCATGATATGGCTTGGCGAATTTAGCTTGCTTCTGCGGAGAAACTGGACTCCAAACTGGACTCCAAAAGGAGATTGTGTAGCACGGTCGGCAATTATAATATATACAGAGTCCATTCCGGTTCATAGGTCAAATGTAGAAATTGAGATAGATCCGCGGGCCCCAGGCTGGATGTGGTTCATTGGCAGCTTTTCACGTTGCAACCTCAGCTCCCTCAGTTCCCTGTTCCCTGTTCCCTGTTCCCTGTTCCCTGTCCCCTGTCCCCTGTCCACATCGTCATCGTCATCGTCGATCAATGCTCAATCCCGTCCAAGTTGAGCCTGTAGCGCCGCATCGCATCGCATCCCAGGCTCATCAAGATAGCCACAGAGAGACCCAATGCTCCACTGCTCGATCCACCTCAATCCTCCTCGATCCACCTCAATCCTCCTCAATCCTCCTCGATCCTTGCAATCGTGATCTCGAGAGAGGAACTCAGCTGGATGCTAAGTGCTAGCTTAGCTAGCTAGGCTGCTGGACTCTATCTTTTGGCCAGAATTCGGCAGCCCGAATTTTCTCCCTTGGCCTGGCCAATATATATATATACATATATATATAGACGATACACACGATATCCGATGCGGCGACAGATTCGTTTTGGCAGCTCTACGCAAAAATCAGAAGAGATGACCAAGTTCGTTCATCAATCTAGTGGTTCTTTTACAGGGAAATGTATACAACAACTTATGATAAATATATAATATAAATAAATAACCTAATCTATGATAAATATAAAAATAAATATAATAAATACAAATATATATATACAATATATATATATTAAATGTTTAAAAACATATTATAAATAGGGAAGGTTTCTGCCGAGATTTAAGGTAAACATTTTCAGTAAAAATATAAGTTGTAAATCTTAGTTTCTTGTTATTTAGGAAACTAAAGTTAGGTAAAATGCTTTGGGATGTGTTATATTTAAAACTTGCTTATAAATGAAAATAATACTTATTTATTATTATTTGATATACAATATAAAGAACCTCTATTTAGTTAAAATAAAATAACGTTAATATATATATCTAACATATATATTATATATATTTATTTAGAAACTCTTTTACTTAAATTCGTACTTTAAGAACTAGTTCCCATAGGCCTTTCTGGCTAATCAAATAATCTGCACCACCACCAGCACTAGAAATGCGAAAACCTAGACAAAAAAAATTCTAAAAAATATATATATACACATATATATATATATAAAAAGCCATGACCATGGCCAAAACCCTGGGCTCTGCACTCTCCACGTTTAATAAGCAATTTTGATTTGGAGCAGATTATGTGACGACCGAACGAGCTGCAAGTTCAGGTTGCATGGCATACAGCGGCGGCAACGGCTACCGATGCACTGAGAGAAACTACATTAATTAAATTTAATATAATTTTAATGTTAAAAATTCCTAATTTGAAAATATAATTGTGAAATTGAGGCCCTAATGTTATGCTTGAATAAAAGTTAACCCTTCAACCCTTTTGTATCAGTTAAAATTTGATATTTATATATATATACATATATTTTGGGGAGTTTTGTATGAGAAGTTTATAGATATATATTCCTTAAATATATAAAGCAAGATATCACATTTAATATTATATTAACAAACATGGTAAGTTTTGATATATTGATTTTTAAAATATAATAAATATATTGCACTTACCCCCAAAATGTGGAAATAGCTGAAAAGTATAGAAAAGAGTTTATAAATTATTTGTTCTGCGTTTTGTTTATAATAATTTCATATATCAAACATAAGATTTATATATCTAAAGCTTTAAATATAGACTTTTATATAGGTATATGCCTTAAATATGAACAAAGTATAGATATATTCCTATAACCTTTTATGATCTCATATATTAATCAAGATGTATAATCTTAGACTAAGAAATATTGAATTTAAACCAATTAAATTTACTATTTACATCAAAAGTGTGTAAATTTCATGCCTTACTGTTTGTATAAATGACCCACTTATTTCTCTGAGTGCATAAGAGCCGAAGGAGCCGCCTTGCCTGAAGCTTTTGGCCATCGACTTGCACTTGACTTTGTCGCTGACCCGGCAAAAGATTTTTAACTCGGACTTGTTGCCTTGGTTAAGCTTGGTGGTTGGCTTGGTGGCTCAGTGGCTCAGTGGCTCGGTGGCTCCGGCTTCCTGATGCCGATACTGTTTACATGGAACTTGTACTGATTGCTTCTAGTCATGCCCCCGATTTGGTGAGAGATTCGCAATCCTGTGATAAGCTCACTCCCCAAGCTCATTTTCATTGGAATTGTCTGAATTTTTATTGAATTTTAATTGGTCACCAAGAAGTTGTGACTTCCTCACAATGAAAATATATATATTTCGAGAACATGTGCCTTTTTCCAGCTGACGAAAGGCCAAACCCTTGGCCAGGCTTCAACTGAAGTTGGATTCTAGCAAAGGTTCCCAAGAAAATTTAGATCAATTTTCCTAATTTACTCTTGGCCGCGGCGATTGCGTGTCGTGGCGTGAAAAACGGCACTTGAGGAAAATCCACACAGAAATCCAGGGACCAGGGAAAAGTCAAGTCAAACCGGGGGAGAGCAGGAACAGTATCAGGAGGCACTGGCATTCCTCTAGAGGTGGAGAATAAATCACGACTCGGGTTTCGAAAGCGCGAAACTGTTACCAAAGCACTTAAACTTAAATTGGCCAAAGCGACGAGCCCCAAGAGCTGTGAGCACTGTGAGCTCTCCAAGCTCCAAGCTCCAAGCTAATCCCAGTCAAGATCCCACAAAGCCATTGGAACAGGAGGAGGAGATTTGAGGTTGGAAAAGGGGGCAGAGTTAGGTTAGGTTAGTCCCAAATTAGAAATAGTGTAGATAGATACGCCAATAGAATTTATAGCAAGCCTCGGACTGCGTTCCTTTTTCTGCCTTTTTCCAACTGCTGCCTGCTGCCTGCTGCCTGCTGCTGTTGCTCCTCATGATCATGCCCTGGTCAGGTTAATTTTGGGCACGACCAAGCCAGGCCAAGCCATGTGGATGACGACGATGATGACGATGATGATGGCAACGCACGAAGGAAGCCGCAGTCCTTACACTTGAAGAAAATGCTTAGAAAAAGGGTCTAAACTATACTCCTTTTATCATATTTTAGTGAAAACTTTTCTCTGAGTGCCCTGATAATCATGGAGCCGGGATAGAAACGTGCTCAGGGATCGCAGCTTAAGTTTAATGGAACCAATTGAAGATATTTTGTGGGCAAGTGATAAAGTTGTATGCCCAGTTGGTGGGTGCCTTTTCCTCCTCTCTCTCTCTCTTCCTCATTTTCCACTTTACTCAACTCTTTGGGCCAAAACTTTTCCATCAACAAGTCGAAGGAAGCCTCCACGAAACCATTAAATGATGCGTAAGACTCCGACGTGATCATGCGTTGCGTCATGGTTATATGTACAGGGTTTGGGGCAGATCACACGATCCTGATACGCAGAAAGCGAGGAGCGGAAAATGTTGAGGTGAAATCAGCGTGAAAATTGCCAACTCCCCCTTTTTTTTCTCTCTCCACAAAGACAGACAGACAGAGAGAGAGAGATAGAGTTATGCGAAAATTGCGGAAGAATTTCGTGAGGCGGCTTGTTAGTAGAGATGGAAGGCTGGCAATTCAGCAAACTTGAACTCGAACTGGAAAACTGTAGGAAAACTAAACTAAAGTAAACCAAACAGGGCCAGGTCCAAAGGCAATTGGCCAGTAATCACTATACGAGTGTGTGTGGGTTTGGAAAAAGGTGCTGTAGGCAAACCTGGGAAGTAGGTTAAGGTAATTCCCCTTGTGAAGATCTGAAAGGGTTTTCGATAAGAAAAAATGGCATTTATCGATAACTTTCAACAGGAAAAAATCGACAGAGCGATAATTTATACTTGAAATTGTCAAATTTATTTTTATTACTATAAATACATTTCTAAAAGCACAATTTTCGCCTTAATTAAGATAAATATTCATTTATCGATAACTTTTAATAGGAAAAAATCGATAGAGCGATAATTTATATTTGAAATTGTCAAATTGATCCCTTTTAATATAAATACATTTCTAAAAGCACAATTTTCGCCTTAATTAAGAAAAGTATTGCATTTATCGATAAATTTTAACAAGAAAAAAATCGATAGAGCAATAATTTATACTGTCAAAATTATCCCTTTTAATCTAAATATTTCTAAAAGCACAATTTTCGCCTTAATTTCTTGCAAGTATTTTTTTGTATAAGCTCTTAACTTGTGACGTCACACTTCCGGTAAGCAACTAATCAATCAAAAGGGGAACCCCACACTTCTGTTAACTTTATTTGCTCTTCTCTCTCTTTTCAATGCTAACCCTTCTTCTTTCGACTACATTTTGGCGGCTTTCTTATTTATTTTGGCTGATTTTTTACGCTTTATGCACTCACTCTTCTTCGTTCTGCTTCTCCCTCTTGTCTTTCTTTCTTTATTTTCTTTTTGTGCTCTTTATTCTACCCCCTCTCTCCATAAGTCGCTTCCTTTGTTTCGCTCTCTTCGCTCTGTTGGCCATTAAATTTGATACCCACTTATTTGGCCAATAAAATTAACCTACCTCAACTTGTTTGGCCTTCATCATAAAAGGTGGAGGAGAAGTCACAGACAGAACAGGAGGTGAAGGAGGAGGAGGAGAAGGAGCAGGAGGGTGGGAAAGCAACTTTGTGCCATCATGGCACTTGGCCTTAATGTCCAGACATGCGAGTGGTTAATGTGTGCTATAATGCCCATCACAG